AGCCCTGGTCTTAGACTTGGTCCAAGCCATAGACTCGACTTTAACCCCAGTCCTAGCTGAAGCATTGACTATACCCTTGCACCGAGCCTCTATTTTAGCCCAGCTTTAGCTTTAAGGTTAGCCCTAATCTTAACATTAGTACTGTTAGGTGCCGACAAAAAGAACCCGCCATACTTTACCTGCAATTACCTGTAAAAAATGGCGGGTTCTTTATGTCGGTACCTAATAGCTTAAGACCTAGCTGAAGCACTTAATAAGGCCTTATAAGGCACTAAGAAAAGTTTAATATGACCCCAACAAAAATATGTTTTGATACCTAAAAAACACTTTTTTCGAAACACTGTCCCATGAACAAAATAAAAACAAGCCTATTCGGAGCAAGACGTATTACAACGTTTCCGAAATTCATTAGAAACAGAGTTTCCTGCCGAAGGCAGCCATGCACGGGTCATTGGCAAGCACGAGATCGCGGTCGTTTCGTTCTAAGCTATGAATGCAAAAGGTAATATCTTACGTGGAAATCGCTTTTTACTACCCAATCCTACTCTATGTTACCCTACCCTATCCTACCCTGCCATACCCTACCCTACCCTACTTTACCCTACCCTGCCCTGCCCTACCCTACCCTACCCTACTCTACTTTACCCTACCCTACCCTACCCTACCCTAATCTGCCATTCCCTAAGCTCTACCTTACCATAGGCTCTATTCTACTCTGTAATAGCCCTATAATGTGAAAAACAATAAGACAATACCTTAGTATTATACTGCCAAAAGACAGGTTCAAACATGTGACAGAAGCTAAAGCACTACCCTATGGCAATGTTCTTAAACATGAATAAAAGGTAAGCGGGAACCTGGTCTCGACGGACAATTTGTCCATTCAGAAAGTAATTGTACTTTGCTCTGACGAATTGACAGCCCATGAGTTTAATGTGCTTGTTATGTAGCTTTGAATTCATGAAAATGTAGTTTTTCATAAGGTCTGAGATTTTTAGGACACAAAAAAATATGTTTTAAGCACTAATTTAAAGTAATAGAAAAAAAGAGCGCAATCCTAGGTTAAAGCTAAGCATAACACTAAAGCTAAGCCTAAGATTCAGCTTGCACTTATGCTTCGACTAGTCCTATGCTTCGAAGACGGAGAAGCCTTAGTTTTAAGCTTAGTAATAAACATAGTCTAATTCAAAGCCTAAGGCTCAGCCTACATCAAAACCTCAGGCTCCGCCTACAGCAAAGCCACAGGCTCAGCGAACAGCGAAGCCTCTGGTTCAGCCTACACCAAAGCCTCAGGCTAAGCCTACAGCGAAGCCTCAGACTCAGCCTACAGCAAACTCTCAGGCGCAGCCTTCAAAAAAATCCAAGCCTCAGTCGAAGGCTTGAGCTAACAAAGTTTGTCTAATTCAAAGTCTAAGCCTAAGCCGCAGTCTATCTCAAAACTCAAGCCTAAGCTCAAAAATAGTTTCGCCTGTATACTTTAAAACTAAAACTCAACCTAAAACAAGGTAGAAACCACAGTGTAAAAAACTTTAAACACACATATTAAAGTAATAACAGTTTTTCTTTTAAACTTAAAATTGAAAACATTTATGAATATGCTACATAATTAAGAACAAATTTGAGTGAAAAAAGCATCAATTCCCTTTACATACTGAGTAACTACCTTTTGAGACCACAAAACATACACAAATGGCAGTAATCAGACTAGTTCCTTCTTTATAATTTTTGGGTAACAAAACAAGCTAAAGGAGCACTCAGGTGTTTTTTACTCAAACTGAACTTTAAAAACTTGTTATTATGTTTTTGAACGTTACAATTCATTTTTATATTGTACTCTACCCTATCCTATCCTACCCTATCCTACCCTACCACACCCTACCCTACCCTACCCTACCCTACCCTACCCTACCACACCCTACCCTACCCTACCCTACCCTACCCTACCACACCCTACCCTACACTACTCTACTCTACCGTACCCTGTCTTCCCTATCCTGCCATAGTTTACTTTTTCCTAGCCTTTGTTACAATACTTTACCTAAGGTTATCTTTCTAACCCTACCTTTACAATTGATTTTCTGCAATTCTACTGTACTCTGTTATTCAGACCATTCATTGGCCTTATTATAAATTTCCCTACCCTAGCCGAACTTTGACCTACTCTAGCATTAAAGTGCCCCTACCTACTTCTATTTATCATGATTTGACAAAGAAAGCCTTACTTAAGGCTTGTATGTGTATAGTCTGATATTATCACCTGATAGTTGGCATTACCATAATTATCGATATCTAATTTGATATGACCATACAAAGACCTATCAATATCATCCGCCGTCCTCCAATTTTACTTTTATCCTGCGCCACGCCGCCCTGTACCTATTTTTCGTTTTTACTGTGTGCTACCTTTTCGTACTCCACCCGACCCATGAAGAACAAAAAACCCCTTGCCAAGCCAAGTAAAACCGAAAATTCCCTGCCAAAGCAAACATAACTAAAATCCATGCCAAGCCGCAGAACCTTCGGTTCGAGTGGATTATTTACAATTATACCTAATTTTGGCTGGAAAACCCCGAAAATATGGGCGAAAAGCGTGCCCATCTCTCACGAAATGGGTGTTTTCACTCTTTGAATAGTTAAACAACCACAACTCGACTACTGGGAGGTATAATTAACAGTTTTGTTCACTCGAGCCTTCAATATCCGTCAAAAAACAGCTGAATTTAGGGTGTTTTGGCCAATTTTTAAGCTTAAATTTTTTTTTAATTTTAAAAAAATTGTAAAAATTGTAAAAAATTTAAGTTTTTACTATGTTAAACTGCCTATAATTACAATAACCATGTTTAGTAAAATACGGGTTGCTCAAATAAAAGTTTTAGTCCCACCACGAAAACATTCGAAATCTCATAAATCTTATAAACCCTTCATTCAGACAGTCTTTGAACGGCTCTTTAATGTAATTGAAAAAACCGGCCCGTGTTATTTTTTGTTTACCCAAATTTGCAAAAATAAGGAAATGCCAAAATTCGTGAAATTGTGAATTAAAAATATTTTTTAACATTTTGCGAACTATCAAGCGCAGCAGCTTATGCATATAAGCCTAAACGTCAAAGCTAAAGTCTAAAGGCTTACGCCCAGACGTCTAAACCTAGACAACTAAGCCTAGAAGTCTAAGCCTAGAAGCCGAAGAGTACAAGCATAAGACTAGAAGCTTAAGCCTAGAAGCCTAAACCTAGAAGCCTAAGCCTAGAAGCCTAAGCATAAAAGCCTATGCCTGGAAGCGTAAAGCTAGAAGCCTAAGCTTAGAAGCCTAAGCCAGAAAGCCTAAGTCTAGAAGCCTAAGCCTAGAAGCCTGAAAACACAGGCCGAGAAACCTAAAATCCTAAGCCAAGTCGCCAAAGCGAAAAGCCTAAACTAACTCTAGAAAAGTAATACCAGAAGGTTAAGCCTAAAGTTTAATTAAGCTTACAAGGTAAATCCAAAATTTTAAGCTAGAACTTAGGACAAAAAATTAAGCCTTAACCTGAAAACTAAAATCTTTAAATCTAAAGGCTTTGGTTGGGAAGGGGGGGGGGGGGGGGGGCTTCCTTCCCTCCCAGAAAAAAATTTTCGAAAAAAGTTGAACTTGGTTCCCCCTGTGAATTGTTTTAAAAAAAATTCTCAAAAAATCAGCACAAGTAGCTAGCTACCTTTTGGACCCCCGTTCCCAGACCAAAAAACCCTGCCCGGCCCTGACCACACACATCAACTCCTATTTTGTAACAAAGCACGAACCACAAAAACATGCATGACTCTTAACATGGTCTCGACAAAGCATAAACATAACCCCCTTAGCGAGCCTTTTCCCATTGACATTCGGCGACAAAATGTCATAAACAATTCATGCTGAACAATAAATTTGTTGTTGTCAGCGGAAAACAGGCATAGTATATAACTTGTGACAGATAATCATGCATGTTTAACCAGAAGGCGATGTTAATCTTGGTGTTATTGTTGGCGAATGTAACTTTAAATTGAAGTTTTATTGTAAAAACATGTTGTTTTAGACAGTTGTTTGTACTGTATGTTATACTGTGTTGTACTATGATCAATGAAATTGTACATAGTGCAATATAGTATTCAACAATTTTTTTCTTTAGTACCGTACTATATAGCACAAAAAATAATACTTGATAAATCACTGCACTATATAGCATCATACCATAAATTTGGTTGCCGTCGAGTGCTATATAGTCCCAACATATGACTTTACCGTACTATATAGTACCACTAAAACTTTTGTGACAGCACCGTACTACATAGTCCTAAGCTATAAATTTTGTTGCCATATCGTACTGTATAGTACCACAATATAATTTTTTTGCAGTAACGTACTATATAGTACCATGAATTAAGTTTACCCCAGTACCGTAACACACAGTTCTAAAAATAAATTTCAAGCACAGTATCGTACTACATAGTATTAAAAAACGTTTTTTAAGATTGAGTACAATAAAATATGCTACTACCCTATAAGTTAAGTATCTGGGTTTATTACTTGTCAATAACAATGATATCAGTTTGCATGGCTCCGCGTCGGCGGAGGAGATTCTGCGAATCAGAAGGCATTTTACTCGGCCGCCAATTCCATAAGCGATACAGTAATGAGTTCAAGGTTTTGTTTGTTGTCAGTTCTACTATTCTATAACAAATCACTGTAACTTCATTTCAAGTTTTCAAAGTTGCAAGAACTCTTTTTACAAAATAAAAAATGTCAAGGACTTTCTTTACAAAACACAAGATGGCAAGAACTTTCTTTACAAACCAAAAAATGGCAAGAACTTTCTTTACAAAATACAAAATAATAGCAAGAACTTTCCATACAAAACTAAAAATTGCAAAAACTTTCTTTACAAAACATAAACTCGCAAAAACTTTGTTTATAACCCCCCCCTTTTTGCCTCATCGTATAAGACGTCCCTCGCAGCCTGCCAAACAGCCAAAAAAAACAAAATCAATATAACTTACGCTTCAATTTGATACAATACCAATGTGAAGCAGATGTTGAATAAAAAGTTTATGATCAAATTGTTGTACTTGACGAAATCGACCGATTTTAAAAAGAACATTCCATGTTGCAAAAGCAATGTCATTGGCATGACAAAAGCTTGAGTTAGAACGTAATCTTGACAACGTTGACGAGATTCTCGTTGATACTTTGTAAATGAGGATTGGCGGGTTAACTTCTAAAGGTAACTATGTGAACTTGGCAACAATACAAGCCTAACAGTTAAGCATAGAAGCCGAAGCCTAGAAGCGTAAGCCTAGAAGCCTAAGCCTAGAAGCCTAAGCCTAGAAGCCTGAGCCTAGAAGCCTAAGCCTAGAAGCCCAAGCCTAGAAACCTAAGACTAGAATCCCTAGCCTAGAAGCCTAAGCCTAGAAGCCCAAGCCTAGAAACCTAAGTCTAGAAACCTGAGTCTAATTTAGAATCCTAAGCCTAGAAGCTAGTAGTGATGACCTACCACAGTCATACGTTTAATCTTCCTATAAGTCATAGCATCCAAAGTAAAGGTCACAACCAATGTAACAGTCATAAATGTTGTGGCAGCTACTCGATTAACATTAATTTGACATTGATCACCTTCAAGTGTGAATACAATGTGATCTATCAAAAAATGACCAGAACATTGGGTCATAAGCCAGAATCCTTCTGAAAATGTCTTTTTTCAAAATGCTTAGTCCGTATTTTACATGTAAATAACAAAAAAAATTATTTTATCATTAAATTTTAGCTTAAAACACAATGCCAAATTTTGGCGGGATTTCAAAAATTCAAATTTCTTCTGTAAAAGTGCTAGAATCTTAAGCCTAGAAACTCTAGATGCCCATATCAATATAAAAAACCCACGTATAAACAAGATAGAGAAGAGAATAGTACCCAAAATGATGATTTTAACCCATATTACAGTAGACGTAACCATGTGTAAAAACCCATGACATATGGCCAAGTGTCGCTCTACAACAGTGATAACTTGCATTACTATCGTACAACACCATAGTACGGCTGTAATTCGAATGAGAATGTTCGTTATTGTTGTAGTTAGAGTTGAGGTACTAAAAGAATTGGCATGAAGAAGTCAAAGTAACGCAACATACCTTATCCTAGGCTGTTCAACCTTGCTTTACCCTACTATACTCTATCCTACCCAACCCTACCTTACCCTACTCTACCGTACCCTACTCTATTCTACCTTACTTTACCCTAACCATCCATACCCAAACATAATTTACTCTGCTTTACCCTTTTCTGCCCTTTGATACCCAAGCATAAGATACTTTAGCTTACCCTAACTATCGTACTACCCACCCTACCGACTTACATATGAAACAACATGACAGGTCCGATCCAAAAACTCAAATAGCCAACCTGAAGAGCATCAAACGTCGTTCGACATACGACAAACTTGTCTCTAGCTGTCCGAATATTATTTTCATAAAACAATTTTATCAAATATACATTTATTAAAAAGGCTTCTAAACCAAGAACTATGGTTAATATAGCTAGGACCTTTAGAAGCATCATTTAGTACATACTTTGAAAGTTTTTGAAATTTTTTTATAAAAAGTTTGAAAAAAATATCAGCAGAACGTCATAGCGACATAATATTTAGTAGAAGATTAAAAATTTATAAATACTTTACTTTTTAGGCTTAACATATAAGTCTAATAATATTTTTCAAAAATTTTAAGCCTAAAAGCAAAAAAATTATAGAACAGTGTTGTTTAGACTTAGTTTAATCAAATTTATGAATAATAGTTTTGTTTAAACCGCCCGGTTTGATATAATATAAATCTTTTGCCAACTTGCATTTAAGAAAACTGATGACTAAACACATTCTCAGAACAAAAAGAAGAAGAATCAATTTGATTCTCGTCTTCTGAATCGCAAATCTTATCACTTTGTAAACAAATTTCTTATGATTTTTAAAAATTATTTTTTTTAAACTTTTTCGAAATTTAAATTTTTAAAAAGAATCTTTAATTTTGTGGCAATGTTTTTAATAACACATATAGAATGAAAAAAACTTTATCTCTTTCATTTAACAACAAAAATTTTAAATAAAAGTCAATCAGCCATCTCATAAGCCAAAAACAAGCAGCTCCAACTATTTTATCGACCTAACATAATATATCGCGTCCTTTGTCGAAAATAATAGATGATAAATAAACGCATTTAATAATCAGGTACACAACACAGCTTGTGCTTAATTATTTTTAGCTAAACTGTTCGCAGCCCATCAATAAAAGCGTCCACAAGCTCTTCAATAAGCCCATATGATGTTAACATTGCTTATATTTGAACTTTTCAATTTTTTCATAGCTAAATAATGTTACACACCTTCATAATTGACCTTAAAAAATCGACAAGACTATATTCGATGTATCGATACTAATTTTATGTCAAATTCCCTTCAAATTCCACAAAAATTTGATCAACAAGCTGTTCAACAAGGCGATTTGATGTTAACATAGCCGATAATTGAATTTTTAAAAGAAGACCAGTGTTGAACACCCTCATTTACACACAAAAAATCTCACACGTTAATATCCTAACTACCAATACCCATTTCAAGCCCTATTACATTCATATTTCATACCTAAACTTCAGAAAACGAACAAAAACACCTACCTTGAAGTTGTTATAATAAAAACCAGTCAACCAACACATTGTTAAGACGTCTCCAAACAATTCTATGCAACATAATCGTACAAAATCTAAAATTAAACCTTTTATAGGTCACATATAAGCCAAAATTACATTATAGTAGCTGGTGAAAACGAAAACTTTGAGAAATTCAAAAGAAAAAAATTAAAATATTGTCCTTAAGCAACAAAAATTTTAAAACCATATCTTTCTAACCTAAAATGGAACATACATTCAGTTATATCGCATAAAAATTGACATCTATTGACCAAAATTTCACATTTGGTCGTTTTGAAGCTTGAAATCGGCCGAAAAAACACAATGCCAAAAGGTTTTGGCGGTTACTTGTTTTCGTGTTAGAGCCTATTTTGCCGTTCGTGTGCATTAAATTTTGAGCTTATTTACAACACCATTAACATTTTATAAAAAAAATTCTTTTTCTTAAAAATTTAGTATTATTGCTATTTATTTCTGTAGTATTTATGTACTACTGCTTAGTTATTTTTAAGATTAAGTGATGACAATGAATAATAACTGTATATTATAATTCCTGTTATCTTGCTTATTGTATTATATATTATCTTTATTTCTTTTTCTATTTTACAATGGCAGATCTAAAAACAATAGGTGGAGAAAAGTGATGACATATAAGGTATTGTTCATAAATTTTATTACCTAAATTTTTAATTTCTGGAAGTTTTGTAAGAGATCCCAGAACTAGCTTTAGCTATAGCTCTAGCTCTAGCTCTAGCTCTAGCTCCAGCTCCAGCTCTAGCACTAGCTCTATCTCTAGCTCTATTCTGCGCCTTAAGAAACCAATCTTCTAGTACAATACAGATCCAACATTACTATACAACCAGGAACTTCTACTATGTGAAAGCACTTTTTGTTTATAAACAAACTACAATGTCTAACATAGTAAACGACAAAACAGTAAACCGGTAAATTAATGTTTTGTCATCAAAACAATACAAAATGTATTTTTGTTAAGTTCAAAGCATAAACCGTGGCTCATTATAGCGGTGGTAACATGTAGTCTATGTACTTCTTTTGTTTTTACTTTATTTAGTTTATACTGTGGAACTTAGTCTCACATGTAGTGTATGTTTTGTAGACTAACAAATATGTTTTATACACTAACAAAGTAATAACACGTTGTTACAGCGACTTCTCTCCTCCTTCTACCCTCCCTCTCCCCCCTCTCTTCCCCTAATTTCTCCTCCCTCTATACCTCCAAGATCTGAGTATAAAAACAAATCTTTGTATTACATTGTTATTCACTTCTACTTCACCTGTCAACAATATTAACTCTGCTTTACCTTGTTTTCTGGACCAGTAATTGAGGTTTAATTTGGTTTGTTTGTTACCAATTAAAGCTCACCTTGTTGTCTCTACTATATATTGTCTACTACTTTGATTTACATCAACTTAAACTAAACTTTAGTGAAAATTTTGTGTTGTTCAAGCCGAAAATACAGAACAAAAATGCCTGAATACGAATTGATTTACTTTCCAGCTACTGGTAGGGCTGAGGTAATCAGATGGTGCTTTCATTATGGTGGAATTCCATTCAAGGACACTAGAGTCCCTAGAGATCAGTGGCCTAGCTTCAAGAGTAATACTAAAGGTACGGTGGTTAAATTTTTTTATTACTAACGTGACTTTATAAAGCCAGCCCAGAGCCCCATCCCAGAGCCCTAACCCAGAGCCCTAGCTCAAAGCCCTAGCCCTAGCCCAGGGCCCTAGCTCAAAGCCCTAGCCCAGAGCCCTAGCTCAAAGCCCTAGCCCAGAGCCCTAGCCCAGAGCCCTAGCCCAGAGCCCTAGCCCAGAGCCCTAGCCTAGAGCCCTAGCCCAGCAGAGTTTTAGCCTAGAGGAGACCTAACCCATAGAAATTTTAACCCAGGGTAGTCTTACAATTGTTAGCCTAAAAGAGTCCTAGCTCAGACGTTTTAGACTGACAAAGCTCTAGCCCAGAGAAGCCCTCGCTTATAAGGGTCTTACCCCAGAGGAGGTTTAGCTTAGAGAAGTCTTAGCCCAGAACAACCCTAGCCCATATTTCTAGCCGCAGCTTAAACATTAGCTTTACTTTTTCATTATCAGCTTCCTGCTCAAGCAAGCAATATCCAACGTATAAATAAGCTCATAGCCGTATCCCTACCCCTGTGTTTGACCTTTTTTAGTACTTCCCTAGCCGAGCAGTTTTCTTGCTTTACCATAGCTTATAGTATTCATCCTTTAATTATGCAACCAAACATTCAAAACTTTGCCAAAACTTTTCAATTTTAGTAATTCCCTTTGGCCAAGTCCCAATTCTCCTCATTGATGGCAAACCCTTGGGCGAATCCCACACAATAACCAGATATGTAGCCAAGCTTGCCAGCCTAGACGGTGGTCCAGACCCAGTAAAAATTGCTCATATTGATCAAGCCTACGAGATGTGTCGCAACTTCTTCGACGATACTTTCGAGTACTATTTGGTACAAAATGGAGTACTACAAGGAGATGTGCAAAAGTTGAAAAGAGAAAAGTTTGAGCCAAATGTTGAAAAACATTTTGGCAAGATTAAAGGTCTTCAGAAGTCATCTGGCTTCTTTGGAGATACTGTAACTTATGCCGATTTGTTTTGGGGCAGAGTTATGGAGTTTTATCATGAAAAGAATCCGGAGATCATTCAAAAATACCCGGAATTTGTTGAGTTGATTAAGAAAGTGAAGGGATTGTCTCAATTGCAAAATTATTTTAATAGTCAGAAGTGAGAAATTGTATTGAAATCTACTACAATATGCATCTTACTCTTTTTTTATATCAATAAACTTTGACGAAAAATGCAGTGTTTCTGAACTTATTAACGTTATTTCGAGCCTTAGATTACTATAATTCTAGATTAGTCTTGTACTAATCATGCCCCAAGCCTAGGTTTAGCGTCAGCCTCAAGACTAGCCTCAGCCTTAACTCTTGCTCTTGCCTAGTTCAGCCAAGCAAAGGCCAGCTCAGCAATGCCCAGCCTAGACTAACTCAATTCCAGTCCAGTTTTAGCCCCGGCCCAAAACCCAGTTCTAACCCTAGGCCAAGCCTTAGCCACAACCGCAGCCCTAGCTGAGAGCTCCAGTCCCAACCCCAGCCTCAGCCTTAGCCTCAGCCCCAACCTCAACTATAACCGCAACTTCAAACTCAACATCAAATTCAATCTTAACACCAACTTCAATTTTAATCTCAACCTCAATTTCAACCACAATCGCAACCTCAACCTCTGCCTCAACCTTACTCTCAACCGTACCTTCAACTTCAACCTCAGCCTCAAGTTTAGCTTCAGCCTAAGACATAGCAGTATTATATGGCAGCCTAACAGGCAAAAGGTTTATAAATTATATAAAAAAAATTTTTTTAAAATTTATTGTGTATCCTTGAAAAAATGACGTCGTACAAATCGATATAGCATAACAAACAAGAAGAAAAACGCAATAAATCCAATTGATAAACTAATGACTAGGTAAGCCAGTTGATCTACAAACTTTCTCGCTTCTAAATTATGACGTCGACTTCTGGATTTAGGTTTTATATTGTTTGAATTTTCAAGTTCTGGTGGTGTTTTTGTAGGTTGTTCAGTTTCTTTTTGTTCTTGATCTTCAATACCATTGGCAAGAACTGATCGTTTGATTACTTTATTTGTTTCGGTTTCGCACTTTACTGGTAGTGAGCTAAAAAATTATAAAATTATTACTTTTTAAATTTAAATTAAAAATTTTAAAATAAAACACGTTTTTTAGTTTTATATGCCGCTAAGCTTGTAACGAGACCAGGCAGGGCTCTTTGTTTGGCTCGGCTTGGCATCTTTTAACAAATCAAATCTTTCGTTTCAAGACCTAAGCAGGGCTCCTGAACCTTGGTTTCGGATCTGGTCTATATATACCGGACCGGTCTCTGTTATATATGCTTAGGCCAGGTTAAAACAAGCTTAAGAAACCCACTTTCAAGTCTACTTATTTAAAAAAAAAGAAATTAAGGACTTACTTTATCATTCGAACACAAATCCAATCATCTTTACACTCTTTGTTGCAATCTTTGACGACTTGAATACCCGTTACTGAAGCTGACACGTTGTTTATCACAACGTTGGCCCATATACTATTAAACTAAAAAATATGTCGTTATTTTGTCATACCCTACTCTACCTTACCTTAGTATAAAGTATCTTACAATACTCTTCTGTCTAGTACAATACTAAATCTATGAAAATTTTTAAAGAACTTACAATAACAATTAAAAAAGTGACATTACTTCCAAAATACTGTAGCGAGATCATGGTTTACACTCTTCAACGACCAGGAAACGTAGGGTTTGAATTAAACAGCATGACCAAACATGTTTTTTATATTCATTCGAAATGTCATAACTTATTGAATTAACTCAAAATTGATAATTTCACAGTATTTGAAACAAAAATGTGTATGACCGCACCCAATCGACCGTAACATTAACATTCGATTCAATTTCAGAACTTTTAAACTTAAAAAGTGTTAAAGTGCACTTTAAAATGCCTTTTTTTAAATTTTAATGGTGGTTCACAATGTGCCAGAAGTTTTTTTTAATGTGCCACTTTGTTTTGCATTTTGTTTTTCGGAATTAATATAAAATGAAAGTTGAACCAGGTAATAACTAAAAGCTTCCCACGCTTAACCTTCTGAATACATTGAACTTTAGATCCCGGAACAGCAAAATCCATAAGTCAAAGGTCGTATATAAGATACACATAGTTATAAGCAGTGCCGGGCGGGAAACTTTTTTGGTTTGGAAGCGGGGGTCTGGTTATTAGAATGGCTACAGTAAAGCAACAGTATAACTATAACAAAGACAACAAAACTTTAGGTAGAGTAGAATCTAATAAGATTAGGTAGAGCTTAGGATAAGGTATAGAAGAGTAGGATAAAGCTTAGAGAAAGGTAGAACTTGAAGTAAATTAAAGCTTAAAGTAAATTTACTTTACATATTCAAACGTCTACAATTACAACTCGGGACATATGTGTTAGATTAGTAGTTTGATGCCGTAGATTGTAACCTACTGTGCTGATGTGCAAGAATGTTCAAGGTTCGGATGAAGACCGGAGCTATCCTTGAGTCTTACGTTTCCCATAAAAGGGCCTCTCCCCAGGTATTTTACTGTTTCTCGCTTCACTGAGTCGTGGGTGAGGTGCTCCATAAGATTTCTGGCGTTCAATTATATACTCGTGTAGGCCAAGTATAGATGTGTTTAGTCCCCGTGCACTCAGCACTGAGTCTACAGTATTTTGAAACCTAGGGTAGAGTCTAGCGTAAAGTAGAGCCTAGGAATAATAAGTTAGTAACTCAAGATAGGGTAAAACCAGTGTTTTGAGACTTAGAGTAGAACCTAGGGTAGAGCACAAACTAGAGCAGTGTAGATCTTAGAGTATGGTAGAGTTTAACAAAGGATGCCTAGTATAGAGTGCAGTCTAATATAAAGTAAAGCGTAAGATAGGGAAAACTTGAGTACAGCATAAGATAGGATATAGCTTTGGCAAATTTAAGCAAACAATAAAGTATTGACTATGGTAGGATAGAGCTAAAGGTAAGGTAAAGCCTAGAATATAGTATAACTTTGGGTATGGTAGAGTTTAAAATAGTGTAGAGCCTAAGGTGACGTAGAGTCTAAGGTAAAGTAGAGGTTAGCGTAGAATAGAACATTGGTTTAAAGCATAGCGTAGAGTGGGACCTAGAATAAAATAAAGTCTAAGGTAAAGTAGAGGCTAGGGTACGTAGAGCGTAAGATAGGAGAGAAATTAGGGTACGATAGATCTTACTAGTTAGAGTAGGTCAAGAATTATCTGTGCTTAAGCGTGTTTTTTTTAATATTTGCACTTTTGTCTTAAGTCTGTGGGTTTATTTATATATGTATGTTTCTGCTTTGTGTCTGTTCTGTCTTGAAAGCGCATTTTTGAAACCTTAAGACTGCTTATGAAGGTTTCAAAGGGTCTTTACTCTGTTTTTTATCACGTTTCTTGTATTTAAAAGTGGTATATTACAATAAATATCAATCTAAAACTTTTTTTGACTTTTATATTTTTAAAAGAGCTTATTTTAAAAGTTAAATTTTAGTATCTTAGGTACTTAAAACATTGTGTTAAATACATTAACACAAGTTTTAAGTCAAGTCGTTTCAGATACCACAACTTTAAAAAATGCCAGAGTACGAAGTAATGTATTTTGAGGCTACAGGCCGCGCTGAAGCTATCCGGTTGATGTTTAGCTACGCTGGTATTCCGTTCAAAGATACCCGAGTCACTTTCGATGAGTGGCCTGAACTTAAGAAGGATACAACTAGTATGTATATTGTAGTAGATGTACTTTAGCTCTTTTATATAGCCTTTTCATAGTAAAAATAGTAACTTTTATATTGTTATATATTATGGTAGATCTACTGTTACATATTGTTGTATATTGTGTTAGACCTAAAGTATATAGAAGTTTATATGTTGTGATAGACCTAAAGCAATATTCATTCCAGAAGTCCCCTACCAAGTCTTGCCAGTCCTGTTCGTCGATGATAAATTGCTGGCTGAAAGCCACACAATCTACCGTTATGTTGCCAAGTTGACTGGTCTTACTGGCGGTCCGGACCCATTTGATGAAGCTGTTGTTGATCAAGCCCACGAAGTTTGTCGTGGCTTCAATGATGCAGCGTATGGCTATGTTTACGTGGTTTTGGGCTTTTGGAAACAGGATAAGGTAGGATAAAGCAATATAAACTAGAGTAAAGTAGGATAGAAGTTGTTTAGACAAGAGCGTTACGAAAGGGAGTCTTTAGTTGGGCTAGGGTAAAAATTGATTGAGAATTGTCAAGTTAGAAGGAAAATACAGTAAGGCTAAAGTAAATCTACGTATGAGACTACAGTAAATATACAAAAAGGAGAAAAAGCAAGGTACTGTAAGATTAGGGTAGAGTTGACGTGAAGCTACAATGAGGGTAGGGTGGAGCCAGGGACGTCGTTTGAAAGGGGGGGGTGGCAGGGGGGGGGGTACCCCCCAGAGCCGATTCGAAAAAAAAATTTCACAGGTAGGTACCTGTACGCGGAAAAACAAAAAAAATTTTTTGAAAAGTCGGTCCACAGGTAACTTACAGTAGAACCATAGTAACAGGAAAACCACGATAAGACTATAGTAAGGCCAACAAAAAGCTCACAGTAGAACTATAGTAAAGCTAACAAAAAAGCCACAGTAAGACCGTAGTAGAGAGAGACCACAGTGAGTTTATGGTAAATCTGAAAGGAAGGCCACAGTAGTACTATAGTAAGGCTAACATAAAGGCCACAGAAAGGCGATGGTAAGGCTAACAAAGAAGCCACTGTTCATACCTTACTCTACTCCATCCCATTTTCCAGAACGAAGCTTACAAGAATATCCTTCTGCCAAACGTTGAAAAGTATTTCCCTCGGATCTCAGCTCTCTTACAGCCTTCTGGCTACTTTGGTAAAAACGGCCCGACTTATGCTGACTTTTCCTTCTGTCAAACGATCGAAGGCTACAATAGCATGGTGCCGGAAGTTGTGGCCAAGTACCCGGAGTTTTTGGCTCATTATGAAAGAATGATGAAGCTACCTCAGATTCAAGACTACCTCAAGAACCGCCCGGCAGCAAAATGTACGATGATCTTGAAAAAATCAAGCAAACTTGTGATTGTGTTCAGGAAAAGAAATGATTTATATTTTTTTTGATAGTTTGTGACTTTTTTTTGTATTCTGTATCATGACTATGCTAGTACTGTTATTAAATAAAACACATTTATAGTTTTATAACAGTCTAGTGGTCATGTTTTGTTAAACTAGTTTTCGTAGTTATTTTTGCCACGTTAGACAGCTGGGAAGTTTTATAGTTTATGTCTATTATACGACTCAAGATTAACTAAAACCCATTATTTAAACATTGTACGGTTACTATAGAAACACTGCTTAGCCCTTCAATGGCAAAAGTCTATTTATACGTACAAATCGTACAAAATTATCAAAAACTGGGTTGGTGCCTTAGAAATCTAACTTTTTGCTCACATTCTCTATTATACTTGTGAGATTTGTTCATAGTGTTAAAGAGAACAACATAGAACGTGTATATGTTATAAAATATTGCCTAATGTTAGTAAAGTTTGTAAAATGTATGCTAAAACATAATGTTTTCACGTGTTTTCGGTAAAAACCACGCCTTTGTACAACCTTATTTATGTTTCTAAAGTTATTCTAGTTTTATTTTAACTTTTATACACTTAGTCTAGCTACCCTAGCATAACTATGTATTTTAAAATATAGTTTTGTGTAACCATGATGTTCTGCTGCAAACGCTCTTCTGACGGTCAAAAACCAACAGAGTTAATAAATGCAACTTGTAGGTTGATTGAAATGTTTCTTTTAATATTGCACGTGCGAAGCATAAAGCAGGGTGTGATATGCTAGAGGATTGTAAAATAAGCTATAGTACAATAAGCTATAGCAAAGTAAGCTAGCTTAAGCCCAATAAGTCTATGCCTACTAAGCCAAAACCTACTAAGCTGAATCTTAAGCCTAATAATTTTAAGCCCACTAAACTTGAACCTATCATGCTGAAGCCTACTAAGCCTAAGCCTACTAAGTTAACTTACTAAATAACTCAAAGTCTACTAAGCTTAAGTTTACAAAGCCTGAGCTTATTATAATAAGTGTAACTTACTCTTACGAACCTTAAAGCTGCTAAGCCTAAGTCTGCTAAATTTTTGCTTACTATACCTAAGCTTAAAAAACCTAAAGTTAGGTCTAATCTTACTAAACCTATTCATTTTCTGGGAGCTCTTAAAAAAGGAATCATTATCAAACATGTTAAACAAGCTTTTTCTTTATTCAGACATGACAAGCCGAAGTATATTTTTTATGTTAGTGAAGTTAAATGTCACAAAATGTACATTGTTTACATTTGTGTTGTAGTTTGTGATCAAACAATAAAAAAAGTCAGTTTTGGTTTGTACTTTAACAGTGACAAAAAGAGAGAAAAGAGTAGACTTTAGTCTGTAGTTGAGGGTCTTTTTGCTCTTTTTTAATGTTTCACAGGCTTTTGAGGTAGGGTGGTGGTTTTTATGTTTTTAATGTATAGACAGTGTTTTGTCCGAACCGGTCCGGGGCGTTTTTCACCGGTCCGGCCCGGCAATTATTCGAGCCCGGTCCGGTCCAAACTGCAAATTTTTGGGTCCGGTCCTGTCCAAATTCAAAATTTTCGGGTCCGGTCCGCAAAAAAAATTTTTTTTTAAGAAAAGCAAGGAGCGCTGAAACTGCTTTTTTTGTTTAAAAACTCTTAAAAATATGCTTTATTTAATATTTAAAACAGTTTTGTTAAAATAAAAAAAAAATTCTTCCGGGCCGGAGCTTTTTTTCGGTCCGGGTCCGCAGGTTTTTGGGTCCGGTCTGGACCGGTCCGGCAAAACGCTGTGTAAAGAGGAAACTATTATTACTTATTTTTTAAATTAAAATTTTTAAAAAAAATGATTTTTTGGATTTTTAAACTTTTTTTTGAAAAAAAAACGTTTTTTTTAAACCGAAAAAAAATAAAAAAAAATTTGTTTTAAACCCGTTTTTCACAATTTACCGGTCGATTTTTTGTTTATTTTTCATATTTCACGTCTAAAAATAAAAAATTTTAAATTTAAATTTCAAAATTTTAAAAATTATGGTGTCCCGTTTAGCCAAAATGTCCAACTTTGAACTGATCTACTTCAACGCTCGTGGCAGGGCTGAAGTCAGCCGGCTTTGCTTCCACCACGCTGGCATCACATTCACTGATACTCGAATGACTAAAGAGGAGTGGGCTGAAAAGAAAAGCGATACTTCTAGTAGGTTTTTTTATTTTTTAAAAATTTTTTTGATATTTGGCAAAACTAAATTTTTTTTTTTGCTTTTTTTTATTGGGCAGGGTAAAAAAAATTAAATTTATTTTTTTCTATTAGGCAGGGTAAAACATTTTTTTTTATTTATTAGTAGGGGAAGTTAGGGTAGGGTAGGGTGGGTAGGGTAGGGTAGGGTAGGGTAGGGTAGGGTAGGGTAGGGTAGGGTAGGGTATTGAATGCTTCTTTAAACTAACTTTTATAGGATTCCCATACAATCAAGTGCCAGTACTTTTCATCGATGGAAAGCCGTTGACTGAAAGTCATTCTATCAACCGTTATGTGGCTAATCTAACCAAATTGGCCGGTAAAGATGAGTTAGAAGCCGCTTTTGTTGATCAGGCTTATGAGAAGGTTCGAAACATGATCGAGACTATTGAACCATTCTACTTGGTACCATTAGGCTTTGCTACTGGAGATTACGTAAGTTTTTAAAAAATGGCAAGAACTTTCTTTACAAGAGACAAAATGGCAAGAACTTTCTTTACAAAACAAAAAATGGCAAGAACTTTCTTTACAGTTTTCAATATGCAAATTTTTGTAGTATATGTCAATTTAAAATGAAATTATGTCACTTTAGGACCAACTATACAAGGACGTTTTCGTACCCGGAGTTCAGAAGCATTTTCCTCAAATCATCGGCCTTCTGAAGCCAAGTGGCTTCTTTGGAGAAAACGGCCCAACTTATGCCGATTTCTACCTGGCTGGCTACATTGAATCCTTTTTGAAGCACGGATTCCCTGAGGTCAACAAATTCCCACCAATCATCAAACACTTGACCGATGTGAAGAATGTGCCACAACTTCAGAAGTACTTGAGTACACGTCCTGATACAAAGGGATAAGAAGTTATATTTGTTACTTAAGTTGGTTCTAGCAGTGTTCACCTTAATTGAGCGAAAGATGATTCATTTTAATCATGTATAATATGACTTTTTAATAAAAAGTGACAATTTTAACGGCTATCATTTACTTGTTAGTAAATAATTAGTTTTTTTTTAAAGATTTCAAATAATAATTTTGAAGTTAATAAACTGTTTTTTAAATTTTAAAATTGTTTTTTGCATTCACAAGTTTGCAACTTTTTAAAATATTTTTTCAACTTTGGAACAACTTGTCTCGTTATCGTACGTCTGCCTCTGTGCTCCACCAGTAATTGATAATTTTAATACATTTAATATTAAAAACACAGATCAAAAAGTTATATTCAACAAACGGCTTTAAAATCAGGTTTGTTTTTAATTTTTTGCAAGTCGAATCTTTCGTTGTGGGACCTAAGTTGAAGCTTCCGTGCCTTAATGTAGACTCGGCCTATGGGCCCGCACAATCGGCCTTTTTTAAATTTGCTTTGGCCAGCTTAGTAAGCCGCTTTTTATGTCTAGAATGAACTAAAAAAATTAATTTTTTGCAATTCAAATCTTTCGTTGTGGGACTTAAGTTGGAACTTTGGAGCCTTTATGTACCTCCGGCCTTTGAGCCCGCACAATCGGCCCCTTTCAAGCTTGCTTTGGCCCGGACTTAGTTGGCCCTCTTTTCATGTCTAAACTAAACCTAAAAAATTTTTTATTTTTGAAAGGTTTAATAGAGGAGAGTATGTCTAGCTTTTATATTTTTTAAACTTTTCCGTTTTTTTGTGACTGATAGTTTGATAAAGCTAAAGACTATAATAATTGGATTTTACTGTTTTATAAAAACGATTGATAAGGTTTTTTATATTTCTTCACATTATTCTTTGATTTTTTCAGCTTTTAAAAACTTTTAGAATTTTTTAGCCAAAAAAGTCGCTTTTGAAATATTTACTTTTGTGTTCTTCTGAAGTCAAAACATATAATTTTAAGTAAATTTTAGTTCAAGATGACCCCCTCAATGGAGCTAGTCTACTTCAGTGTACGTTCGCGCGGAGAAACGGCAAGATTAATGTTTCATTATACTGGCACACCTTTCAAAGACACGCAAATTGATTATTACAAGGAATGGCCAAGTATTAAGCAAGATACTTCTAGTAGGTTTCGGAAAGAAAGTTCTTGCTATTTTTTGTTTTGTAAAGAAAGTTTTTGCTATTTTTTGTTTTGTAAAGAAAGTTCTTACCATTTTATGTTTTGTAAAAAAAGTTCTTGATATTTTAAGTTTTGTAAAGAAAGTTCTTGCCATTTTATGTTTTGTAAAGAAATTTCTTGCCATTTTTTGTTTTGTAAAGAAAGTCTTTGCTATTTTTCTTTGATATTTCAGGATTTCCAAACAATCAATTACCAGTGCTGTATATCGATGGTGTTTTACTACCTGAAAGTCATGTTATTAACCGTTATTTGGCTAGACAACTTGGCCTAGATGGTGGTCCAGACCCAGTACAAATCGCATTGTTAGACTATGCTTATGAGGCTTGTAGACAATATGTTGACAGTGTACAACCTTACTACTACGTTGGTACTGGGACGCGTCAGGGGGATCTGGTGGGTTTGTTAAATGTTGAGTAGGGTAAGGGAGGGTAGGGTATGACTTAGGTAGAGTAAATTAGGGAAGACAAGTATAAGACAGGCTAAGCTAGAGTAAGTAAAATTAGGTTGTGGCTTGGGTAAGACTAAAAAAATGGCATGAAGTAGGCTCAGGACAAGGGTAGGGTAAGGTACAACTGATTCAGAATAAAGGTAAGGTACAGTACGTCAAGAAGCCAAGCCGAGCCAAACTTGTGTCTAATAGGTCTCTTTTGACGCCTATAATAAAGTAAAAGTTCACCTATGTTTGTACCAAGCTTTTCAATATTAATATGGCTAAAAATGAAACAACTTGTCTTTTCAGGCCGAGCTCCTCAAGACCAACTTCATTCCAAACTGTCAAAGCCAACTGCCAAGAATTATCAGTCTGATCAAATCGAATGGATTTTTCAGTGAAAAAGGCGTTTCTTATGTTGACTTTTACATTTCCAACTACATTCACACCTATTTGAAGATAGCTGAAGAAGAGGTCAAGAAGTATCCAGAGATGGTGGCACACCGAGATCGAGTCTTTGCATTGCCCCAAATTCAAGAGTACTTGAAGCAGAGAAATGACACTATTTGTTAACATGTTGATGAAAAAAAGACTTTTTTTTAAATGGCTAACACATCTAATGTAATACTGGAAAATATAAACTATCACTTTGTCTATTTGTAAATAAAAAAAACCAACAAAAGAATGATAAAAAGGTCTGTTTGTATTAAAAAAGGTCGAACACACGTGTCAGTTAGTTTACTCGTGTTTCATTTTTAAAACAGTCAACAAGTTTTACAAGGAAAGTGCCCGACCTGCCCCGCTCGGATTGATTTCAAACTTTTTATATAGAAAGATCATTTAAATATAAGATGTTCAGCAAAGTACTAAATCGCGCTTTCCAGGAAATCCCGACAAAATCGAGATTAAAAAATGCCATTTTGAATTTTTCGCCAACTTGGCATTGTGTTTCAAGCTTGTAACTTTGTCAGGTTTTGACTTTTAATAATTTTTCTTTAATATACTAGTAGAAAACCTTTAAATAAACCTACATTTTTAAATTTGTAACCGTATCTTGTCTGGAAAGCCGAAAAAAGTGCTTGAAACACAATGCCAAATTTGCCAAATTGGCGAGATACCCAAATAATTTAAATTTAAACCTCAAGAGCGCGAGCTAAAATTTTTAATATGTACTATTGGCGGTACAAAGAATTCATATAAAAATTTTGAGCTGATTCTGAACGGGGCAGGTAGGGTACTTTCCTTGTTAGTGTAGTTTTGTAAACAAAGTTCTTGTATAATTTGTTACACAGTAGTTCAGCTATATTTAAAAAAAAAATTTTTAATTTTATAAAATTTACTTTTTTCACTTACAAGAACATATTTTGGTTATTATCCCTTAGTACGATCAAAACTTGCCAAATCAGTTTTTTTAAAAACCGGTTGAACTGGGTAGTCAGTTAGCTTGTAAGCTCTGACATTTGTAAAACGGGCCGCGCTGACTTAAAAAAATGAAAGCGGGTCGGACCTAAACGTTTATATTTTTAGAAAAATCGTATGCCTTCACTTGAGCTCGTCTACTTCAGCCTTCGTGCACGCGGAGAAACGGCAAGATTAATGTTTCATTATACTGGCACACCTTTCAAAGACACGCAAATTGATTATTACAAGGAATGGCCGGCTATGAAACATGACAAGGCTAGTATGTAAATTTTCTGTTTTGTAAAAAAAGTTTTTGCCTTTTTTGCTTTGCAAAGAAAGTTATTGCCATTTTATAGTTTGTAAAGAAAGTTTTTGCAATTTTACATTTTGTAAAGAAAGTTCTTGCTATATTTTGTTTTGTAAACAAAGTTCTTGCAATTTAGAGTTTCCAAACGCTCAACTGCCAGTACTACTAATCGTTGGTGTAGTACTAGCCGAAAGCCATGTTATCAATCGTTATTTGGCCAGACAGCTTGGCCTAGATGGTGGACCAGACCCAGTACAAATCGCTTTGTTAGACTATGCTTATGAAGCGTGTAGACAATATGTTGATAGTGTACAACCTTACTATATAGTTGCTACTGGCTTTGGCGAGGAAAACACGGTAAGATCTTTTCTTTGGGTAAGGTAGGGCAAAACGGGGCGTGGGAACACAGAAAAGAGTAGGGCAGGACAGCAAAAATCAGTTCAAAGCATATCAAGGCAAGGCAAGGCAAGGCAAGAGTCATCTTAACACAAATAAAACTATAAAAACGATCATTTCAGGCAGAATTTTACCTATCGACCAACTTCATTCCAAACTGCAAAACCCAACTGCCTAGAATCATCAGTCTGCTCAAACCACATGGATTTTTCAGTGAAAAAGGCGTTACCTATGTTGACTTTTACATTTCCAACTACATTCATACCTATTTGAAGATAGCTGAAGAAGAGGTCAAGAAGTATCCAGAGATTGTGGCACACAGAGATCGAGTCTTCGCTTTGCCTCAAATTCAAGAGTACTTGAAGCAGAGAAATGACACTATTTGTTGAGATATTGAATGAAACGACATTGCGTAGTAAGAAGAACTGATAGTGTATTGTCAGAAGTTATATATATAAACTATTTTTTTAATTTTGAATAAATTTTAAATTGGAAAACGCTGTTTTTACATGAAAAACATAAAATTCACATATTTCATAAGCAATTTGAAAATTTTATTTTATTTTCAACGATTTTAATTATTGCTTTTCGAGTAATCAGTGGTTGTCCTTGTCTTCAAGAAGTGTACTTTTGGTCGTAAAACATGATTAGAAGTAGGATTTTGACACAACCTCACAACAGAGTTGTGATTCATCGTATGTTGGCCTACAGTGGAAGAAATGTCGGGTAAGTAAACAGTAAAAAATTTTTCACTTATGCATTTTTAAAGCTATTGTTAATCAAAAAATTAACAAAATTCTTATAAGCCTAAGCCTAGAAGCCTTAGTCTAGTAGTCTGATCCTAGAAGCAAAAGTCTAAAAGCTTAGGCCTAGAACCCTAAGCCTAAAATCGCAAGCCGTGAGGCAAAAATAAGTTAATTTTGAAAAATATTTTTTAAATTTTAATGTAGAATACGTTGGCTCTATGTTTTCAAACCTAAAACACAAAGCCTAGAAGCTTAGAATTTTCAAACCTCAAGTTTAAAAATTTAAGCCTAAAGGCATCTTATCTTTAGTCTCAGTCATAGATGTTAGTTTTGATAATCTTTAAAAAGTCAGTGTAAAATACGATTTCTCAACATTCCAAGCCGCGAAGGATGTCATAAAACATAAAAATAACTGATTCTCCTTTACATAGAAATCCAGACTAGTCATCGTTAGGCTAGTGTTATTACAAAACCTAAAGTTTTTGGCTACAAAACATAATTTGCAAAAAACGAAAAATCATCTTTTTTAGCGAAAAAGCCGATTTTTTGTGACAAAATTTCTCAAAGATAAACAAAAAGGAAATAATATTACACTTGGCGTAAACAAAGATCAACCTTTGTAATATTTATAAGCCTCTTGTGGCTGTTTTCTTAACACAAGGTTTAAGTATTTCTTATCGCAACGTTTCGACGATATTTAAAGTCGTATGAAAGGAAGAAGAGAACGTTATAGGCAAACAGAATGAATGAATTGTTGTTGGTTTTGTTTCTGCTTTTGTAGTTTAGTAAATTCAAAAGTGTTTTAGTCTTAGATGAAGGATAGTCATAGTGTTAGCTTCAGGTTTCGCTTTAACTTTAGCATAATTTGAAGACTGTGCGTGAGGCTTACATACGTCTGTACTTAAACACGAGTTTGAACATAAATCTGATCCTAAACTTCAAAGTGAACCTAAGCCCTAGACGGAGCTTGAGCTTGTGCTTAAGTTAGAGCTTGTGTTTGAGTCTAAGAATAAGGAAGAGCTTGCATCTAAGTTTGAAGCTGATCCTAAGCTTTAGTCGGAGGATAAGCTTGAGCATAGACGTAAGCCTGCGCTTGATCTTAAGCTTGTGCTTGAGACTTAGGCTGGGCTTGAACCGGAGCGTGTGCATGAGCCTGAGTCTGATCCTGAAGCTGATCCTAAACTTTAGTCGGAGGGTAAGCTTGAGCATAAACCTAAGCCTGCGCTTGATCTTAAGTTGTGCCTGAGCCTTAAGCTGAGCTTTAGCCTGTGCATGAACATTCAGCATGAGCCTGAGTCTGATGAGCTTCAACCCTTGTCATAATTTTACATTTAGCTTCAGTCTTAAAGCCCTACTTTTGGCCTTAGCTTTGTCATTATTATTATTCAACCACTATTTTTCCTAAACCTAGTTTAAACTTACTTTAGGTTTATCTTTGCTTTATCACGCACTATTTTAAAAAATTAATTAGTCAAGAATAAGCATTTTTATAATTTCATGTCTTCAGAATGCCAAAGTACGAGTTGACTTACTTCAATTTCCGCGGCCGTGGTGAGCCAATCAGACAGATCTTACACTATGGAAAGGTGCCATTCGAAGACACTAAAGTCACCATGGAGCAATGGGGAGGTATCAAGGAAGACAAGAAACGTAAGTTTTAAATTTTTTTATTTTTTATTTAAAAAATTTGTATTTTTATGCCTAAAATGACATTTTTTCTTAAAATTTTTGAAATTTTAGGCTTAATTTTACCCTTTTCCAGGTTTTCCCTACGGCCAAATGCCAGTGTTCTCAATCGATGGTACTTTAATTGCCCAAAGTCACTCAATTACTCGTTATGTTGCGGCTGTTGCCAAAGTTGCGGGCAAAAACTCGGTGGAAGCGGCCGAAATCGATCAGGTTTACGAGCTATGTCGCGAGTTTGCTGATGCTATTACTCCATATCGACGTGTTTGCTTGGGCTTTTTGCCTGGTGATAAGGTGGGTTACTGTATTTTTGTATGAGAAATATTTTTTTTATTTTGTTTTAGGTAGGTCATATGAAAAATAGCAGAAAAAGAAGCTTCAACGAAGCAAAAAAAAAGTTTTGTCGTTTTTTGACTATATTTTGCTAAGTAAAAAACGACAAGATTTTTTTACCGTTTAAAATTGTCTTTAAAACCCATTTCTAACCATATTTGTTAAATTTTAAGAATTTCGTTGCAGGACCAAATCTACAAAGAAGTGTTCGTACCAGCGGTCGAAAAGTACTGTCCCATGATCCAAGACCATATTGGTACCAATGGTTTCCTTCACCAAGGTGGCATCTCCTACGCCGATTTCTACTTTTCTGACCTCTTCTTGAGTCTTCAACTCATGCATCCAGCCATCTTTGACAAATACCCAAAACTGGTCGAATTGAAAAGGAAAATGCTCGGTCTGCCTGAACTTCAAGACTACTTTAAGCAGAGAGGTGATCAACCATTTTAAGAGCATATTGTGATAAAGGTGTGAAAATATTGAGTTTTGTAAAGTTATAGTATGAAAAATAAATTTTAAAAAAATTTACGTTTTTGGCACTAATTAGAGCTGTAAATGGGCCGAGCCTTGGTTCAGGCACCAGCCTTCGGGCTCACGTGTGCCGGCTCGGCCCGACCCTTTTTAAATCAGTTTCGACTTAACCCGGCTCTTTATATAAATTAAATAAGTTTACGACTAGACTTCTTTTACAGTTTTTGCAAGTCAAATCTTTCGTTGCGAGACGTAAGCTTTAGCTTGAGCCCTAAGCTTGAGCATGAGCTTGAGTCTAAATGTGAATCTGCATCTAAGCTTGAACTTGAGCATGAGCCTGAGTCTAAATCTGAATTTAAACCTGAGCTTAAGCATGAGCATGATTATCAGCATGAGCCAAAGCCTCCACGGCATTTGTCAGCCTAGGTGTTCTGATCCGGCTCGGTTCTCCTCGATTTTTTTTTGGTTTGAGGCCAAGGCTGGTTAGTAAGGTTTCTTTCAGATTTAGGCGGCCCAGCACCTTTCAAATTTGTTTTGATTTGAAACCAGGGCCAAGCTTAGTAGGGTCTCTTTCAAGTCTAGCGTAAAGTAAAAAAGCTGAAGATTCAGTAATAAAAAAAGTACCTGTAAACATTCAAAAAATTGGTTTTTTTCTTTTGGTACATCCCCTACCCATCCTGACTCCACAAACCAAAATAGCTCGTCTAAACTTGCCCTGAACATCTTTCCGATCGACTCACGTGGCTACAAAAGTTGTGCTCGCACAAAACTTAAGAAAGATAAATAAATGAGAGCAAAGGTTTAGTCTGAAGTCTTATTTATTTCTAATCAAACATATTTTTAGAATAGTAAAGTTTTATAATTTTCGTAATGCCAAATTACGAGCTGATTTACTTTCAATTTCCTGGGCGTGCTGGACCGATTCGACAAATGTTTACTTATGCCAACATACCGTTCAAAGACACTAGAGTCAGTTTTCAAGAATGGGGCAAGATTCGAAAGGATAAGACACGTAAGTTTTCTAGCTCCAGCCCCGAGCCCTAGCCGAGAACTCTAGCCTAGAGTCCCAGATCAGAGCCCTAGCCAAAAGCGCTAGCCCAGAGCCCTAGCCTAAAGCCCTAGTCCAGGACCCTAGCTTAAAGTCCTGGCCCAGACCCCAGCTCAGAACTCTAGCCCAGAGCCCTAGCCTAGGAGTGTCCTAGCTCAAAGTAGACATAAAGAACAGGCCAGGCCGGAGTGTTAGATCCGGGCCGATTTAAATTTTGTTTAAGCCCCTAGCTCTAGCTTTGCCTCTAGGTTTGATCCCAGTCCTAGCTTTAGACCTACAGGTACTTTAGCTCTACCTTGAATTAGTTTTACTTTACCCTTACGCTACATTTATAAGTCATTATTCTATCAAAACTTATTTAAAAGCTTATCATTATTTATAATTTTTAGGTTTCCCATATGGCCAAATGCCAATTCTTATGATTGGTGATACATTGATTGCACAGAGTCATGCAATTATTCGTTATGTAGCTGCTGAAGCTAATTTGGCTGGTAGAAATAAAGTAGAAGCTGCTGAAATTGGCCAGCTTTATGAACTATGTCATGAACTGTTTGAGCCGTTGATCCCTTATCTCAGGGTTACATTAGGGATTTGGAGAGGTGATAAGGTGGGTTTAAACTAATTTTTTTGTTAATTTAAACTTGAATTACATAACAATTTTTAGATATTTTTTTCCTTTTTTAATTAAAAATAGGTATATTAAGACTTCTTTAGCTTAAACTTATTGTGCGCCACCATTTTCATAGTACTCAATACTACAGTACGACACAAAAAACGAAATTTTATTTATTTTAGAAAAAAATGTACAAAGAAGTAGTAGTACCAAATGTTCAAAAATATGCACCACTAATAGAAGATCATATTGGTGCTAATGGTTATGTTCACAAGTCAGGAATTTCCTATGTTGATTTTTACTTGGCTGACAACGTAATGGCTTTTCAAAATTATCATCCAGATCTTTTCGATTCGTACCCAAATATCTTGGCGTTGAAAGAGAAGTTTCTACAGATGCCAGAGTTAAAAGAATATTTTGAAAGCGTTTTTGACCCTGTAAAGAATAGAAGCAAGTTGTAAATACAATTATAATACTATGGCTGTTTTATGTTTTTTAAAAAAATAAATTATTTTATGTAAAAATACTTTTTTTACGGCTCCACTCTGTATTTCTTTAGTTTATGTGCTGTATGCTTCATATTGTGTTTTATACTCTACCCTTTGCTACGCTCTATGATTTAGATTTGCTCTGTCGTGGGCTCTACCATTTTAATTCTTATAGTCTACTCTGTAAATTATTTTATGCTCGCTTTACTCTATGTGCTACCCAATGCTTTACTCTAGTCCCTACCTTATGTGCTACTCCATAACCTACTCTATGTACTTCCCAATACCTTACCATAGCTCTTACCTTATGCGCTACTCCATAACTTACTCTATATTCTACCCTATGCCTAATCCTATTTTTTACCTTATGTCTTATTCCATGTCCTATTCTATGCCTTAATCTATGACCTACTTTATGCCCTGTTCTACTTGTTACTTTGCGCTTTATATTAAGCCTCACTTTATGCCTTACTATATGCCTTACCCTTAATGCAATGTAGCTTATCCTATGTCCTAAATACTTCAAACTATATTTTCCTTGTCTTACTTTATTCTGCTCTGTTTTATCAACAAAGACATACCCGTTTCAACTCCTCCACTACTTCCCCCCCCAACACAAAGTTATTAAAAATCTAAATAATCCTTGCTTTTCCAAAACTTTCCCCCATTTTAACTTCAAAAACAAGGCTTTTCTCCTCCATTTTGAATTTGTTTATGCTAATCCTTGGGTGTTGCCAGTTGTGGCAAACAATTTTCACTACATTTGCGCATCTTCGTTCCCAGCGGGATGGCGGCCAAGATTGATTGTCATTTCCGCAGCTTTCGGAACAATGAAATGGCGCAATTTCGACTCGAAATGACCGTCAAGGCAAGGAATTCCAAACGGATGGGGTTTCAAGTGCTGGTTTAATGTTTAAGGGGTGAGGGGAGGAGGGGTTATAGGGAGGGAAAAGGGTAGAGTGAAAGAAGCAGGAATAGAGAAGGCATGGGTAAGGTATTGCAGGATAAGGGAAAGGTAGGGTAGGGTAGGGTAGGGTAAGAGAAAAAAGTCCTGTCGTTTTTTGACGTTAACATTAGTGGTAACAAACGACAAAACTTTTTAAAACATTTAAAATAGCAAAAAATCATTTTTTCTCATTCTAAGCCTTGCCATAGCTAAACAAAATATTTTTTTTATTTACAAGCCTATATTAATATAAGAAACCCTATTGATTACATAAAAAACACTTTTTGTTACCATTAGCATTGCAAACCATGTCAATTACAAGTGTTTTTTCAAAAGATTATCAGTCATAACATTGGCGCCTTAAGGGTACTTGCTTTGTACTGATAACAAGGTGTTTTTTAATAACATTTCGCAACATTACCCTTAGTTCTATGATTTTTAATGCCCATATTTTTCAAATTTCCACATTTTTGCACTAATTAGGTTCAAATAATTCTGTGCTTTGTTTTTAACTTTTACTCAGTCTTTATGTTAATATAGGCTTAAAAACGGCTTATGATATTATATTTTTCACATAATTCTGTGCCCCCTCTCAAAGCAAATTTTTAAGGTTAGAAGGCACAGAATTATTCGAACAAACAAATATTTAAAAAAACAGAACTTTAGAAAATTGAAATTTAAAAGCAAAAAAATTTTGTCGTTTTTGACCATGCAAACGACAAAACTTTTTCTGACCCCATGATCAACCCCATTTTGCAAATTTAATTAAGCATTATGTCATCTCATTAATTACTTTACTCTTTTCAATTGTTTTTGCGAGTCCACTACTTAAAATGCCAAATGTGTGCCGGCTGGGGTTTTTCAATTTCCGGCAGCGACTCGAGTTTCAAGGCGGCGAACGGCGGCCTAATGAGCTCGCGGATTAAATTAGACTATAATTAAGACGATTGTTTATTACACATGTTTGGCTAGGGTGAAGGTGAGAAAAAACGAGGAATTTAGTTTGGGCATGGCTTGGGCTTATGCTTAAGCTAAAGCTAGGGCTCTGGGCTAAAGCTATGGATCTGGACTATGGCTAAGAATAGTACTTAGAATTTAGTTTGAGCATGGCGTGGGCTTGCGTTTGATATAAAGTTAAGGCTTTGGGCTAGGGCTCTGGGATAGGGATCTGAGCCAGGGCTCTGGGCTGGAGCTCTGGTTTAGGGCACTTGGCTAGGGCTAGAGCTAAGGGTAAAGCAAAAGCAAGGCTAAGGCAAGGATAAGGAAAAGCTAAGGAAAGGTTAAGACAAGGCTAGGGCAAGGCTAGGGCAAGGCTAGGACAAGGCTAAAGAAACTCTAAGGTAGGACTAGGGTTTTCGGCTAAGGCTGTAGGCTAGAACCCTGGGCAAGGGCTTTGGGCTAGGACAAGACTAAGTGAAGACTACATCAAGGCTAAGGCAAGATTAGGGCAAGGCTAGCGCAAGGCTAGGCTAGGTCAAGGCTAGGGCAAGGCTAAGACAAGGTTAAGGCAAGAGCTAACGCTAGGCTTGATAAAGGCTAGAGCGTTCTAAAATAATCATTAAAAAATCTTTTTAAAGACCCATATTTACTGTAACATGGCATTTCTCTAACCAAATACCAGTTTAGCATTCCAATCAATAACCTACTCAAATATTTTAATACTATTTCCCATAACCTACTCAAAAATGCCTTGAGAAACACTCTAAACAGCGAAAGGAGGGGGAATATTCCTCGGCCGCTCCTTTTTATGCGATTGGATTTCCGCGCCCCAAACCTCGGGGGCTCATCTTGTCTCCATAAGTCTTTTCTGGCCACAAAATTGGCACTGGGAAATGAGTTTTTTTTTCTTTCTGGATCGCGAGTTTTTTCTTTTTCTGCGAGCTGGTTGTTTTTAAGTTGGACAAGTTTGAGGGGTTTTAGAAACTATTGTTGGGGTGTTGATGTAGTCATATTATTATTGAGGTATAGATCAAAATGGAAAAATTTTAGAAGAGAGTTAGATAGCCAAAGGTTTTGATTTGAAAAAAAGCAGAAAATTTTAAATGAAATACGGAGAGTTTTTGAAGTTTAGTCCAGCTATACTCAAGCGTTGATACTAACTTTAACTTTACTTTTAGCATTACAGTGGAATTAAAAAAGATCCTGTATAACGAAACTCTTTTATAACGAACAAGTTTCCAGTCCCCGAGCGATTCGTTATACAGGAGTTCCACTGTACTTCTAAACCTAGCCTTAGCTCCAAGCTTAGCCTTAGCTTCAAGCATAGCAATGGCTCTAGCTCTAGCCCTAGTTCTAAGCCTAACTTTAGCTTTAAGCATAACCTTAAACTTATTGTTAGTGTAAGCCTTAACTTTAAGCTTAGCGGTGGCCTTAGCCTAGCTTTAACTTTTGGTTTAGCCTTTCCGCTAAGCCTATCTCTAAGCTAAGCCTTAGTTTTAGCCCTAGACGTAGGACTAGTCCTAGCGTTAAGCCTACTTCTAAGCCTAGCATTAGCTGTAAGGATAGCTCTAAGCCTATTGATAGTGCTAGCCCTAGCTTAACGCTTAGCTCTAGGCTTCATTTAGACTACTTTAACTTTAGTTATAAAACCAAACTTTAGCCCTAACTCTAGCTTATAGCCTACTCCAAGTTCTGGCAATAGCTCTAGCCCTAGCACTAGTTTGAAACCCAGCCCTAGCTCCAGCTTTAGACATAGCTTTAACCCTAGTCCTAGCTCTGACACTAGCTGTAAGCCAAGCCGCAGCCTTGACCCTGTTTTAGCTTAAACGCTAGGTCTAAGCCTAGTGCCCTGGTAATTTTTCTAGATCTTGTTTTTGCGTAAACACTATTGTGTGTCTAACCCTAACTCTGAGTCTAGGCTTAATTCTAAGCCTAGTTTTAGCCCCAAACCTTGCTTTAGCTCTATGAAAAGAATGTTCTTGCAGTTTTTTGTTTTGTAAAGAAAGTTTTTGTCATTTTAAGATTTGTAAAGAAAGTTCTTGCTATTTTATGCTTTGTAAAGAAAGTTCTTGCCATTTATCATACGGCTTGTAAATTTAAAAAAAAAGAGATTTTTTGATTTTATCATATTTTATTTTTTTGTTTATACGAATTTCAACCTCTGACTGAACTGGAAATTCCTTTCTTCACAAGAATCACGAGTAAAATACAAAAGCACTGTACAACAGCTAACATCACCTAATTGATTTACTCTTGTTGTTGTGGAAATGATAAAAGCTAACGAATTATTTTTTGACGATTTCGCTGCGTAAACAGTTTTTACTCGTTATCACCTCTTCAATGTGCATTTACTGTAGGTTGGACACGGCGAACGCAAAACATATACGAATCTACTTGAAACCGGTCGGTGGGACAATGGCTAGGCCAAGGTAATTTATTTTATTTTAAAATTTTTAAAGTTAAAATATTTTACTGAGCCTAACCCTACCTTACCCTACCCTACACTACCATACCATACTATACCCTACCCTACCCTACCCTACCCTACCCTACCCTACCCTACCCTACCCTACCCTACCCTACCCTACCCTACCCTACCCGACCCTACTCTATCCCACCCTATCCCATCCTACCGTATTCTACACTACCATACCCTCCCATACCTTACCCTAACTACTCTATCTTACCACATTCTACCCTACAGTAACCTGTCCTTCCTTCCCCGTACTCCTGCCCTGTTATTTTACCCTACCTTATTCTACTCTACCTTTTCTAAACTTACCCTACCCGTTAATAATAACCTAACTTTCAGTGACTCCCCGCGAACCTCAACCGACTACGAAGTAGCGGCCGAAGAGTTGGTAGCATTAATGAGTCTACGTGGTGTCGAAGCCAAATCTCATATTGATTCAGAATTCGGCGGAATCTCAGGGCTATGTCGACGATTAAAAACAGATCCATTCCAAGGAATATCAACAAATGAAAATGACATTTCAAAAAGAAAAGAGCTTTATGGACAGAATAAGCTAGGGCATGGGCGACCACCCCAGTTTCGGGATGTTTTGAAGGAAACGGCTATGGTAAGTTTTAAAATATTTTTTTAAATTACCTCGCCTTACTTTATCCTACTCTACCCTATGCTATCTACTTTACCCTACCCTACTCTACTCTTCCGTACCTTACCCTACCTACCCACCGCACCCCTACCCTACCCTAACCTACCCTACCCTACCCTACCCTACCCTACCCTACCCTACCCTAACCTACCCTACCCTACCCTACCCTACCCCTACCCTACCCTACCCTACCCTACCCTACCCTACCCTACCCTACCCTACCCTACCCTACCCTACCCTACTCCATACTATCCTACCCTACTCTCATTACCTGCCCCACCCTACCCCATCCTATTTTACCCTGCCGAGCCTGTCCTGCCCAGCTTGCCCCTTTCCTACCCTGCTTTGCTCTGCCCTGCTGCCAAAGACAAAGCAAGGTTAGACAAGAAAGAGCTGAGCAAGGCAGTGAAGAGCACGGCAAGGCAAGTAAGAGCACGGCAAGACATAGCAGGGCAGGGCGACGTAAGTTAAGCAAGGCATGGTAATGAAGTCAGGGTAAAGCAGAGCAGGGTAGGAAAAATCCATGCCCTCTCTGCCCTACCCTACCTAATTTTCTAAATTTAGAAATTTTTTTTAAATTTTAAAAAAGTTTTAAAAATTTCAAAATTTTTTTTTAAATTTCAAAATTTCAGTCCCTCCGCCCAATAATCCTCGGAATGGCAGCAATCGGCTCAACGGCCGCATGTTCCTCATTCTTCATCAATAACCGACGGATGGTCCGCGCAGCCGAAGCCTCAACCCTAGTTGTAGTGTTCGCGGCCGTTGTTGTTCTAATTGGAGCCTTTGTCAGATTTCAAAAATTAAAAACTCAATACATTACCGACGAAAAGGCCAAGAAAAAAGCATGGACAGAGCTGTTTTCGAATCAATGTTATTGTATTCGAAATGGCAAACAGACAAAGGTTGAAGCTTTAGAGTTGGTTTGTGGGGATGTGGTGGAGATCAATAAGGGTAAGAGTTTTAATGTTATGGTATATTTTTGAAGAAACGACGGTTTTTTGTGGCTAAGGTAAAATTAAGTATGAAACAGCTTGGTTATGATTAAATTACTATGAAGTCGAGGTAAACTTAACTTATTGTATTGCTATAGAACTATGGTAAGAATTATGGCACAAAAAGCAAGGGTAGAGTCATGCAGAATAGGATCGGTTAAAGTAAGGTAAATTAAGATAGGCTTAGAAGTAAGTGTGGATAGGGGTGGAGGTATATTTAAGGGCTATTGTAAGAGCTGGGATTGTAGTAAGAGCTTGGATAGAGATAAATGTAGAGGTAGGTGTAAGGGTAAGGGTAAGAGCACAAATAGTACTAGAGATATGTAGCGCTACGGTTAAAAGCTAGAGCTGTGGTAAGGCTAGGGGCAGAGATCAAAGTAAGGGTAGAAGTAGAGATAAAGGCGGGGACAGGAGTAGAAGGAGGGCAGGGGAAGGCAAGCCAATGCAAGGCAAGTCAAGTCAAGTCAAGGCAAGGCAAAGCAAGGCAAAACAGAGCAGGGCAGGGTAATAAAGTTTGCTATTTTCAGGTGACCGCCTCCCAGTTGACGGTGTTCTACTACAAGCCTGGGATCTAAAAGTAGATGAAGTTACCCTATCCAATACTCAATTTGAAAAAGAAATCGTTCTACGAAAGTCGCGAGACCAAGACCCCTTACTTTTCGCTGGATCACAGGTAGTTGAAGGTAATGCCAAGGTGTTAGTTACAGCCGTTGGCAACAATATTCAACTACAACAACCGCATCCAAGCCCTCCGGCGTCACCTCGTTAATTGTTTTAAAATTTTGTCAGTTTTACCACAACGTCCGGTCAAAAAGTTCATAGAAAAAAATTTTTAATAAAAATTTTTGGTTTTCTATGAACTTTTAGACCAATAAGCTAGCAAATACTTATCGACAATAATATAAATGGAAATACTAAACTAAATGCCTTCTCACACATTTCAAATTGTAATTACTACAACGTATACTATCGTTTTAACATTGTAATTACTTACGTTGTGAGTTTACTTTGGTGCTATTATAAATAAACTTGTTTTTACAATAGCTTGGAACTTTTTTTTTGTAAAACAGTTTAGAAAAACCAGGAAACGCTAAGTTGAAAACACTTAAGCTGTTGCCAACAAGCACTTGTGTTAACCTCCCACTTGATATTTTACAGCATAGTTTTTTGAGCTCTTACAAAACTTAGCAGATCATATGATGATACACCGGTATCCCACGTAAATAAAAAATATAGAATTAGGTTTTGTGACATTAAACTTAGTAGGCTTAGACTTAGTAGGTTTAGGCTTAGTAGACTTAGGCTTAGTAGGCTTAGACTTAGTTGGCTTTGGCTTAGTAGGCTTAGGCTTAGTAGGCTTAGGCTTAGTAGGCTTACCTTAGTAGGCTTAGGTTTAGTAGGCTTAGGCTTAGTAGACTTAGACTTAGTAGGCTTAGCCTTAATAGGCTTAGGATTAGTAGGCTTAGGCTTGGTAGGCTTAGGTTTAGTAAGCTTAAGTTTAGTAAACTTAGGCTTAGTAGGCTTATCTTTTGTAAACGTAAGCTTAGCAGGTTTAAACTTATTGTTAGTAAGGTTAGGTTTAGTATGCTTAGGTTTCGTAAGCTTAAACGTTGGAGGGTCATGCGTAGTAGGTTTCGACTTAGTAAACTTGCCCGTAAGCTTAGGTTTTAGCATAGTAAGTTGAAGCTTTTTTAAACAAATTTTAGATTTAAAAGCTTAATTTTAAGCCTAAAACAAATTTTTTCATCAAAAACCTATTTTTGAAGAAAAAATTAAAATAAATATTCCTTGATCAGTCGCCATAAAAAATGTACATTTATATACATGTACTTAAAGTACACGTAAAAACAACAGATACATGCAAAACCATATCCATATGTCAAGTCAAAAGTGATACGCAGTAAAGAAGACAAAAAAAACAGTTACGAACGCTTTCGAAGCAGAGATTGTTAAAAACCACATAAACCGCGTTTCAACCGGCTGTTCAAACTTTTTTCGAATCAACAGACCAACGTTATGGTTTGACAACCAAGAGCTTGATTTGTATTCAAAATCAAAAAGTTTTTTTTTGGTAAATGCTACTATTTATACGTTTAACATCTGTGCGAGACAGATTCTTTCAAATTTAAAATGTATTCTTTTAGGCTTAAGATTCTAGGCCTAGGCTTCTAAGCTTAAAATTCGGGACTTCTAGACTTAAGCTTCTACGCTTACAAGGAAAGTACCCAACCTGCAACTCTCAGAATTAGCTCAAAGTTTTTATACAGATTCTTTGTAGTACCAGTAGCACATATAAAAAATCTTAGCTTGCGGTTTTAAGTTTTAAAATTAATATATTTAAATTTTCCGCCAATTTGGCAAATTTGGCATTGTGTTGCAAGCACTTTTTTTGATGTTCTAGATAAGATAGGCGTACAAATTTAAAATTGCAGGTTCATTTGAAGCTTTTCTGCCATTATATCAGAGAAAAATAGTTAAAAGTCAAAAAATGAAGAAATTAAAAGCTTGCAACACTATGCCAATTTGGCGGGAAATTCAAAATCTAATTTTTTGATATCGATTTTCTCAAGACTGGCCGCAAACCGCAACTTAGAATTTTGCATAAACTCTTACATTTACCTGATCTTTCAATAAAAAAATTTTGAACAACATCTGAGTGTTGCAGGTCGGGTACCTTCCTTGTTAGTTAGACTTCTAGGTTTAGAATTCAAACCTAGTTTTAACCTTATAAGCCAAGGCTTAAGCTTCCGGGCCATAGATTAGACTTAGGCTTTTAGGCTTGTTCTTGTAGTTTACGCTTTTTAGCTTAAGCAGCTAGGCTTCTAAGCTTAAGCTCCTAAGCATAGGCTTAACCTTTAAAACCGAAACTTCTAAGCTAAGCTTCTAGACTCAGACTGCTAAAGTTAAGCGTCTAGGCTTAGCCTTCTAGATCTAGGCTTTTAAGCTTCGTACACTTAGACTTTGATCCCCACCCGCTTTTGTATCACCCCGCCCTTAAATTGCGTCTTTTACGTTAAATTTAAATTTTTTTAAAAACTTCAAGATTTATTTTAATTTTATTTACCATTTCATGTGCCCAAATAAATGCCACTTTCTGCCACACCATAATTTTAGCCCGACATATATACTTGATTCTATGTTTTTCAAGGTTTTCCTTTACAGACCCCTTTTTGCGATCGTACAAGCTGAAATTAATTCTTCAACTTCATTTGTTCTGACCTAAAAACAACTCTCATTTCACTTATAATTTCACCCATTTTTCTTTAAATTTTAAAAAATTAATGCTATACAACAGACTCCTATTATAGTTAACCCCACTTTTAAATAGCAATATTTTTTTCAACTTTAATATTTAAACAAGTGTTGGTTATGTAAATTTAATTTTATTGGCTACAATGTAAAACATGCATTATTCTTAATCTTTTATTCGACAGAGATTTTTGAAAAAAAACTTAAAATTCAAATAAAACTGTTTTATAAATTTCTGGATTGGACTTGATATGTATGCTTATTATGGGTAGACTAAGACCTAAAGTTTAGACGTAGTGCGCTTAGGCTCAGTAGGTTAAGGGTTAGTAAGCTTAGAATTAATAGACATAGGCTTAGTAGGCTTAAACTTATTAGATTTAGAAATCTTGGGCTTAGCCATAATAGGATTAGACGTTTAAAGCTTGACCTTTCAAGCTTAGACCTAGTAGTCTTATACATCGTAAGCTTAGCCTTAGTAAACATAGGCTTAGTAGGCTTTGGCCTAGTAGGCTTACGCTTAGTAGAAATAGACGTAGTAAGCTTAGCACTATTAAGCTTAGGCTTAATAAGCTTAAACTATAATAAGCTTGAATCCTCGAAGTAAAATAGAGTAAGATCCCAGCACTCGCAGTCATTTGTTGGGTCGTTTTACATCGAGGCAAATATTACAAAAGTAAATAATATTACATAAGAAAGTGTTGCGTAATACGATTTCTTGCAATTTCTCTAAGGCTATGTATCAGTTATGTCATAAATACGTTATGTAAGGTATCGTGGAAATTTTGATGTTATGTTGCCTTCTTTTCGATTATACCCTCTCTCAATATAGATATCTTCTTTGTTCAACAAAAAAAATTTTCAGGGTTTGAGCTACGCATTCTACGTGTCACAGAATCACTTACTTTTATGACATATGGCTACTATACACACGCACAACTACTACTACTGAAATATAAATCTCTACATCTCCTCATACCTACTCTTTCGTGACGTTTTGATGCTATTCTAGGCTTCTGTAACAAAAAAAGGTGTCAAAAACGTTAAATCTTCTACTACAATATCACCAAAGATGACTACCTTCGTTAAACAAAACAAGTCTGTACCTGTGCTTCTTGGATGTAAGTTGTGTTTCTGTACTCCATTTACCCTATCCTACACAACCCTACCATACCGTACTATACCATACCCTACTCTACCCTACCCTACACTTCCCTATCCTAAACTACCCTGACCTACCCTACCCTACTCTACTCTACCCTGCCCTGCCCTGCCCTGCCCTGCCCGATTAAAATTGTACCACTTTCAGTCGCCATAGCCCTAGTTCTAGTAATAATCGGGCTTGTGTTGTATATATTACTGTCATTCAACACCAGTAACCTTTTACCTCTGCCACCTCCAGACAAAATAGGATACGTGTTAACCCAACGAAATGACACTTATACTGTGCCATTTGTCATGATAGCTGATCAAGACAAACGGTCAAAAATTCAAAAAGGCTTCTATCGGTCACCGTCCATCCGCGGGTACTTGAATTACAATTTGGTAAGTTAGGGTAGGGTAGGATAAGGTAGAGTAGGGGAGAATAGGGTAGAGTAGGTTAGGGTAAAGTAGAATAGAGAAAAGTAGAGTACTGTAGCGTATGGTAAGGTAGGTTGGCTAGCGTGGAGTGTAGTAGTGTAGGGTGGAGTAAGGGAGAATAGGGTAGAGCAAAGTAGGGTAGGTTACGGTATTTTTTACCCAAAATAATTACAGAAAACCTTAAACTTTAACATATCATACGACTATGAGTACAACTATACATCAAACTATGGTTTTTCTGACAAAGGAATGGAGCTGTCTGATCTAAAATACTATAAAGGATATCTGATTGCCCCTGATGACAAAACTGGGATATTGTTCAAGTAGGTTTAAACAAAGTTTTAATTTAAAAAACTTTAATTAAAATGGTTAAGCTAGATTTCGTATTTTAAAAACCAATAACTTTCAGATTATCGCCATCCAAAGCTATCCCGTGGGTCGTGAACGCCGATGGAAATGGTCTTTCAGACATGTGTAAGTTAATAAAACGGGCAAAAATAAGACAAGGTAGATCCTTAAGAGCCAGTATATAGACAAGCTAGATATCTGTAACATTTTTCGACGAATATAAAGCCAATTTGAATTAGCATTCAACTAAAAAGTCGATTTTCAGCGTTCAAAGCCGAATGGATAACAGAGAAAGACGATCTACTTTACATTGGAAGTCATGGTACTGAACAAGTAATGAGAAAAAATGAAAGTATACTCGATGAAAATAGAATGTGGATCAAGGTAAGCATAGTGCTATACATTTCTTACAATAATATTGAACAGCAACTCGAATTTTTAAATGTTAGGCAAGAAAACCTATGTTATTATCACAAAATTGATCATAACTCAGAAACTCGTCCAAAACCAAACCCAAAACTAATTTTAAAAAATACTTCAAAATCTAAACCTTTATATAATTACAGATAGTCAACTACGATGGCCATGTAGAACACGTAAATTGGCGTGACAACTACATGGCCCTTCGGGAAGCCATGAACGTGACCTTCCCCGGCTATATGGCTCATGAAAGCTGCCAATGGTCCCAATTACACAAAAAATGGGTCTTCTTACCTCGACGACTCTCTCATGAAGTTTTTCATCCCATCCAAGACGGCTTTCGATCCACCAATGTTTTGTTAATCGCCGACGAATACTTTGGCAACATCCAGGTGGTGGAAATCGGAAAAGTTGAACCAGTTCGTGGATACAGCGCTTTTCAATTTGTACCAAGTAAGCAAATGTTCTAAATATATTATTTTAACAATGTTTTTAATTACAGAAACATATCTAGAAAAAGAACGAAGATACCGTGCTTTAAAATTATATTATTCATGTCCAGAATTAATATAACGTTTCGTTGGTAAAAATATGAATAAGTAATGACTTCTGGTGAAAAACAATTCCAAATGCCATACTTTATAAGTTCTAACAATTCTAAACTTGTACCTAGAAAAAGAAGGAAGATATCACGCCTCAAACTTATATTATCCATGTTTCAGATACCCAAGACCGCATAATTTTCGCTTTAAAAACTGTAGAAGCGAAAGATTTACCTCTAGAAACTTACGCGACAATCTTCGACATCCAGGGCAATGTTCTACTGCCTGACACACTAGTTCCATACGAATACAAACTGGAAGGACTTGAGTTCTTCGACTATAATCAAGCTGAATGGCTATAAATAATGCTTTTCGTAAAATATATGTAAATTTACTCTTAAATAAAGTTGTAAATAGAAGTTAGTAGTTTTATATAAAGTTTGACGGGTTTCATGTTCGTATTTTACCCAGTACACTGTAGCTACAGCTGTAGGATTGCGAAAGCCGTGTAAATCACCAAAAACGACGAAGTGTCACTAAATATAATGTGTGTCACTTCGCAACACTTTTTATTTTCGGACTAATTTTTGTTTTTCATTCTGTCTGGACGTTTTTTCACTTTACTCGCACATTACCACAATGTGATCATCAAAATATTTTGCGCATTAATGATTTTTACATTCTAAATTAGTTATAACAGCAGTCGCTTGTTTCATATAATTTTTTGTGTATTTTTTAAAGGTTAAAGCTCGTTGCCTTGGTGATTCACATTTTTAGTTTAGCTTTATCAGTCTTGTCGATTGTTACGCGTTTCTAACCTTAATTTTATCATTTTGACTTAAAAAGCTTCGAAATTGTGAATTTTGAGAAAATGCGGGAAGACATCGTTTGACTATGTTAACATTGCTTTCAACTCTTATATTAACCTTGTTTTCAGTGTAATAACAACGAAAATGGCTTCGAATCGTCGCCTGCAAAAAGAAGTTGTTGAACTTAAAGCACTGCCCGAATCTATCTGTAAAATAATTGAAATCAACGAGCAAAACTTCTTGAACTGGACGTTGTTGTTGTTACCTGTAAGTTTTTGCAGTTTCCTGTTGATATTTAGATGTTGAACAAGTTTTCTTACGCTTTTGTTAACTTTTTGTGGTTAAATGATTAATTTTAAAGCTTCAAAACAGCAGTTATGTTAACGTCATGGTTAATATTTTGTATAACTTTGTTTAGCCGAGATTATTTATTTATAAGTTAGTTATTTGAAATTGTGAAATAATGCACATAATACTTGATGTTTTAGCAAAAAGACCCTTACAGTAAAGGTGCGTTCCGAATTCAAGTCACCTTCCCAGCTGAATATCCGTTCAAACCTCCAAAGATCGTCTTCAACACCCAGATATATCACCCAAATGTAGATGAGAAAGGCCAAGTTTGTTTGGGAATTGTTTTGCCTGAAAACTGGAAGCCAGCTACAAAGATCGTACAAGGTGAGACTTTGTTTTTGATTTTTTTTTTGAAGTTTTAGGGGTTGATGTGCAATATATAAGTTTTAAGGTCTAATATAAGTTTTTGGTTAGTTTTCAAAACCTGTATTGAAATACTCAAAGAATGGTTGGTATACAGCTTAAGTTCTTTATATTACATGTACTGTTATTAATCTTTTGTACAAAATTTTTTAGTTTAGACTAAAATTATATTGTTTCAGTTGTTCATGAGCTCTTGGACTTGATATGCGAGCCAGAACTCGACCATCCTCTTCGATCCGAACTAGCCGAGGAATTCCGACAAGACAAGAAGAAGTTCTTCAAAACGGCCGAAGATTTTACTAAAAAGCACGCTGAAAAACGGGATTAAGGATCATTCCTTCATAATATTGATGTATCTATGTTAACGTATTTAGTATGTGGTATTTCTGTAATAGAGGATTTCCGTATTCTTATCAATTTACGTTTTTAGTCACATTTTGGTTGTAATTTTGTCTAAATAATTTAAAGTTATTAGGATGTTGCACTTACTATCTATCATAACACAATTTATGGCAAAAGTAGTGTAACATATCCGATGAATAACATGAAACGCTCTTGGTTATATAAAGCTCAACCATGCCGTGATATTTTACAGATTACTACGATTTCTTACACATTAAAGTTGTATTTTAGGGGTTTCGAATTAACGTATCTCTACTTGTGTCAAAGATGTACCGTCTTATGTTAATGGGTTCATAACTATACAATAAACTATCGAATAAGGTAAAAGTAGGGTTTTTTGGATGAAGAAAGTCAAAATCTTACTATATATAGACGGTGGGAGGGTAAAGTTGAACGAATTTTGATTTGGAGAAAGTTTATATTGTTTTAGGTTAAAAGTGATGATGGCTTTGAGGGAAATGCTGATATCTTTTTAAATTTGTAAAATTCTTGATTCTAAGATAATATAGGTTAACAAGTCTTTTCTACACGTTTTGAGTACAAATTCGTATAGGTATGCCTTAAAGTTTTGTTTAAAAAATCGACCAAAAGATGATAATGTAAAATTTTAAGGATAATATCCATTCAAAACTCATTTTTTCAAGTTTACCAAATAAAATCGAGGTTAAAAGACATAAATCTAAACTTACAAGCTTTATATTGATAGTATCTTCCTCGTTTCTCGTAAATATACCTTTTTATTCCAATTTCGAATGTTTTTTTTTGAGCGAAACGTGGCTTTTTGTTTTCACAAAAATGGAAACCGAATTTGGAAGTGAGGAACGTGGATGTTATGCTCGTAAATTGATCATTTTTGCTGGTGTTTTCAAATTATTAAAGGATCTTTTTAAAAATTATACTTGTACCACATATAAAATGGCATTTTTAATTTTTTTTTGGTTTAAACTAATTTTTTTCTCAAAAAAATGAAAATGACAGACTTTCAATGACGTTTTTAAAATTTAAGCGTGTTTTAAAATTGAATTTTGTCTTTTAAAATATCGTTATGAACTATATCTTTAAATTCAATCTGATTTACAGCATAAGCCTATCGAGTAAAGCAAGTATCATCACTTTTAACAAGGTTTTTGTTAAAGTTTGGAGAAATATGGGTAATATTTTAAGTTTTTTACTGTTTTTCTTTAAAGTTCTTTAAGTTTTTGATGTTTTTCGATTATATTGAAGTAGTAAGTAGGTTTTCTGACATTTTTTAGTTAGTACAATGTGTTTTAGATACGTTCTTAACCTTTTTGGGCTAGTAAAAGGTGTTTTTGTTTAGTACAAGATGGTTTTTAGCCCATATTTTTTTATTTAAAAGCTGTCTTCTTTAATAGTATAAGGAGGTTTTTAGATTTTGTACGTATAGTAGGGGTTCTTTGCTTATACTTTCAAACAAATTAATTCTTTTTATGTTATAGGTAACCAAGTATCGACAGAAGAACTACCTTCACCAATGGAGAAGCCTGAGGTTCCACCAGTGACAGTTCTAATCACAGGCGGATCGGGATTGGTCGGAAAGGCTATCGAAGAGGTAAATGAAATTTTTGGTCAAAGGAGGGTGTGAAATGGCATTTTTTAATGAAAAAAATTCTTTAAAATAACTTTTTTCAAAAAAAATTAGCCTAAAACGCATTTTTAATAGAAATAATAGATAAAATGACATTTTTAATGAAATCAAACTCAAAAATGTCATTTAAATGAAAACAAAGTCTAAAATGAAATTGTTACCTAAAGTCACCCAACATTGTTGTAGGTAGTATCAGATCCCTCAAATCGCCGCCGAAACGAGAACTTCGTCTTTATCAATTCGAGAGACTGTGATCTGCCCAATTATGAGGCCACGAAAGAAATGTTTGAACGAGTAAAGCCAACTCATGTTATTCATCTGGCTGCCAGAGTTGGAGGACTCTTCGACAATATGAATCATAACTTGGAGTTTTTCCAGTTGAACATGGTAGGGCATATGCAGGATGGGGAGGGGTTGGCTTTTGACATGGTGAAGTTATGGTGGATTCGAAGGGGGATGTAGGGTAGTGTACGTTAGGTGAAGGTAGAGTACGGTAGGGGAGGGCACGTTAGGGTAAGGTGCGGTAGGGTGGTGTACCGTAGAATAGTTTACGGCAGGTGAAGGTGGAGTAGGGCAGGGTAGAAAAAAGTGAATAATTCTTAAATTTTCAGGCCATAAACCAAAACGTGCTTCAATGTGCTCACGAATGTGATGTGCAGAAAGTCGTGTCATGTTTAAGTACGTGTATCTTCCCAGACAAAACTGAATATCCAATCGATGAAACTATGGTAAGAAATTGATTCTTTGATGTTTTTTTTAATTTTAGGTAACACATTTAACATAATTTTACATTTCGATACAATATTTCATTTATTTCGCAATTTTAGGTAGTAATTTTGAGTTTTTAAACTTTTGAGGTATTAAATTGTTGTATTTTGGTATAAAATTGACAAAATCTTTGGATTTTAGGTAACAATTAACATAAAAATTATATTCCAGGTACATAACGGACCTCCCCACGACAGTAACTTTGGCTATTCGTACGCAAAACGTATGATCGACGTACTCAATAAAGGATATGCTAAAGATCACTGTAGAAAGTAAGTGGAAACAAATTTTTTGCCATTTTTTGTTTTGTAAAGAAAGTTATTGCCATTTTTTGCATTGTAAAGACATTTTTTGCTATTTTGGCTTTTGTAAAGAAAGTTCTTGCCATTTCATGTTTTGTAAAGAAAGTTTTTGCCATTTTAAGCCTGATAAGCGAAAGTTTTTGATTTCAATCATATGATCCTTTAGGTACACCTCGATCATCCCATGTAACGTATTTGGCCCCCACGACAACTACAACTTAGAAAGTGGACATGTCATTCCAGCCTTGATTCACAAAGCCTACTTGGCCAAAAAAAATGAAACTCCATTAACATTATTTGGCTCCGGAAAACCCTTGAGACAATTCATATACTCGATTGATCTGGCCAAACTGATCCTATGGGTCATGAGGGAGTATACGGTAGGTTACGGTACTCTGAAGAGCTTGGTATGAAGTTATATTACTTTAACTGGATGTATTATACATGAAAAGTACAGTAATTTGATGAGTATGGTGTTAGTAATAGTAATTTTGATACTTTTTTTTAATAAGGCGTCTTTTTAGGAAATAGAACCTATCATCTTATCAGTCGATGAAAAAGACGAAATTTCAATTGCTGACGCATTTAATGGCGTAGTCAAGGCTTCAGGCTTTCAGGTATGTTATCTTTTTTAATTTTAAAGTTATCAATCGGTTCTTACGTCTAACATTACTTTCGTTTCTATTCCTGTCTCTGCCCTACCCTACCTTACTCTACCCTAGCATACCCTATCCAGATTATCATACCCTACCTTACTCTATTCTACCCTACGTTACCCTACATTACTCTCGAATTTCATTTTGAAATTTTAGGGTGAAGTAGTACAAGACACGACCAAAGCTGACGGTCAATACAAGAAGACTGCCTCCAACAAAAAACTTCGAAAATACCTGCCAGAGTTTGAATTCACACCATTCGATAAAGCAATCGAAACTTCGGTGAAATGGTTCGAAGACAACTACGAGACAGCCAGGAAATAGAACAGCATCTACCACTTCTATAGTAATTTTGATGCAAACAACACCATATTCAGCAGTTATTGTGATATTACCATGACTATTTTGTTTATCTTAGTTTTGAGTTACTTTATTGATAGAGTTTTTACTATGTTTTGATTTTACTATGAATAGTTTGTATATCTTGGCAATTTTTGCGTTGGGGGTGGGGTGTCAAAAATTTTTTTGAAGAGGAAGGGGGGGGGGTGGAGAAAAAAAAAGTGTTACTTTAAAAATTTACTGAAATGTTAAAGTCTATCTTGCCATGAAATTTTTTTTTAAATTGACAATGTAAAATTTATCCCGCCGAAAAAAGTTTGCCCTACCCTCTAAAAATCAACCATACCCTAAAAATGAAATTCAATCTTTTAATTTATGTTACCGTAATTCTATAACTAACCCTACTATTACCCTTGCCCATCTTAATACACCCTACTGCTAGTACTAGACCTACCATCTCTTCTCCTAAGCCTAGCCCTATTCCTACCAATATCTTTACCGTAGGGTAGTGTACAGTCCTATACTTACTAGCCATGAGAAACGGGCCGGGCCTGAATTTGAGGAACGGCCCGATCGGAATTTTGGTCAGGCTCGGCCTAGGCCGGCCCGTTTCTCATGTCTAATACCCACCCTTTTCCTAAGCCTCGTCCTACTCCTACCAATATCTTTATCTCTACCCTACCCATCCTAATATTCGTGCACTTACCTTACTAGTACCCCTAGCACTAGCCCTATCTTTAGTAATCTCCCTGCCCTTACCAATATTACTACTACTACTTGACAAACAACTTTTTACAGCACTGTCAAACACAATATAATAAGTTAAAAAAGACCTTTATCTAAAAGAATTATCAATTTTTATATCAAAATAAATAATAAAATAATTAAAACGCGGTTTCCGGTCGATTTTTGAAGTAGTTCTGCAGCTGTGGAATGTCCCTGATCCGCCTCCCATGCCCCAGAAACTCGGGATGATTCTGAATGACTTCTGGATTGTGTTGATTGTAGAACTCAATGATTCGAAACCAGGCAAAGTCCACATAAGTTACAGTATTCCCGAAGAAGCCGGATGGTCGCAGTTGGGATCGTATATGACCAAAGTACTTCTCCACGTTTGGTACGAAGACATTGTCCAACAGTTTTGTTTTGTCCTCATGGCCATAGCCACGGCAGGCCAGAAAGTAGGCGCGGGTGGCTTCGTGGAATGATCGACACAACTCGTAGCATTGATCAAGGTGAGCAACTTCATCTGTATTCGACCCTCCGTCCAGGTCTGTTAGCTTGGCTACGTAGCGAATAATGGCATGGGATTCGCATAAAGGCTTGTCATCAACTAGCAGGACTGGTAGTAAACCGAATGGGACCTCTGAAAGATATGTTTTAGTAGGAGGTAGGGCTAGTTCTAGCGCTAAGGCTAGGGCTGAGCTCAATCTAGGGCTTCTGTGTAGGGTAGAGTAGGAGAGATTACGGTAGAACAAGGTAGGGTAGGGTAAGGTAGGGTATGGTAGGGTAGGGTGTGTTTAAGTCCAGTACTTACTTTTGCGGTCATGTTTCAGCTCGGCCCATTCATTAACTTCTACTCTGGTATCTTTGAATGGTATGTTAGCGTAGTGGAAGCAAAGTCTAATTGGCTCGGCCCTGCCGGCGGCGTTAAAGTATATCAACTCGTACTGTGGCATCTAAAACTCTTTTTTATCATATAATTCAACTAACCTTGTACTATATATTATATGCCTATATATAGCAAAGAAACAATAAAAGGTAAACCTTTATTCAGTAACCTCTCTGTTTTAATACCCATAATGAAATACCCTACCCTACTCTGCCAAAAAGTAAAATAACAACTAATTTTGCATAAACAATGACAGAGTATTATTAACAACAAGTAATGTCAAAAGCTTATGAAGTTTCATAATTACAGTTAAAAAGTAACAAAGCCCCTTAAGCACCATTTAAAATTCCTGTTGTAAACACAAAAAATAGAGAATTGCGGCCTCTTTTGCACTGAAGAGATCGTTTTGAAAGGTTGTTTACGATTACTTTTTGTATTTCTTTGTTTACAAAGCTCGAAAACATGATTACTAATAGTCAAGGAAAGTTCCTTGCGCCAAAAGTGCAATTCACCTTACCCTACCCTACCCAGCTCTACCTCACCCTAATTTACCCTACCCTACCCTACCTCACCCTACTTTACCCTACTCTACTCTACTCTACTCTACTCTACTCTACTCTACTCTACTCTACTCTACTCTACTCTACTCTACTCTACTCTACTCTACTCTAAACTATCCTACCTAGCTTCCTCTTCTTACCTTTCCCACCTCCTACCTACCATATATCCTGCTTGACTTTAAGTATTCTACCTTTCTTTGGCCTTCTTGCCTTAAATCCTAATTTGCGTTATCTTTTACTATACCAAACTATGCCATATCCTACCATGCGCTACCCTAACTTACTCTACCTGGAACCTCCGACCGACCGTAACTTGTCAACTTACCTTATCATAGCTCACCAAAATCTGCTACAACGTAACCTGCCTAGAAATAAGGAACGGGCCGGCGCTCAATGTTAGGCCCAGCCCGGTCTAAATTAGGGTCAAGGCCGGCCCGATCTTCATGTCTAACCCTACCATACTCCTCAGCTGCTTCTGTTCGCTCCACTACTCATACGTTTCCCTCCCCTACTCTACCATAGCCTACTACAACGTACCCTACCTTCAAGCCTAATCCATACTAACATTTCAAAACCTCATCTCCCCATTTTGTCAAAAATATTTATCCTCTAAAAGCCCCAACAATACTAATTTAGTCCTAAAATCAAGAAGTTCACAAAGTTTTACTTGTGAAATCCAAAAGAAAATTCAAGAACACCGAAAAACAAAAAATTTTGAATAAAGTCCGTTGAAAAAAGTGTCCTTTTTTAGGCCGCACATGTTTTTTCTAAAAGTGCAGTTGGGGTGCGTTCAAAACAAAAACAAATCCAAAGGTTTTTCGTTAGTTTTTGCAAAGATTTTTGTTTGAATTCTTTCAAAATTTGAGGTTTTATTTGATTTTGTTATTTATAAATCTTATGTTTGTTTACCATAGCTAATACCCTACCTTAGTCTACCCTACCTTACCCTATTCTACCTTACCATACCCTACTCTACCCTACCCTACCTCACCCTACTTTACCCTACTCTACCCTACCCTACCCTACCCTACCCTACCCTACCCTACCCTACCCTACCCTACCCTACCCTACCCTACCCTACCCTACCCTACCCTACCCTACCCTACCCTACCCTACCCTACCCTACCCTGTCCTGCGCTGCCCTGCCTTGCCCTGCCCTACCCTGTCCTGCGCTGCCCTGCCTTGCCTTGCCTTGCCCTGCCCTACGTTACCCTCACACCATATTCTACAGTACCATGTTCTACCCTACTTTACCCTACGCTTAGACTACCCTATCCTGCGCGGCCCTGTCCCGCCCTACCTTGCTTTGCTTTTTCCTTCAGTATTTTACCCTGCCTAATCATACCCTATCCTACCCTGCGCTGCCCAACAACTTGCCTCTACTCTATCCTACCTGTTGTTACCCTACGTAGCGTAAAGGCATTATCTTATAACTTTCTATTATATATTAAACCATACCCTATCGTAGTGTGCTCAAAGGGACGTACTGAACGTATACTATGTTAAGTGTAAGAACCTTTGTGTCCAGAAAATTCTTAATTTTTATGCATTTTTCATGACTTTTTCAAAAGATGTAGCCCAAAAACGTTTTGTAACTATTTATTATCTTGTTTTTTTCCAAATTTCTAAACAAAAACAAACTTTCTTCATCAACAAAGTTAATCATGTTAGAGTAAGCCAAAAAGAATTAGGCATTTTTAAGGTGAAAGAACCTTAAAATAGTTCAATTCTTTTTGACGCAATTTAAAAATTTTCAAATTAAAGTTGTTTTTGAAGACTAAAGTAAGCTACAATCGTGTTTATAAGTAGTAAAAACATATTTTAAGTAACAAAACATATAAAACAAGTAAAAATTGCGGTCACGAAATCTTGTCGTTTTTTGGCCCTAAAGGCCTTTAAAACAAACGACAAGACTTTTATATGACCGTTCCATTAATTCTGTGCCCCTGACACAATATTCAAAAAAAATTTCCATTTTAAGTCAATTAAAAAGGGCATTTTGGCCGAGTCGCGAAATATTGTTGTAGTTTTGGCACGGCTTTTATCAGACGTTCATGTTCCATGAATTGAGGGTACTTTTCGATCACATCTCTGGCCGTTCTCTTGTAAAATTCTATGATATTGGCCCAGTACAAATCCACATAGCTTATCTTGCCTTTGCCAAATATGTAATTTGGCTGTAGTTCGGACAAAATTTTTGGGAAATATTTATCGACCGCTGGTAGAAACACTTCTGATTTTAGTTTGGCCTGGAAAGGTTTTGCTTTACTTAAAAGCCTAAGACTATAAGCCTACGCCTAGAAATCTAAGTCTAGAACCCTAAGCCTAGAAGCCTAAGCCTAGAAATCTAAGTCTAGAAGTCTAAGCCTAGAAACCTGAGTATAACCCTACCGGATCCTCCTTGTTAAGCCCATTCAAAGCAAAGAAGTATGGTTGGGTAGCTTCTTGAAATTCACGGCATAGTTCGTAAATTTGGTCCAGTCTAGCTACTTCGAGAAGGTCACCTTCACCGTCAAGACCGGTCACTTCGGCAACATATCTTGTTATTGTGTGACTTTCACACAATGGCTTTCCACTAATGTAAAGGACTGGCAAGGTGCCGTACGGAATTTCTAAAAACAAAGCCATTATGAAGCTTAAGCCTAGAAGCCTAAGCCTGGAATCGTAAGCCTAAAAGCCTCAGCCTAAACCTAGGAGCCTAAGCCTGGAAACCTGAGCCTAGAAGCCTAAGCCTAGAAGCCCAGAAGCCTAAGCCTAGAAGCCTAAGCCTAGAAGCCTAAGCCTAGAAGCCTAAGCCTAGAAGCCTAAGCCTAGAAGCCTAGACCTAAAAACCTAAGCCTAGAAGCCTAAGCATAGAAGCATAAGCCTAGAAGCCTAAGCCTAGACCCCCAAGACTAGAAGCCTAAGCCTAGAAGTCTAAGCCTGTAAGTCTAAACCTAAGCCTAGAAACCTAAGCCTAGAAGCCTGAACCCAGAAGCCAAGACTAAAAGCTTAAGTCTAGAAGCCTGAGCCTAAACGCCTACAACCCCAAGCCTCGAAGCCTAGTACAGTAAGCGTAAGATTCTAAGGAAGCCAAAGCCTAAAACCTGTCATCAAGTTTAAACCGGAAACTCGACAATTTTATCCAATTCTCAGTCTAGCCTAAACATCAAGACCCAAAATTAAACCTAAAAAACCTTCCAAAGGCTAATGAATACAAAACTAAGCCTGACCTTCATAAACATGCTAGCAAACCACTTTTTAAATCAAAAACTCACTTGGACTCTTCTTCAAAGCAGGCCAATCACTCAGCGTAACCCTCGTATCCTTGTACTTAATCCCACCATAAGCCAAACATTGTCGAATTGGTTCAGCTCTAAAGTAGAAATCGAAATAAACCAGCTCGTAGCAAGTCATTTTTAATAAAATACTCGGAAACGAAGGCTTGATAAGATGCCTAAATACTTGAATTTCCAGAGCAAATATGCTACATTTTTAAGTATTTATTTGTTTTGTGCTCTAGTTTTTGTGTAGTTTAGACAAAACGAGCATTTTTGTTTTTTGCAACATTTTTGTGACTACAGAACCCAAACAATGACGTATTTTAGTCTTAATATGACATTTTTTATCGGACACACAAAGCACATGTATTAAAATGTTTTAAAATACAAAGTTGGTCTTAAATTTAGTTTGTAAACTACGCTTGATAAGCTCTCGAGCGGTTGATAAGCTGACAGGCGTTGAGAGACACACCTTCATTTTTGAAGAAATGAATAAAGTTTTTGGCACAGACTATAAGTTATGGTAACCAAACTAAATCTCGATATTTGTATTTAAAGGAAGCCGAAATTCTAACTAAACATGAGCGTATTTTAGTTTTATTTTACACAATTTTTTTAATAGTGCACGTTAATACTTTGTTTTTCTAATAAGTTGGGATAAGCCGCAGTATAAGCCTCCTAGTGTAAGCCTCCTAGTCTAAGCCTATACCTAAAATCCCCAGAATAGAAGCAAAAGCCTAAGCCTAGAAGCATAATCCTAGAAGCCCAAGTCTGGAAGCCCAAACCTAGAAGCATAATCCTAGAAGCAGGGCCGGGCGAGGACTTTTGGTCTGGGGGCAGGGGTCCAAAAAATCCACAGGGGGGACCACGTTCAACTTTTTTCGAAAATTTTTTTCTGGGGGTACCCCCCCCGTCCCCCCCCTCGCGCCCGGCCCTGCCTAGAAGCCCAAGCGTGGAAGCCTAAGCCTAGAAACCTAAGCGTAGAAGCCTAAAGCCTAGAAGCATAAGCTTAGAAACATAAGCCTAGAAGCCTAAGCCTAGAAGCGTAAACCCAGAAGCCCAAGCGTGGAAGCCTAAGCCTAGAAGCCTATGCCTAGAAACCTAAGCTTAGAAACATAATCCTAGAAACCTATGGCCTAGGAGTCAAGCCTAGAAGCCTATGCCTAATTTTAGAAGTCCAAACCTATAATTTTAAGCCTAGACTGAAAAACTAAACGTAAGCCTAGAAGCCTAGTCCCAGAAGCCAAACAAGATAAGCCTAGGACCCCAAACCTAGAAGCCTAATCATGAACCCCCAATAGTTAAGTCTAGAAGCTTAAGCTGCAAACCATAAGCATAAAACCGTACGCTCACAATCCAAGCAGATGCCTAAAACCATTAAGAACTTTCCACGCTAGAACTAACTTTAAAAAAACAAAATTGATCTGTATAGTGTAAATTGATTCCTTGGTTGTAAACTATTTATCGTTGAAATGTAAAGTTACTTCAATAAGATACAGTTTTAGATAAAAATATCAATTACAAACTACGTAAACCTTGTGCGTTCTATGTGTACAACACGTTTTTCTCACTATTTTATGATCTCAAATACGTTTTGTTCGAACGAATGTCTCAAAAAGATTACAGAAAACGTTTTTTCTTACTGAAAAAAGCTTAAAAAAACCTAAAATTTATTAAAAAAACCCTCCAAAAATGATGTAATTTTTCCCCACAGATATTGCACATGCCCCAGCTCTTCGTCGAAACTTATTTGTGACCAGTTATTTATCTTATTCGCTTAAAAACATCAATTGAAAACGTGCAAAGTGTTTTCTTATGCTGTGTCCTTTTTCAAACCACGTTGCTCACGTAAACAACACTGAAGCAAACTTGTTTACTACCAAGTTTTGCGCCGTTTATCACCGTGTTTATGGGTATAAAAAGAAAAGCATTGGGAGTAATTTCAGTCAGTTAAAGTTGTTCGTTTTGCTGGTACTAATGAGTTGACTTGAGGTTATTGTTTTGTCTGACTATACCTAATGTAGATACACTGCCATAGCATCGTTATTAATGTTTTTTGCTAAAGGAATCAGCCTAGACAGCTATGGGTATAAAACTGAACCCATAAGATTAAGCCTTAGAACCCAAGCTTAAAAGGCTAAGTCAAGAAGACTAAACCTAGAAGCTTAATCCTAGAAACTTGAGCCTAGAAATCTAAGCTAAAAAAGCCTAAAACTCGAAATTATAAGTCTTGAAGTTTAAGCCTAGAATTCTTAGCCTAAAAGCCCATCCTAAAAACCTAAGCCTAAAAGAAGAAGCATAACAACAGCCTCGGTACAATTTAACTCCTTCCACGCGCAAAAAATTATGCACATTCACTAAAACCTATAATTTCAGTAACAAATAACCATGCCTTCATACGAACTTCTATACTTCAACGCCTACGGACGCGCCGAACCCATCCGTCAGTGCTTCACCTACGCCGGAATCCCATTCAAAGACAACAGAATCGAGTTCAACGACTGGCCTACGACTAAAGGAGATACTAAACGTTAGTTGTATATTCAGTTTGAATGAAATTTTACAGAAACTTAAAGGTTGTTACCTAAATTTTGAAAAAAATCTCTCAGATTAAGCCTATGTCTTGAAGCTTACCCTATAAGTCTAAACTAGAATCCAAAGCCTAAACCTAGAAGCATAAGCCTAGAAACCTCAGCCTATCAGCCTAAACCTAAGGATTTGCCAATATTGTTTCAGGCATTCCATACGGCCAAGTCCCAATCCTCCTAATCGATGGTAAACCATTGGCCGAAAGTCACACCATTACCCGTTATGCTGGCAGAGTAAGCAAATTGGACGGTAACACTCCTGAAGAAACCGCTTTCATCGACCAGGCATATGAAATTACCAGGACTTTCTACGATTCCGCGTTCCCATACTTCAAAGTCGTCTTGGGCTTTAGTGAAGGTGATAAGGTAAGGTTTGTTAGTTAAAACTTGACAATCTGTGTAGTTTGTTGTCAAAAACATCAAATTCTAGGTGGTTTGGTACCTAAAATATAAAAATCTAGAAAGGCTGTTACCTGAAAATAGAAAATCTAGAGGGTTTGTTATCTAAAAAGTGAAACTCACGAAAGCTTGTTACCTAAAATATAAAACATCACGTTGATTGAAAAAATATTACCTGAATTTTAGTAGAATGTCCGAAAAATAATTTTAAAACCTTAAATTTAATTCTGAAGCTTCGCTGAAGAGTAAACGGAGAGTTGTTACCTAAAATAAGAAAACCTCGCTAAAACAACAAAATCTTACCTGAAATTTGATTGAACTTCAACGAAAATATTAAAAAAAGTTGAATAAGCCTCATTAAACGTGATAGCATCCGTTTTTTTTACCTAAAACACAAAAAAAATCGAAAAAAATCAAACTCTTACCATCAACCTGACCAAAACTTATAGCTATACTCCTTCTATGAACAAAATTCTCTGGAATCTTTTCAAATTTAAAACTACTTACTTTTATTCAACAGTAGAATAAATCATCGTATTCCAGGAGCAATTAAAGAAGGAAGTATTTGCCCCAGCAGCTGAAAAACAACTCAAAAACATCGAAAACCTCCTACAGCCAAGCGGATTCTTTGGACCATCAGGACCAACTTATGTCGACTTTTTCTACGCCCAAATCACTGAATTTTACAACCAACATGCTCCTGAAGTTCTAGGTAAATATCCAGCTTCGTTGGAACATGCTAAACGTGTACACCGCTTGTCACAGCTCCAGGAATACTTCAAAAACAGACCTAGCGCCAACTTCTAAAACTTTCATTGTGATAATTTGTAATAAACTTATTACTCATGACAACTAAACGTAATAAGATTTACTTTGTACATTTGATTATTATTACACACCAAATTTCGCATTTTCTCTACAATTTCAACCGTTTTTCAATTACATGTCATAAACGATTTAGTCCCACAACGGAAACAAAGAACGCCAAAAGTGTTGGCGTAACGTTAATTAATATTTTTTTGCGAAAATATAAAATCAAACGGATCATGATTGATACCAATGCCTGATAAGATGGTTTTGTAGATCTTTTTGTTGATTATTTATTTGGAAGACATTTTCCATCATCTTTTACATCTGTTATATGAAGGATGTGGGGTACTTTTGGAGAAGATTCAGGAAAAAGAGGAATTGACTTATTTGAAGAGGTTGTTCGGGAAAAATGTAAGCAAGTAAGTGTTTATATTTACATTGTCATGTTCTAGACGTTACTAAGATGTTGTTTCTTTTTACTCTAGTTAATTTGCTAATTATATGTTTGGTCATGGATAATATAACTTTTATTAAGTAAACCTTACGTTGGTCAATATAAGTTTGTTTCAGAACGACACTGTCGGTTTTGGTGGCATGAGAAATGAGTCGTTTGTTCCACAGGATATTTTGGATATAGCAAATGGCGTAGACTCGAGTTATGGACCAAGGCTGAAGTCTGAACATTGTGAGTTTGTTTTGTATTTTTTGTTGCTTTTTAGGTAACAACGACTGATTTGGGAGATGAAAATAGTTTTATACTAGCTGTTAGAAGGTTTTAGAAGCAGGACTAATTAGAGACTTTAAGGAAAAACCATAGTTTTACGGATCTTTGGTAATTCGGTATTGTGATAGACAAAAATCGCTTAAAATTGATTAAGAGCGCTCTTTTTATATGTTGGGGTTGAATAACTATGACAACAAGATCACGCAGTTTCTAGTAAGCTAAAATTCACTATAAAGCAGCTAAAGAAAGCTTTATTTTCAGCTGGTAAACACAGTAGATGGGGGAACAACAATGATAAATTTCCAATGAATGGTGACAGGCGGAATAACTATAATCGAAATGATGGAAAATTTAACCAGGGTGATCGTGATAATAGAAGTCATGGAGAATATAATCGTCGAGGGCCGTCGAGGGTTCATATTGGAAATTCGAAGTTTTCACGAAATGACAGAAAACAAAGTGGACCAAACTCTAGAAACTGGAAGGATGATTCGATTTATAATACTCCAAACAGGATTAAAAGTGATTCTCATGGATTTGACAGAAGTAATGGTGGTGATCATCGATATAACAGGAGTAATGGACTTAATTCTCACAGAGAAGATGGATCTTATGTTTGGCATCGAGATGATAAATCTTTTAGTGACTCTCATAGGTCGAATAGAGATACGAATCGTCAAAGTAGATCAAATGGTATTTATTCTGGAAGTGACAGGTCCAATGCAACTTCTTCTAATCTTAATAAATCAACTGGACTTTCTTCTGGCCCAACAAGCTTAAGTTCTTCTACAGAAGCGACTGTTCCAGTGAAGAATGAACATTCATCTGCATATCATGGATCTACATCTAGTTCTGGAGCTAATCATCGTCAAAGTTTATCAACTATTCAAGATTTATCTTATTCAGAGAGACAAGATGATGATATTTTGACTGATTTTGAACCCCAAACAGAGCACATACCTATAAATTATGATGAAGATTTAAACTTACTGAATTTAGCGTCTGGAGCTACTGGAAATCAAAGTGATTTTGATCTAAATCAAGATCAACAGCCGCAAAACCCTTCAGAGACTACAAGAGCTAAAAAACCGAAGCCAAAGCCTCAACCACGAACGAAGCTTGACTACAGTGAAGCCTACGATAAGATGACTCCAGAAGAGAAGAAGCGAATGTTCTTAAGTCGGCCCAAAATCTTTAAAACGAAGAAACGTACGACTAAAGCAGCTGAAAATGGCGGTAAAGGTTCAAGAAAAGATAGGAAAAGTCGCGTTGAAAGCTCAGAAGACGAAGATGATGAATATAGTGATGTTGATGAGACTTCTGGTGGTCGTGAGCAGCGTGACAGCCGAGGTAATGAAAGAGGTATTGGACGAAATGAACAAGACTTTGATGATTATATTCTTGGAGAAAGTGCGGCGTCTGGAAGGCGGATTCATGGAGACTTAGAAGGCTTTGAAGATGATATCTATGGGGACAATGGAGCTTTTGAAGCCAGTTTTCATGATGAAGCAGGCACTTCTGGAGCTGATATTTATAGTCAATCAGAAGTTCATGAAAATGGTTATTATCATACAGAACAAGATTCAGATATCATTGTGCATCGTCCAGAAAAGTCATCCAGAAGTCGTTCACATCGTACTGATACCATCTTTGAACCTAGAGATAACGCTACAAGTATAGGAAAGCCCAGAATTCGTAATGTGTCTAATAGAAAAGCTAAAAAGAGAGTAATATACAATGAAGAAGAAGATCATGGTGAAGATGATGATGTAGAAGTAAGAAGTAGAAAGAAAGATAAGAAAGGTCATGGTGAAGATGAAAGACATGGTAATGAGCATAAGAGGAAGAAGAGTAAAGATGGAAATGGAAATCGTGGTTTTTATGATAGTGAAGGTAACAATGATGATATACCAAGCACAAGTCATGATATACATAATGGTGAACAGGTTGTGGTTAAAGAGGAAGTTGAGGATTTCAATTACAATGTTTTGCAGGTAGGTATTTACTGATAGGTCTTTTTAACAGTGAATTCAACTTATGTGAGGAAATGACAAGAACTTTCTTTACAAACCCGAAAATGAAATTTGTCGTATAACTTGTCACCCCCAGGCTGCAAAATACAAAACCGGGATTTTTATGTAAAAATGGCAAGGACTTTCTTTACAAGTCATAAAATGGCAAGAACTTTCCTTACAAAGCAAAAAATGGCAAGAACTTTCTTTACAAAGCTGATAAGTCATATATATTGTTTTAGCCTCTAATCGACACAATGAACAACCTTGAAGTAATCGACGAAACCGACTGTGACATGTACATTCCTCGCGTCATTCGCGGCCGATGGGAAGGTCCAGACGACGAAGAGAACTTTCCCCTAAAATCGACCAGACATATGATAGTAAAGATGAAAGAAGCTCTACATGACATACCGAATAGTGTTAACACTTTACTGATAGTAGAGGAAGCGCTACATTGCTTGAATGCTGATCTATTGGAAGAGAATGGTGCGACTACAGTGTGTAAGATGGGCAGCCGATTTAGGCCACAGTAAGTTGAAGTTTTATGATATTAAGGGTTGTGGGCATAGCTTTTAGAGGAGAAAAGGGAGAGCTTGGTCGGAGGGGAAGGGGTAGATATTTTTTATGGTCAGACGCACAAAAAGGCAATAACTTTCTTTACAAAACATAAAATGGCAGGAACTTTGTTTACCAGGTAAACAATAGCAAGAACTTTCTTTACAAAGCATTAAATGGCAAGAACTTTCTTTACAAAACATAAAATGGCAATAACTTTCTTTACAAATCATAAAATGGCAAGAACTTTCTTTCCAAAACTAAAAATGGCAATAACTTTCTTTACAGAGCTAAACTTTTGAAAAGTCACTTTTAATTTCGAAAATTTTTTAAAATTTAATTTTTCAGTTACTTCGCCGAAGCCCTACGGCAATTGAAATCGAATAGCATTCGTAAAATCAAGCACGTTGGAATCACATTGGCCTATAACGCTTTGTTTAACTATGAAATGATGGAAAACCATGAATATGCTGACAATGGAACGACGATTATCGAGGATTTCAATTCGAAAAAGTCAATGCCAGACCTATTCAACAGTATCGAAGGGATTGTCAGAGCATTGGTCGAGGTTTTTGGGCTGAAGAAGGTGTTGATCATCACACCACATATGGTAAGAGGAGGGTATTTGTTCGGTAGGAAATGGGGTTATGATGAACTAGGTTAAGGTAAAGTAAGATGGGGTATGGTAGGATAGGGTAAGGTAAGATAATGTGGGTAGGGTAGGACAGTTCAGGGTAGGGTATTTTAAGGTAGTGTAAAGTAAGGTAAGACAGAGTATGGTAAGATAGGGTAATGTAAGATAAAGTAAGATAAGGCAGATATCATTGAGTAGGATATTTGATTTGATTGGACATGCGGTAGAGTACAAACTATGATAAATGGGTTGAACACAACATAAGTCAAGCTATAGTTTTGGGATATACAAGAGGTAGGGTATGATATATTATTCTATTACAAATGTTCTATCCTATCTTGCTGCATTACAACATTACTGTAACTCTACAGTTACCCATGCTACTCTAACTTATCTTACACTACCCTATCAGGTTTTTCTCTACCTTAGCCTATTACTCTACCTTACCTTAACGTATTTTTTTCACGCATTATTTTTATCCTCTTGCTTCCTATCTACGTCTTGGTTTGTGACACTCAACCATATTCATGTTTTTAAAACTCATTTAATATAATTGTAGGTACGACATCAAGCTCTTCTAAAAATGATCACGGACAAGTTTAAAGTTACTATTTCTAAAAACAAGTAAGGTTTTATTTTTATGTTACCTAAAATACGATTTTGATTATTTTTAAACTTTTTAATATTTTAATAGGCGGGGGGGGAAGGATAGGGTACGGTATAAATTTTATAAATTAAAAAATAATTATAGCTACCTATCAAAACATGTTGTCTACGCCGACTTCAATGACTACGTATCGGATCTGGACACTAAACTGACTCCACATGAAGTTCGACAATTCTTAAAACAAGCGTTCACGGCCTACGGAACGGCAATTAAACAAGCACAATAAGAGGTAACATAATATGGCAATAACTTTCTTTAAAAGGAGGTGGAGTCTTAAAATGATCTTGATAACGTTTATAGTCTTACAATACTGATATGGGTTGTTTAGCTCAGGAAAAGAGTATTTTGTCATCCGAATGAAAAATGTCTGTAAATTTGAGAGAAATGTCGGGTTTCTCCTTATTTTGTTATGACTTTCAGTGAAAATTGACATTTATTTAATTGATATTTAAAGCATCTCGAGCAATAATAAATAACTTGTACAAAAAATCGAACTTACACTTTACCTCTACTTGTTGATTATCTCAGAGTACGGTGTGTTAATGGTAAGGGAGTGGTTGTCAGGGTAGGACGGTATGTAAGGGGTAAAGTATGAAGGGAAAAGAGTGAAGAGAATGTAGTAGGGTATGATATGGTGGAGATTCGCTTTGGTAAGGATATACAGGGTGCGACAAAAGTCCTTGGACTCATTATTTTAGTCATATATTTATTAAAACAATGAATATCCTTAAAACAACAACTAACAATAGTAATATATAGTACTAGTTATAATACAGTCAAGCGGTTTCGAAGTGGCTCCCCTTTGCCGCCACGGCGTAAACGCTTCACAAAGTTTTCAGCGATGGGCCGCAGGTCCTTTAAGTATATTCATTGTTTTAATAAATATATGACTAAAATAATGAGTCCAAGGACTTTTGTCGCACCCTGTATAGTTGTGAGATATGGTGTGGAATGGCGAGAAGCAGGTATGGTAAGGATGGAGTATTGGGAGGGAACCTTGGGTAGGGTAGGGTAGGGTAAGGTGGGGCACCTTAAAATAACGTGGCTTAGGGTAAAGTAGGATGGAGTATGGCAGGGTAGGGTAAGGTGGAGTAGGGCGTATAATGTCGAGTGGTAGGTATGGTAAGGACCGATTATTCTGAAGTGAAGGTAGGTAGCGTGCGGGATAAAGTAGAATAGGCTAGGGAAACGTACGATGGGTAGGGAAAGGTAAAGTAGGGTTGGGTAACGGCGTGAGTTGTGTATGATATGAATGGAGTATTGTGGGGTAGGGTAGGATAGAGAACAGTATGCCGACATTAGGATAGAGGAGAATTTAAGGGATGGGGTAGGGTATGATATCGTGGCGGTTTGGTAGAATACGGATATCGAGGGTAGAGCGTTGTAACGGTTGGTTATGGTAGGGAAAGGCAGATATGGAAAATTTGGTAAGGCATGGAGGTTATCATGAGGATAGGTAAAATACAAGCTTTTGTTAAGTAGTGGAATAGAAAATGTTAAAATTATTAAAATTAAAATGTAAAAAGGAGAGTTTTTTTAACAGCATAACACAAGTAAAAAATTGATTGTAAATTTTAAAGTAGTACATACAACAACATAAGTATCGTGTTATACATACAGTAACAAGAAACGTTATAATTCGCCCGTACATAAGTTTAACGTAGTACTAAAACTTGAATTATATAGTACTACATATGTAACTTATAATCAGACAATTCGCTCGTACTTAAGTTTAAAATATATAGTTTTAAAACATGAATTAGATATTATAGTACTGCATATATTATAACGTAGAATTCGATAGTTCGCCCGTACATAACTTTAAACTCATATAAAGCAAAAGCTCAAACTCTATGTATGTATATATATTCGTATATAAAATATAATATAGCAATTCGCTCGTACATAAGTGGAAAAACTATGTAAAAAAACGAAAACTCAAACTGTATGTATACATATTCATATATAACATAGAATTCGATAATTCGCTCGTACATAAGTTTAAAAACTAAGTAAAAGACAAAAACCTATATATGTTATAAACAGTCGTATATCTTAACGACCGTACGCCCCGAAATCAACCACACAATACAATCGTATGGATTCAACAACAAGCCAGTACTTAAACCAACCTGCAAAGTCAAATCTGGGGTAAAGGCTGCAAGTACATGGAACGTACAGGCATAAACGTGCTATCCGAAGCCGAAGCACGAAGTAATAAGTGGGAATCTCAGCGATGTAATCTCACATTACTATGGTACTCTTACAGTACGATATCATAAATTCCAGGATTATAATCGTACATACTCTCACAGTACTAAAACAAAAAATCCAGCCTTATAATACAGTATATCGGTTACTCCAGCCATATCATAGTACTCTCACAGTACGATAATACTCACTGAACACTCTGACAGTACTCAAGCGGTTGCCAAAGCCATGGATTATAGTACTCTCACAGTACTGTACGGGTAATCACATATAGTACTCTCACAGTACGATAGTTAAAACATACACCTAAACTATAGCACTCCCACAGTACTCAAACGGTTGACCAGACCGTTTAATAGCACTCCCACAGCGCTAAAATGCATCAGCATTATAAAAGAACATACTCCGCCATATAAAATTTTGCTCAACAAGCGATTGCAAATCACCGCTTTTACACAGCTATACAAACGCACGAACAAACGTCGTAGCTGCAACGACAAACAAGGGTTTATATCAGCGAGGCATGCCTCGAACTCGTAATTGCACCGCAGTTACGGTATTACGCATAAGCGCTTCGACAAAACTATCGAATTCGACGCTCAATCTAAGGTAACTCGATTTTCGCGTCTTCTTCTTTCACGAAATGCGTAAAATTGGGATTCCGCGGTACAGATCTAAAACATATTATTTTTCTATGTTTTTGTTTTAGTCACCTCCCTCTAGATTGCGCAATGTTAACATTGATATTTGAATTTTTGTGCGGAAAAAAGGAAGCCACCAGAAGATAAAAGCATGCCATTTGATATTTTTGAGGGTTGAGAGGTAGCGGTTTTTTATTTTTGAAGTGAGATATACGGCTTGAGCAACCGTACTCACTGTACTATATAGTACGAAAGGTAGTGACAGGATATAAAGGTTTAAAGTGCGATTACAGAACGAAAGTCAGACTTAAAAAATGAGATATACGGCTTGAGGAACCGTTATATACTCAACGTGCTATATAGTACAAAAGAACAAAAGTCAAATTTGACGTGCTATGTAGTACGAAGGAACGAAAGTTAAAATATATGTCAGAAATACTCTCAAAATGACATTTTTATTGAGGTATACGGCCTGGGAAACCGTTATATACTCAGCGTGCTATATAGTACGGATGGTAGTGACAGGATATAAAGGGTTTAAAGTGCGATTACAGAACGAAAGTCAAATTTTTAAAATGAGATATATGGCTTGGGAAACGGTGATATAATCAACGTGTTATATAGTACGAACTGTAATGACAGTACGAATACAGAACGAAAGTCAGAATATATGTCAGAAATACTCTCAAAATTACATTTTTTATGAGAACGAAAGTCAAATTTTTAAAATGAGATATACGGTTTCGGCAACCGTTATATACTCAACGTACTATAGAGTACGGCCGGTGTGGTCAGTACGAATACAGAACGAAAGTAAAGCCAATGACTATTTTTGAATATAAACTAGCAGTGACAGATCAAAAAACGATATTTTTTCATCGAAACATTACTAATTACGTCCACAAACAATGTTAGCTGATAAGCATAACACACGTGTGGAAAAAAGGACCATTTCCACTCCATTTTCACTGCGAATCAAGTGGCTGTCCAGCTCTTTGTCTACAAAAAACAATATCATTTTGGATTTTTCGAAGGTTTTTGGAAAATGGAACAGCTTTTCAAGTAAGTTTTTGGTTGTTAAATCGTGTTTACTGTGTAAAAATGGTTAATAATGGATAGATAAAATACAGTATTTGTTAGGAATGACATTTTGGAAAATTTCGAGATCTTATTTCATAGAGGGATTATGAAAAATGGCAGTTTTTTGACGATTTTTAGAGATTCAAAGCACTTTTCAAATAGGTTTTTGGGTGTAAAAGTGGGTTTACTGTGTAAAAATGGTTGATAATAGATAAGTAAAACACCGGGTTTATCCGGCATGGCATTTTTGAAATTTTCAAAGCTTTATTTCATAGAGGAATTATGAAAAATGGCAGTTTTTGACGATTTTTTGGAGATTTGATCACTTTTCAACTTGTTTTTTTAGGTATAAAAGGGGTATATTTTAAGAAAAACGGTTGAAAATGGATAGGTAAGATAACTTATCGATTAGGCATGGAATTTTTAAATATTTTTAGGTCTTATTTTGCAAAGAACATGAAAAATGGCATTTTGTCCTGTCTTAAAAAAAGATTTTTTGCTTTTTTTCAAAATTTAGGTATAAACTGACTAAAAGATTTAGTTTTTTAATTTTATTAGATTGTAAGTGATATGGAAAGTAGACATGAGCAACGGGCCGGGCCGGGCCTAAATTTTAGGCCCGGCCCGTTTTTGATTTTGGTCAGGCCCGGCCCGTTTTAAAAAATTTTAAAACTTAAAAACTAAACGGAAATTTGGCTTTAAATTGTTTTTTTAGGTCATTTATGGATCATAGAATCCAATAAAATCGAAAAACATAAACGGGAATTGAAATAAAAAATTTTAAAAAATTAAAAAATTTTTTTTTCGGGCCCGGGCCCAATTTTCAAGCCCGGCCCGTTTTCGATTTTGCTCAGGCCCGGCCCGGCCCGAAGGTAGGGCCCGGCCCGTTGCTCATGTCTAATGGAAAGGCCATTTGTAAATTTGATTTTGTTACGAAACTTCATTTTTTGATTATTGATTTTTGTTGTGACATTTCGTTCAAAAGGTATAGCTTGTTTTCTTTTGGCTAAAATTCAGATTTTTTTAAAATATAGCTTGACAGAATCCTAAATCCAGAAAGGAAGAATTTAATTTTTTGAATTTTTAAAGCCTTAATTTTTGAAAAATTTCAGAAAAATCGACTCTCATCAAGATGCCTTCATTGCGTTGCTGAAGGAAGCCGTCGCGATCAAGAGTGTTTCTGCCGATGCTGCTTATCGTGATGAGGTGTTTCGGATGACTTCCTGGACTGCTGAGGTATGTTATTGTGTTTTATCTATGAAAAATGTGTATATTCTTATCTATTCTTTGTTTTGTTGCTGTTTTCTAAAAGGTTTTCGGAAATTTATCAAAAATTCGTTGAAGTTTGAGCGGTTTTTGATCTTCATCATGTTATACTTGGAACAAAACAATGTCTTTGGGCTAATTTTGAATAGCATTAGATAGAGAATTTTGTGAGCCATGTTTTAAAACGTATTTTACTTAGCTAAAGCCTATTTGGACATTAGTTATGATCAAAAAACGAGATTAGATCAAGTGTAATATAACATTTCTTATTTCAGAAGCTAAAAGAGATTGGAACAAAGGTCGAACTGATTGAAAATGGTCAACAAACCCTTCCAGATGGAAATCAGATTAAATTGCCACCAGTCTTATTTGGTCAACTTGGCAACGACCGGTCGAAAAAGACCCTATGCGTTTACGGTCACCTGGATGTTCAACCGGCTTCGAAATCGGATGGATGGAACACTGAGCCATTCGAATTGACTGTGAAAGATGGGAAAATGCATGGACGAGGTAGTACTGATGATAAGGGACCGGTTTTGGCTTGGGTTAACGCGATAAAGACGATGCAGGAGCTGAAGATTGAGATTCCGGTCAATATTAAGGTAGGTGGTTGATGTTGTAGGTTTTTGACGTTTTAATGATTGGATATTGAAGGGGTTGGTATTTAAAAGTTTAAACAGATATTGTTGCTGCTTTTTATGGCTATTTTGATACCTATTCTAATGATTTTCTTATGAAATAATTAAAAATGTACAGGGTGTCCCAAGATTTTTGCGGAAAAGTAAAAGCTTGTTTCTCGAAAAGTACCAGTCCAAATTGGACGATTCTTTTTTTAGTACACTTGAAATTGCGGGCGGATTTGGTATTGGTACTTCGTTTTTTGATATTCGGCGGATGGTCGGCGGAGGCCGGCGGAGGCTACTTTTTTTGCTTTGACCAATCCAAAACCTTCATTTTTTGGTTCCTATGTCACCTGCTGATTCGTCAAAACGCTTTCCAATCAAAACATGTCTTTCCCTGCATCGGCGGACGACCGGCGGAGAAAAACGGCGAAGGCCATAACTCCGCTCAAACTCAATATTTTTTCACCGGACAAAAAATGGAAATGTTATTTTAAGCTTTTTAATACATTTAATCAAGTTTACAGTTCAAAAAATTTCATCGGCGGACGATCGGCGGAGAAAATCGGCGAAGGCCGTATCTTGGTCAATTTTTAATAGTTTTTCTTCGGAAAAAAGTTGTTGGTACCCTAAGGTCCTTCTCTACCAAACAAATTTAAAAATTTTTTAAATTTTTAAAACTTTTTTTTAAAAATATTATTTTTTTTATTTTTTTATTTAACTTTTTAAAACTATTCCGATATTTTTTATAAAAAGTTTATTAACAATAACCTATATAACAACAACGCTAACTAATGAGATTGTTCATCGTTGGTTGCTGGGTAACTCCTTTCCACACTTTGACCACCAACATCAAGACACCGTCGCAATCGCTTCGGATAGTTGCGCAAAGCTGCGCGACACATTTCTACTGAAATCTCCGCAACCACATCGCGAATTTTTTGCTTTAGTTCGCGTAACGACGCGACTTGAACACTGTATACTTTTGCCTTCACGTAACCCCAAAGGAAAAAATCCATTGGGGTTAGATCGGGCGAGTTTGCCGGCCAAACGAACGGAGGAGGAGCGCCGCGACTATCCCGACCCATCCAGCGACCCGGCAGATGGGTGTTCAAAAACTCGCGCACAACTAAGCTATGATGAGGATGAGCCCCATCATGCATGTACACCAAAGTAGCTAAAAAGATATAAATTAGTATTTTGCTTGTTTTTCGTACCTGAATTTGGCCACTGTAGAAGCTGTGGCAACACATCTTGCTCTAACAGCTCCAAATAACGTGCCCCGTTAATGTTTTCATCAATGAAAAAAGGCCCCACAACCCCGTTCCACCCGATGGCTGCCCACACATTCGTTTTGGGAGAATGCAACGGCTCTGATACACACCAGTGAGGATTCTCTTTAGCCCACCACCTTGAATTTTGACGATTTAAGCGGCCATGGATATGAAACGTGGATTCATCGCTAAAAACTAGCTCTTCCAAAAACGCCTCGTTGTTTTGCAGCTGCTCAAGCATAACATTTGAATGCGATAAACGTTGTACTATGTGCCTTGGCAAGATTTCTTGCACTTTTTGAAGTTTGTATGGGTGGTACCCATCTTCGCGCAATTTCCGACTACATGTACTCTTCGAAGGTATACCCTCAAAACGGCTCAATTCTCTTACAGATATTCGCGGATTGTCGGCAATAGCATCCCCAATTCTAGCAACAACTTCAGGAGTGGCAACAAAGCTAAAGAAATGTTATTTTGTTAGTTGTGCTTACTTTGTTTTCACTTTTTCTTTTCTGAGGCAGTGGCGACGACTACGAAACTCGATAACCCAGCGTTTAATAGAATCTGCTGATGGACAGGGTGTACGAGGGCTACGGGGGTGATACACGGCCATGTACTTTCTACGAACGCTTTCAGGACTTTCCCCTAACTTAAAATACCATTCAACACATTCACTCTTAACATCAGCACCCCAAACCATTTTTTCTTGATCAAAGAGTTTTAAAAAAATAAAAATAATACCAAGTCAGAATAGTTTCAACTATGTTTTTATGGTTTTATTTGAAAAATATATGATCTCTGTCGATCGAAAGTAATCTTAACTATTTTTTAAAAACTTCACTAATTTCTGAATTCGTAACAGTTAGGTAGAGAAGGACCTTAGGGTACCAGCAACTTTTTCCGAAGAAAAACTATTAAAAATTGACCAAGATACGGCCTTTGCCGATTTTCTCCGCCGATCGTCCGCCGGTGAAATTTTTTGAGTTTTAAACGTAATTGAAATGATTAAAAAGCTTAAAAGAACATTTTTACTTGTTTCCCGAAGAAAAACTATTAAAAATTGACCAAGATACGGCCTTCGCCGATTTTCTCCGCCGATCGTCCGCCGATGAAATTTTTTGAACTGTAAACTTGATTAAATGTATTAAAAAGCTTAAAATAACATTTCCATTTTTTGTCCGGTGAAAAAATATTGAGTTTGAGCGGAGTTATGGCCTTCGCCGTTTTTCTCCGCCGGTCGTCCGCCGATGCAGGGAAAGACATGTTTTGATTGGAAAGCGTTTTGACGAATCAGCAGGTGACATAGGAACCAAAAAATGAAGGTTTTGGATAGGTCAAAGCAAAAAAGTAGCCTCCGCCGGCCTCCGCCGACCATCCGCCGAATATCAAAAAACGAAGTACCAATACCAAATCCGCCCGCAATTTCAAGTGTACTAAAAAAAGAATCGTCCAATTTGGACTGGTACTTTTCGAGAAACAAGCTTTTACTTTTCCGCAAAAATCTTGGGACACCCTGTAGGTAACAGTATGTTGTGTTAGACGGTTGGTGTTTTAAGATTTTTTGATGAAATATTATATTGATATTGATGATTTTTTATTTTCAAGTGTTAGAAAAGATGCTATTCTTGCTTTTTATATTGATTTAGAGGTCAATTTCATCTATTTCAAGCTCCAACTCATTAAAAATATAGGTATTAACACCAACTTTTCAGTCTCAAAACTAGTAAATTATTTTTTCAGTTTGTATTTGAAGGAATGGAAGAAAGTGGATCAGAAGGCCTAGTAGAGATCCTGACTAAACATAAAGATGGGTTCTTGGGTGATGTAGATGCAACATGTATTTCGGATAACTACTGGCTTGGCCGTAACAAACCTTGTCTTACCTATGGTCTCCGAGGTGTTTGTTACTATTTTGTTGAAGTTTCAAATCCAAAACAGGATCTACATTCTGGAATCTATGGTGGCGCTTTGTGAGTTTGTAATGAGGTTTTTAGTTTTTTTTTGAAGTTTCGGTTTTTAGGCTAAAAATGAGCAAAAATGGCGTTTTTAATTGAAAAAAGTTTTTTAGGTATAAAATCATTGAAAGTTTGATTTTTTAGGCACGAACCAATGAATTCCTTGGTGAAGTTACTTGGTACATTGACGAAAACTGACGGCACTATCAATATTGATGGTTTATACGATCTGGTAGCACCTTTGAAGCCTGGAGAAGATGAGTTATATCAGAAAATTGATTTTGATACTGTAAGTTCTTTACTTATTTTTTGTTTTTACTGTATTCAGAATGGCAAGTGCTTTCTTTACAAAGCTTAAAATGGCAATAACATTTTTTATAAGACCTAAAATTTAATTTCTCGTATAACTTGTCACTCGCAGGTTGCAGGATAATGAATTCAGTCTATTTCTGTGTAAAAAGCAAAAATTTTCTTTACAAAACATAAAATAGCAAAAACTTTTTTTACAAAACAAGAAATGGGAATAACTTTCTTTACAAGCCATAAAATGGCAAGAACTTTCTTTACAAAACTCAAAATGGCAAGAACTTTTTTATAAGACCTAAAGTGTAAATTTTCGTATAACTTGTCACTCACAGGCTGCAAGAGAACAAATTTTGTTGAGTTTTGAAAAAATGGCAACAACTTTCTTTACAGAGCTAAAGTTTTAAAAATCAAGAGTTTTAACTTGAATATATGATAAAATAGGTATCATAAATTTAAAAATCTACTAAAATAGGTATAAAACTCTTATTTTCAGGAAGATTTTCGCAAAAACATTGACGCGAACTCATTGACAACATCAGACAAGGCCGAGCTATTGAAGAAGACCTGGCGCATGCCATCACTATCAATTCACGGCATTCAAGGAGCGTTCCACGAGCCCGGTTCCAAGACAGTCATTCCGTGCAAAGTGACCGGTAAATTCAGTATACGAATCGTACCAAACATGACTCCGGAGAAGGTGCACCAACTGGTACAACAACACATCGAAAAGGAATGGCAGAAGCTGCAAAGTGATTGTAATATTAAGATTCAGCCGGCTCAAGGAAACCTGCCATGGGTGGCTGATTTTAATAATTCGTTGTACAAGGCTGGTGCTAGGGCGCAGGAAAAGGGTGGGTCTTTAAAATTGAATTGAATGTGGCAGGGGAAACTATGCTAGGATTTTTACAGGTCTAGTAGGGGGGGGGGGTGTTTTTTGGCAAAAACTTTTTTTTACAAGGCTTTAAATGGCAAGAACTTCCTTTACAAATCATAAAATGGCAAGAACTTTCTTTACAAAACATGAAATGGCAAGAACTTTCTTTACGAAACAAAAAATAGCAAGAACTTTCTTTACAAAGCATCAAATAGCAAGAACTTTCTTTACAAACATTTTTTTAGTATTCGGAGTATCACCAGACTACACCCGTGAAGGCTGCAGTATTCCCATCACATTGACCTTCCAAGAGCTTACCGGCAAGAATGTCATGTTACTGCCAATCGGCGCCTGTGATGACATGGCCCACTCCCAGAACGAGAAGATGAACATCTCCAACTACATGAATGGCATCAAGACTTTGGCGGCGTTTTTGATGGAGCTCAACGAAGCTTTGTAGCCTTATTTATGACAGTTTCTTGAGGTTTTTATGTTTTAAGAAAATGGCTTATGTTTAGGTATTTATTCTTGAAATATTTGACATTTTTAATGCTTTTTGATATAAAGAATGAAGTTTTTTTGAGGGTTTTGTAAAGTTTTAGGTAATAATTTCCTAATTTTTTGTATTTTTGAATGATTTTTGATATAAGTAGTGGCATTTTTAAAGATTTTATTTTATTTTAGGTATAAATTTTATTTTTTTTTATAATTTTTTGCAATTTTAGGTAACAATTTTAATTTTTTTTTGAATTTTTTATAATTTTAGGTAACATTTTAATTTTTTTAGGTTTTTTTGCATTTTTAGTTAACAATTTCAACTTTTCTTTATTTTAGGTAACGTTTTTAAATTTTTTGGATTTCGGAACGAAATGTCTTATAAGTAATGACAATTTTTGACGAATTCGTGAAATTTTAGGTAAAAATTTTTTAACGTTTGGATTTTTGAGTGGAATGTGATATAAATAATGGCATTTTGGGTTTTTTTTCGATATTTTTTTAATTTTAGTTAACAAATTTTTAGTTTTTTTTGAAATTTTAGGTATATATTAAATTTTTGTTTTTTTAAATTTTAGGTAACAATTTTTAATCTTTTGGATTTTTGAATCAAATGTCGTTTAAGTAATGGCAGTTTTGTTTTTTTTTTGGTTTTTTTTTTATTTTAGGTTACAAATTTTTATTTTTTAGGTAACAATTTTTGAATTTTTTTTGTATTTCTACATTAATTAGGCATAAAAATGGCATTTTTTGTAAACTTAGTTATTTTTTAGTTTTGAATAAAAAAATTTTTAGCGTTTTACTTTGCCTTATTCTACTCTGCTTTGTCTCACTTTTCCCTAACTTATTCTACCTTACCCTCCTTATTCTACTCTACCTTGTCCGATCCTATCTTGCCCTACCCTGCTCTACCCTTCCCTACAAGCCTAAAATTTAAAAAAATGCCATTTTTGTGCCAGTCGAAAAACGTTTAAATCGAATTTGCATCCAAATTGAAGTCCACGGAAACAAAGTTTTAAAACTCGTAGGCGAAGGAACGTTTCGGGCCATAAACATGTTCGAAACCAGCCGAAGCTGGAAAAATAAACAATTTGGGGAATTTATTCAGTTTTATAACTTCTTTAGAGGATCCGTCTTGATTTTGCAAGGAAATGGCATTTTTGCAAAAAAAAAGTTTTTTTTGGGAAACTGTAATATTAGCTTTCTTAGGCTTAATTAGGCTTAGTTTTAGGATTTTGAGACGAGTCTTTTCGATTAGGCTTAAAGGCTTATTCTTAAACTTTTAAATTTATGCTTTTGGTTTAGACTTCTAGGTTTAGGCTTTGACTTCTAGGCTTAGGATTATAATTCTGGACTTATTGTTAAACATGTAGGCTTAGGCCTAGACTTTTGGGTTTAGGCTAATTTCTGGGCTTGAACGTCTAGGCTTGAGATTCTACGTTTAGGCTTAGCTTTCTAGATTTAGACTTCTAGGCTTATTCTTATACTTATTGGCTTAGGATTATAGGCTGTCTTGTAGGCTTGGATTTAGGCTTGGGCGTTTAGGGTTTGGCTTCTAGGCTTAGGCTTCTAGGCTTAGGCTTCTAGGCTTAGGCTTCTAGGCTTAGGCTTCTAGGCTCAGGCTTCTAGGCTTCTAGGCTTAGGCTTCTAGGCTTAGGCTTCTAGGCTTAGGCTTAGGCTTCTAGGCTTAGGCTTCTAGGCTTAGGCTTCTAGTCTTAAGCTTCTAGGCTTAAGCTTCTAGGCTTAGGCTTCTAGGCTTAGGCTTCTAGGCTTAGGCTTCTAGGCTTAGGCTTCTAGGCTTCGGCTTCTAGGCTTAGGCTTCTGGGCTTAGGATGCTCTGTTTCTAGGCTTGCACTGGTCATAAAGTTCATGGTCCTAAAGATAGTAATTTAAATTTTAAAACCAAGGTTTAAAGCCCTCCAGCGGCCCCAAAACAAGCATTTGAATAAGGCATGTTTTGGGGGGATGCGACCTTTCGGACCAACAAACAATTAGGAGGGGGGGGGGATTCCGAGAAGATTGCGCGAAACAAAAGACAAATTGAAAAGGAATTGGCTTTCGTGTGTCTTCGGCGAATACATTAATATGCAATTATTTTATTCCGCCTTATTATATGATTTGTTCCGCATATTGTGCCATTTCAATTGTTATACTGTTTTTACGTTTAAACTTGGCACAACAACAATACTGTTTCTGTTTACTTTATTGTGAGGTTAGGCTTGGGGGGAGGGGGCTTTAAAGAGCGGAACTGGGTGGTAGTCGGGGAGAGGGGAAGAGAGCCTCAGAGGGAAGTGAGAAGGGAGGTAATAGTTTTTTTGAAAAGCAAGGGTAGGTTTTTAAGAAAAGTTAGGCTTAACAAGGCAGATGGATCTTCAGGGTAGGGTAGATTTTGCTAAAGAAGTGGTGTGTCTTAAAAATTAAATAAAAATGAAAAAAAAATTAATTTTTTGAGCAAGGCGCTAGGGTTGATTAATTTATGGCAGGGATTTTGTTTGACAGGGAGAATCTTCAAAAATCTAAAACTTTTTGTTGGCCTGGTTTATTGTTGATTGGGGAGGTTAGAGTAGGGCGTGTTTAACGCGTAGTGATGGGATTGACGTTGAGTTTATGCTAGGTTTTGCTAAATCAAGGGCGGATTTTTAGGGCAAGAGTAGTGTTTTTATGGCACGACTTTGTCAGCACGGGTTAGGTTTTTTGAAATGCAGAGGGTTTTTTTAGTCTTAGGGGTAATTTTTTTAAAATCTAGTAGTGTTTTTGGACGGGGTGTATTTTTGAATGGGTTATGTTTAGTAGGGTAAAGATAGGATAGGGAAGGGCAGGGTAGGGTAGGGTAGGGTAGGGTTGGGTAGGGTACTGTAGGGTAGGGTTGGGTTGGGTAGGGTAGAGTAGGGTAGGGTGGAGTATAGTAGGGCAGGGTAAAACATGCAAAATGATAATTTGAATTTTTTAAAAAATAAAAATTCGTTCTTCTCCACTCCACACAAAACGAAACGTTGTTATTGCTCGTGTTATAACGTTCATTCGAATCCATGGGGCTTATTGATAAATTAGGCTTTTTATTGAGGATGGGCTCAGAAGTGGGCAACGGAAATCTAGTTAAATTCGTGTTCGTCCCAACAAAAACGCAATTTTATTTCGGAATTTTGGGGTGGATTTGGCTGTGATTATCAGCAAAATTAAAAAATTTATTCGAAAGTTGATAGGCTTATTGCTTAAACATAGAAGTTGAAGCTAAGTGTTTAGGCTTAGTACGCTTAGGCCTAGCTTTAGTAGCCTGAGGCTTAGTAGGCTTAGGCTTAGTAGGCTTAGCAGGCTTAGGCTTAGTAGGTTTAGGCTTAGTAGGGTTAGGCTTAGTAGGCTTAGACTTAGTAGGCTTAGGCTTTTAGGCGTAGGCTTAATAGGCTTAGGCTCAGTAGGTTTAGGCTTAGTATGCTTTGGCTTAGTATGCTTAGGCTTAGTATGCTTAGGCTTAGTAGGCTTAGGCTTACTAGACTCAAACGTAGTAGTTAGTAGGCTTACACATGTGTTAAGCATAAACAGGCCGAAACTCGAAGTAAAATAGAGCAAGATCCCAGCACTCGCAGTCATTTGTTGGGTCGTTTTACACCGGGGCAAGTATTACAAAATGAAGCCATATTACATAAGAAAAAGTTGCGTAATACTGTTTTCTGCAATTTCTCTAAGGCTATGTTGTTATATAAGGATATTATGTAAAACCACAGGTATTTTTTTGCATTTTCTTTTATATAATTATTTTCTATTCGTCTCTAGACTCACACTTTTAGGTACGAATTTTTAGGTTTGTTCTTTTAGGCTTAGGGTTTTAAGTTTTAATTGCTAAGCTTATGCTTCTAGGCTTAGGCTACTTGGATGAGGTATTTAGAAGACTATAGAATCTGGGTTTAAACGTTTAGGCTTGGAAGATTAGGCGGAGGGTTACATGCTTAGGTTTCTAGGCTTTTGTTTCAAGGGTTGGGCTTCTAGGATTAGGCTTTTATACCTAGCTTTCGTGGCTTGAGCTTTAAAGCTTGGTTTGCTAGGCTTAGAATTCTAGACTTAGACTTCTAGGCTCAGGCTTCTAGGCTTAGGTTTCTTGACTTAGGCTTCTTGACTTAGGCTTCTAGGCTTAGGCTTCTATGCTTAGGCTTCTAGGCTTAGGCTTCTAGGCTTAGGCTTCTAGGCTTAGGCTTCTAAGCTTAAACTTTTAGGCTTAGGCTTCTAGTCTCAGACTTCTAGGCTTAACCTTCTATTAACCTTCTAGGCTTAAGCTGTGAGGGTTAGGTTTTTTGGCTTATGCTTCTGGGCTTAGGCGTCATGGCTCTGACTCCTAAGCTTAAACTTTTAGGCTTAAGTTTTTGATTTTGGATTGTTGTAATGCGCTGCTTGGAATTTTTAAAATTTTCAAAAAAATCCATTAAAGATAGCAGCGAGTAACCATCGAAATGTAGTGCGAAATAATTGGGGCTTAAACAATGCGTGCACATAAGTACAGAAAACAACGAATTTTAGTGTCCTTGAAGAGCAATTTGCGCCCGGCGGCCGAAGCAAATTGTTCTGGCCGAATAGTCTTCGCAAAAACTTTTGTTTTTTGGGCTTAAGACGTAAAGGTCACGGTCTTTAATGGAGCCGCCGGAAGTGTTCGACGGCTTGGATTTGAGGGCGGTGTGAGGGGGGAAAATAGCTGGGTTTTGTTTTAGCTAGGATACTGTATGTTATGGTGGATGGTTTTTTGGCACTGTAACTATACCTTACTCTATATTAGTTTACCCTACTTTACCCTACCCTACCCTACCCTACCTTACCTTACCTTATTCTACTCTATCTTACCTTATCCTACCTTACTCTACTCTACCTTACCCTGCCCTACCATACCTTGCCCTGCCCTACCCTACTCTATTTTACCCTATCTTACCCTACCCTAGCTTATCCAATCATACCATACCCCACCCTATCCTACCCTACTCTACCCTACCCTACCTATACCCTACTTATACCCTGCTTTTTTACCTTACTATACTCTACTCTAACTTACCGTAGCCTAAGTGTTAACCTTAGTCCCTACCTTACAGTATCTTACCCTACCCGTACCCTGTCCTATCTTACTCTACTTTACTTTATTTTACCTTACCTTATTCTAGCCCAAGTTTTGGTATCATTTTCTACTTTACCGTTTCTTGCTCTATTCTGAACCTACCTTATTGTACTCTATCATATCGTGTCCCAAGTTCTGGTTTAGGCTTAACCTTGGGGCTTTAGTTTTATTCTTAGTTGTAGCTCTTATTTCAAATTCTAACGCTAATTCAAGTTGCTGCTCTTTGCGTTTTCATTACTGTACCTACAGCTTTAGCTTTAACTTTGGCTATGCCAATGCCAATTTTTGTTAATTTTTAAAATTTTTTTGTATTTTTTTGACTTTTTTCAATTTGTTCAACTTGTTAATGGCCAATTTAAGCTTAAATGCTAACACCAACTTTAAACGCGGTATATTTTTAAAAACAAAGCGTTACGCCGTATAACCTTTAATATAAAGAGGAAATAAGGGGTTTCGCGTGTCTCATGATAATAAAGTTATTATGGCGGTAATCAGCTTACTTTCTGAAGCCGAGTAAATAAATAAATTAACGTGGCATTTGAAAGCGGTGGGGAGAGAATACGCTATAATTATATGTAAATTTCGTGGGGCCGGTACCAGAAACTGACCTTAACTTGGGCATAATATTGTGTATGATATTATATGTTTATATAATATAACTGAAGGGATGGGGCTAAGGTCGGGGTAAAATGTAAAATATCTGCGGGGGGGGGGTATGGAAATGGCGTTGTTATGATTAAGTTTTTGTTTTTGGTCTGGGTTCAGGTGTCTAATCGTGTGTAGATTTCTAGGCAACGCCTTAAGGTTTTAGGCTTAGGTTTTTGGGAGTAGGTTTAGGTTGCTAGGCTTGGTTTTTGGCTACTAAGCAAAGGCTTATCACTATAGATTGAAGGTTTTAGGCTTATGTTGCTAGGCATAGGCTTTAAGGCTAAGGATTCTTGGTTTAGGCTTAGGGTTTTAAACGCAGGCTTAATTTTTAAGTTCAGGCTTTTAGGCTTAGACTTCTAGGCTTAGACTTCTAGGCTTAGGCTTCTAGGCTTAGGCTTCTAGGCTTAGGCTTCTAGGCTTAGGCTTTTTATGCTTAGGCTTCTAGGCTTAGGCTTTGGCTTATCAATAATGTTGGCATCTTGTAGATGTCAAACTCGGCGAAATGCATATTTGACATACGATAAACAAAAAAAGCCGGCTGGCGGCAATTGAATCTCCGGGGAAACATTTGCGCTTCGGCCCGCGAATTTAATGTGATTTTGTTTTGCCTACAGCAAAAACAATAAAAAAATTTGTTGTCCGCGTACTGTCACGGCGAAAATGATGAGTTTATGGGTAAAATTTTAATCAATTTTGGTTTTGTTTTTTTTTTGAATTTTTAGGTGTTTTATGAGGGGGATGTTGTATAGTTAGGTAGTGTAGGTCTTGAAATATGCTAGTAGGGTGTTTAATGTTTTGGTGGAGATCAGGGACGTCGTTTGGGGGGGGTTGGTTCGGGGTGACCCCCCCCAGAGCCGATCCGAAAAAAATCCACAGGTAGGTACCTGTACGTCAGGTAAGATTATCGTAAAGTGGAGGTATAGATAGAACTAGGTAAGACTAAGTTAAAGGTATTGAGAGTACGAGGTAAGATTAAAATGAAGTTACCTAGAGGTCTAGGTAAGGCCAAGGTGAAGATATTGAGAAGTTTGGGTAATGCCAAGGTAGAGGTATTGAGAGGAATAGGCAAGACCAAGGTAAAATCATGGCAAGTCTAGGGTAATACTGCGCTAAGGTAATGATAGATCAAGGTGTGGGCATAACATGACAAGGTAGAGTGGGGTAGGGTTGGGCAGGGCAGGGTAGGGTAGGGTAGGGTAAAATTGTTTTTGTTTTTTGAATTTTGTTTGCGAATTTGTATTCTTTACAGTGTGGTATAGAATAATTGTGTTCAGTAATTGAGTATTCTTTAGTAGTTTTAGCTTTTATTTTATTTTTTGTACAATGAGAAAGAGATATGGTTTTGTAAAAGGTGTTGTCGAGGTAGTTTTTGGGTGTATGTTTGAATAAAATACTACGGTAGGTTACTAAAATATACTGTAATATTAAATTTTTGAATTTTTTTCGTTACAATTTTACATTTTTATACGTTCTTATATTAACAACGTATATTTATTATGTTAGGCCTTTTGACGTGCGAGCAGTAATTGCTTTTGTATTAATAGTTATCCAAATGTCGAGTTAAGAGTAACAATTAGCGTTCATTTGTAGCCTGTCTTCACAATAACTTTCAAAACATGTTTCTATCCAACGAGTTTTGAATACTTTTAAAAGTTGAAATGGTTTTAAAAGCAAGATGTAATTGGCAATGAACAAGGTGAGCCTTTTTGTTGGTGTGGTGGAGTTATAGTTTTAGGGTAGGGTAGGGCAAGGAACTTTGCTTCGGCTTACGTTAGGGTTTTTGTTTAGGAGAAGCTATAGGTAGAGTTGGGCTAGGGTTTTTTGTGTGGGTGAATTTTTTTAATGTGGTAGGGTAGAGTAAAGCAAGGTAAATGATTAGGGCTGAGGTTGGTGTAGGGTATGAGTAGAACTAGGGTTCCAGTTTTTTTTGGACGGACGGCTTTTTTTTGTTGGGTTAGGGTGAGACAAGGCATGCGGCTAAGGCTCTGGGCTAGGGATCTGGGCTAGGGCTCTAGGCTACAGCTCTGGGCTAAGGCTCCGGGCTAGGGCTTTAGGCCAGGGCTGTGGGCTAGGACTCTGGACTAGGGTTCTGGGTTAGGGCTTTAGGCTGCGGGCTAGGGCTGGGGTAAGTGCTAGGGTTAGGGCTAGAGCTAGAGCTGGGAATAAGGCTAGTTCAAAATAAGCTTAGGTAAAATACGCGTACTTTCATTTGTCAAAATTTATTTCAGATGTAATGGACGTTTTGTAGCTAAACATCAAGTACTTTTATATCACTGGTTTTGGTTTTTATTGGATTTTTAATCATTTGAATTCATTCTTGTGCGGGTACAAACTTGATCTAGTTTTTGGATGGCTACTGGCAGTGAACATACAGGTAAGGGTCTTACTGTAACACTTTTTTTCGAAAAGCTGGATTTTTTGTTTTAGGCTTAAGTTAGGCTTAACTTTTATTTTAAGCCTAAATGAAGCCTTTTTTGACGATTTTGCTTACTAGGACATTAGAAATGTCATGATGACATCTATGTATCACTTATGCTTAAGCTAATATAGGTTTTAAAAACTTTTTTAAACTTTAAAATCGATGACTTAAGGTCAATTTTAAGCCTAAAAGACATAAAACGTGGGCAACTAATAACTTGTACGCAAATGCTAAAAACAATTCATGCGAATACGAAATTCGACTATTTAAACATTTAAGACAAATTACTCAAATTTCTCAACGAAATTCCAGAGAATCGTGCGAATTCCAACCAAAGTCGTCTTTATTATACTCTACTGTTGGGGGTTTTGATGGATAAGAGAGGGGGTATTTGCAATTTATACTAGCTATAGCCCTAGCCCAGAGCCATAGCCCAGACCCCTTAGCCCACAGCCCTAACCCACAGTCCTAGCCCAGAGCCCTAGCCCAGAGCCATAGCCCAGACTTCCTAGCCCACAGCCCTAGCCCAGAGCCCTAGCCGAGAGCCCTAGCTCAGATTCCTAGCCTAGAGCCCCAGCCCAAAGCCCTAGTCCACAGTCCTAGACTGGAGCCCTAGCTCAGAGCCCTAGCCCAGAGTTCTAGCCCAGAGCCCTAGCCCACAGCCCTAGCCCAGAGCATTAGTCCAGAGGTCTAGCCTAGAGCCCTAGCCCAGAGCTTTAGCCCAAAGCCCTAGCCCAGAGCCCTAGCCCAGAGCCCTAGCCCACAGCCCACAGCCCTAGCCCACAGCCCTAGCCCAGAGCCGTAGCCCAGAGCCCTAGCTTTTGCTCTAGGTTTAGCCTTAGTTTTAGGTCTTGCTCTCAACCTTTTCTTAGTCCTAGTCTATGCTCTAGCTCTACATCTAGCTCTTGTTCCTTTTTTTGGCTCTTTCTCTAGCTTTAACTTTAGTTTTAGTAGCCTAGTTTAACCTCGTCTAGCACTAGCCCTTCTCTAGCTTTGTCTTGGCTCTAATCCTGGCCCTAGTGCTAGTCTTTTCTTTAGTCTCGGCTCTAATCTTGACCTTCAAATGTCATTGCTCTATCTGTGGCGCTTGCCCTAGCTCAAAACGTAGCTTTAAATTTTAGCTATTTTTAGCCTGGCTGAATCTTGTCTAACGCTAATCCTAGCATAAGCTTGGCCCTAGCTTTGGCTCTAGTCAGGATACAAATTTAAAAAGCCCTGCCATCACCATATCATATTCTCCTACATAATTTACCTTGTCACTTTTTTTCTTGTTATTATCTTACTTTTATCTTGAACTTACTCTTTACCGTACCTTATAGCCTCTTGTTTAAGTCCAATTTGAATGCTACTCTTACTATTTTGCAAAGCTGATATTCTCTTTTAAAATATTTTGTATTATTAACATACTAAATAGTATTACTATAAGTTTTAGATGAATAAGATAGAAGAAGGTCGATAATATTTGTTGATATGTCACCAATAAAGGTCCAAAAAGGTGGTGGGTTAATTGGTTAGATTAACTAAAGCAAGTGTAATATATAAAAATTGACGACAAGCCTTTCTTGGCAAGCTAAAACTATGTTTTTTAAGCCTAAAATGCCACAAAGTAAAATTTTTTGCTTTTTATACTAATACCTTTGATTTGTAATCGATTTTTACCCCACCTATTCCAGGTGTGTCAGTGGGTCATCCGTATATGCGCGGACCCGTCTCCGCCGACAAATACTGGTTGTTGTTGCTCATTCTACTATGTGCCGGCTTCATCGTGGGCTGTGCATGCTACTCATTGAGGATAACGAAGCAACGAATGCGACGGCTAGCTGGACAGGACAAGCTGTCGAGGCGAGGCGCATTCGAAGGCGAAGGCAGTTCACATCGAGCGGACTGCGAAATCTCATGTGATGTGAGCGATGTGTCATCGAACGAGAGTTTCAATCAGGAATACGCTTTGTAGAGGTTTAGCCTTGGATATATTATACAGTGGACTAGGGCTCTGGGCTAGGGCTTCTGTATAACAAATGGCTCGGGGAGTTTAAATTTGTTTGTTATGAAAGAATGTTGTTATAGAAGGATTTTAAATGAATTGCTATCTAGGAATTTAAAAGCTGTTTGTTATACATAAATTTTGCTCTAAAGAATCTTGTTGTACAGGAGTTCTACTGTGTCGGAATTTAGGTTTTTAATGGTTTTTTAGTTTTTTAGGTATAATTAGCGAAGGGCGGGTTATTTTGATCAGTAAGAGAGTTGTTCAAACTTTTTGTCTAATTGGAGGGGGAGCAACTGGACCTGAAAATAGGCCTTTTAGGCTTGGCTCGACATTGGTTTGGCCTAAAAGGAAATTTGAAAAACACCAGTCTGTGTCGGCACTTGTGGGACCAAGAACCGTTGTCCAAACTAAGGCCCCAGGAGCTTACGACTTGCAACAAAAAATTAGACTTTTACGTTAGATCCACCCCTTCTAACCCACCGTCCGGCTTTCACTACAGTATTAAAATGTTATTTCTAAAAGTAATTGGTTGTAAATTACTGTATAGTTGAGCTTTAGTGATCATTTTTTGTTTTCAAATTGGAGAAAAATGTAAAAAAAATTTTTTTCTTAAAAATCTCTATTATTGATCAGTTTGTAATTTTTTTAATTTTAATTTTTTTTATTTTTTCAAATTGTTTTATGTACCGGTTAAACAAACTGTCGTTTTTTGTATGAATAAACAATGTTTTATCATAATATCATATTTGATAGTAAAAAACTTTATTAAAGTTACAAAATTTTAATAAATTTGCGTTAGGGTAAAATTTAGTGTCAAATATAATGTTACATTTATAAAAATCAAAGAAGTCGACAGCTTCTCTTTTCCTGAAACGGATTCACTTCGCCGACTCCGCTCACCAATGGATCGTTGCTCTTTTGGGATTCACAGTACTTGATGATACTGAAGTATTAATGACAATGTATTATATTTTTGAATAGGATAAGGCCTAGAAGTGAAGAAGAAAGAAGAAAAAGGATTGTGTCTACTTTTGAAGCCCGGCAAGCGGGCTGAGTTCAATTTTTAGGCCCGGCTCGTTTTCATTTTTAATACTGGTCCGTCAGGTCAAAAAAAATTCTAGGTCCGGCCTAGCCCAGTCCGGTTGAAAATTTTTTTTAATTAAAAAAAAATTTTGAGGATGGGCCTACTTTTCAAAAGTCTGAACCACAGGCTGAGACCAACTTTAAGGTCTGGGCCGTTACAAATTTAGTTCGGGTTCAAAGCCGGCCCGTTCGTGGGCTAGGACTCTGGGCTAGGAATTTAAGTTAGGACTCTGGGCTAGAGCTCTATGATAGGGCTCTGGGCTAGAGCTCTATGATAGGGCTCTGGGCTAGAGCTCTATGATAGGGCTCTGGGCTAGAGCTCTATGATAGGGCTCTGGGCTAGAGCTCTATGATAGGGCTCTGGGCTAGAGCTCTATGATAGGGCTCTGGGCTAGAGCTCTATGATAGGGTTCTGAGCTAGGGCTCTGGGCTAGGCCTCTGGACTAAGGTTTTAGGCTAGGGCTCTGGGCTAGGGCTCTGAGCTAAGACTGACTTACATCTCCGAAGCATCAGAAACTCGAACTCTATTGATCCTGGATTCATTTCTCAGTTGTTCAGTCATGGCTCTGGCTTCATCAAGCGAGCTCATAATAACGTGGATAAACTTAGGGGTCGATTATTGGCAAGAAACTGAAAAAAGACTAAATTAGGTATGTTAAACGGTAATTACAGTGTAATGTAACGTGTAAAATTCTTTGAATTTCTAATGCCAGTGGGTTTAAGTGTAACAATGTAACATAATATCATGTTAGAGTTGACAAGAGTAATTACTACGTGGCTACGGATGTGATTACGTAAAATTGAAAAAAAAAACAAAAAAAAAGATTTTTTAAATTAAATTAAGCTTAAAAATCATGCACCTAAATATTTAAGGAAACTTAGGCTTAGGAACCTTGTACTTTAAGCCTAATGCTTAGGAACCTTATACTCTAAGCCTAAGGTACCTTACCTAATATTTTAAGCCTAAAGCCAATCTCAGACTTAAAAATTTATAGGCTTAATCTTAGGCCTCATTTTTTACTTAAAACTGGCATTTTAAGCCTAGAGTACATCTTAGGCTTAAAAGTTCATAGGCTTAAACTTAGGTTCCATTGTTAGCTCAACCCCTTGAAATTTTAAGCCTAAAAATGTTTTAGCTTAACCTCATTTCCTATTGTGGCCTTAAACTCTAGATATTTTAAGCCTAAAGCCTCTTATAAGCCTAAAAATGATCTTTTTTGCCCCTAAGGGCAATTTAAAGCTAAAAAGCAAAAACTTTGTCATTATGACCACATCCCTCACCATGTAACAAGCAACGCCAGTATAAAGGCTTCTTGAACACAAAGAAGATGCTTAAATACCAGCAGCCGACAGGTTCATGAAGGGCGTTGACATGACAACAGTCATTAGAGATAAGAGATGCGCCATAACAAAACTTGTTACACAGTAATTGTAGTTATTACTTTATGACTATAGTAATTTAGGATTACTGCAAAAGATTAGGGTTATTTATAGACTTACATTAGCAATTTAATAGCAAGGCGAGGTCTACCGTAGCTCTGCACTAGCATTACTTACTCTGCTTTACCGCACCACACCTTACCGTATCCTACCCTACCCTGCCTTACCCTGCTTTACCTTAACTTACCCTACCCAACCCACCCCGTCTTGTCTTGCCTTGCTTTGCCTTGCCTTGCCTTGCCTTGCCTTGCCTTGCCTTGCCTTGCGTTGCCTTGCGTTGCCTAGCCTTGCCTTGCCTTGCCTTGCTTTGCCTTGCCTTGCCTTGTCCTACACTAGTTTACTGAAGCTTTACCACGCCTTTCTGTAACCCTAGTCTATCGTGGTAATATTTTACCTCTGATATAGCCTAAATAAACCATATTGTAGCCTTACCACAATTTACCGTAAGCCTGGGTTACCCAGATTTCTTCACGGACCGGACCGAAAAAGCAAAGCTTTGGGGTTACCTTTCTCTTGCCCTACTTATCTTACACAAGCTTCATCCTACTTTCTACCCCGGTCTTGTAGAGCCGTTAGAGTGGTTCCCCTACCTCAGTCCTACCTTACTTTTATCCTACTTTATACTTAGCTTTGAAAAATTTTAAAAATCACAAAAATATGACAAATTGCTCAAATTTTTAAAAAATAAAAAAAAATTTTTAAATTTTCCCAAGATTTCAAAAATTATAAAAATCACTGAACATTTGATGTTTTACCAACAAAAAATGAAAAGCCAGTCCAGTTTTCTACTTTGTTATCATGTCGGTTGTGTTGTTGAAATTATCGCTGCTATTGAAATGTGTTGTTCAAGTCGCGGCCGAAGTTGTAGATCCTGCAGCATTTTATGCCATAGCAGCAGCGCCAATCAACGCTTGGGAGTATTCGGACCGAACGTGCAGTGATTATTCGTATCGTTCTGTGAGTTAAAAGGATTTGTTTGAAAAAGACTTATTTTTCCTATTTATTATACAGCAAATTTTGAGAAAAAAATGGATTTCCTTATATTAACTTAGGTTTTTTGCCTTTTCATGCTAACATATTATAGTAAAAACCATAAATTATTGTTAAAAAGCTCAGTAAACCCTCATACAATCTTAGTTTGAATCAAAAAACGAACAACATTTAGTTTTCTTGGCGTTCCGTTCCAATTTCGCCGAAACTCGTGAAAAATATTTTGCATGGATAATATTCGTGATTTCTCGTCGAGTTACTTCATGTTTCCTTTTCAAATATAATTCGTCTTTTCTACAATATTGTTATGCTGCTCAAGCTAATCAAGTTTCATCAAAAGTTTTAGTTTTATAGAGGAATAAATCGAAATTTCGAAAAGTATTGCGGTTTGAAGCTAAAACAATATCCAGAGTTGATTGGTAAGTCGTTTTTCCCTTTATTTTTCGTAATTTAGGTAAAAGAAAGATGCAAGTATACTAAAATTGTTGTTATACCGACTAATTGGCAATATTTCATCGAGCTATAAGTGTTATTCACTTGGATTATCATCTGGATATTGTTTTAGCTCAATGTTTTGGTTATAACTTAAAATTTGGACTTGTTTTGAAACTGAAAGTGTGGCAAATCAATGTGTAGCTGTTGTAGAATTGTTTGAATAGTATAAACAGTGTTTTTTATTTATTAAAGATGTTAAAATCACTGATTCCTTTGGATATTGTTGTAGGTGTATTAGAAGCACGTTTTTTGATAGTTTTTGCTTGTTTCATAAGATGAGCGTGTCTTTGAAGCTTTAAAAACATTCTACAACATCTTCCAGTCGATTCTCAATGCTTTTAGTTACAAACAAGCTCAACTTGACTCAAATATTAAGCTAAAAGGATGTTTAGATGTAAATCCAAGCAAATAACTGAAAACGTAATGAAAAATAGTCGTTTCTTTGAAATTATGTTTCTCTTAGAATATTACAGCTGTCTTTTACCTAAAACAAGAAAAATAAAGCGAAATAAAGGCCTTACCAATTGGTTTCCGACCTTGTTTTAGCTTGAATCCGGAAAAACGTTAAGAAAGCTTGATGAAAACCTTGTTTTTTGGCATAACTTGAAGAGTTTGGTAATTCTGAAAAAGCCTGAGTATTCTAATGATGTTTTTGAGAAGCTAGAGTATATTTTAAATGGCAAACATCAATAGTGTTCTCGGCGGGGGGGGGAATTTTGCGTTCCCGTCCCCGTCATCCCCGCAATTTTTGGAAAAAAAAATCCCGCCGGGGACGGGGACAAAAAACCCCCCCCCCGTGCGGGACGGGAACGGAAAATGTGAGAATTTTTAAAAATTATACTGGTTTTTTGCTAATATCAATAAAATAAAGGTTATTTTAAATATACTAGTAGTACGAACTATTATAAACAAATCTTAAACATATTCCAACTATTATTATTAATAAAAAAAATATAACAATATAAACAACAATGTTAAGTCCCATCAGTTTCGTCATCTGAACTAGAATCATTCAATTCTTTGTTCCTTCGATTGAGTTCACATCTCAACAGTAATATTTGTTCCGCACGCTCATCCGTCAGCCTATTACGCAGCTTGTCGTTGAATAACATCGTCGCATGACTGAAGAAACGTTCGGAAGGAACAGAAGATGGTGGAATACACATCACCTTTTTGGCCACTTGATACAAAATTGGGAATCGATCATTGTTGTCCTTCCAAAACTCTTCAGGAATAACGTTCCTTAGCTTTATTGCCTTCATCTCGTTTACTTCGTCCTACGATCAATAATTATTAAAAATCAATATAACTTTTAAATTTTTTAATAGTAATAATTAATAATGTGCCACTTACAATCAACCTTTCGTCTGTTTTAACAACTTCTTCACAAATTGGCGACGTTACACGCAGTTCATCGTCTAAAAAATCAAATCCTTCAATTTGACTGTTTGAACCCGCTTCTGGACGTGCTTGGTCTTGATTTAAATGATTACTATCGAACTCCAGGGGTCCAAAATTTTTCTTGATGTACTTCACAGCGTCTTTTAAAGAATTTGGTGTTAATTGGCGAACAAATCTACAATCCACAAGTTGACAAGCATGTAGCAACCCTTTAGCCGTTATTTTGTGTAAACCTTCTTCAAGCTGACTTTTTAGTGTCTGCACAAAACTTGTAACATCACGGTATTCTTCACTCCTAAATTAATTTATTAAGTTTTTATTAAAAAGTTCTACTAATAAAATTAAATCTTAAAATAAGAAAACTTACTTTTCGTCAAGCTGTTCGTACGCATTTTCTAAATAATCGCGCAGACTTTCCAAAGTAGGCATGATGGTAGATGCCATTTCCGAATCTGATGACAAACGTCTCGTCGCTTCATCAAACTTGGACAAAACTTTCACCAAGATTGACAATTGTTGACGGTCACTCATTTTAAATGCACTGTAGTCCATTTTAAGAGCCGCTTCAAATTTCTCCTCGATAGATTGTAACATAAAAAAAGTAGAGTTCCATCTAACAGTGATTTCCTAAAAATATATATTCTTTACCCCAAATATAACTTGGTATATACATACTATAGCCACGTTAATTGTTTTCAAAACGAACTTTTGGTATTTTAGATGAACTAATTCCTTGTTTGTTCAGTTCGTCTTCAAATTTGGATTGATTGTGCCTTTTCCTTGATTCCTTAGCAAAGTTCCGGCACTTTTCAATTATCGTCATTACAGTTCCATTAGCGTTCTTAATTCCAAATTGTACAACCAAGTTTATTAAGTGAGCACAACATTGGAAGCTGAAAGAATAATTTGTAAACGAATTTTTAACTAAACTGTTTAATACTATAATACTTTATAAACTTTCGTTAACATTCCTACTTTTCAATTCCTAATTTTGAAGCTGCCAGCCGCATGTTAGCTGCATCATCTCGTACCATAGCTACCATCCTTGCCTCTTCTAATTCGAAATACTTTAAACAATCAGCGATTTTCCGTGCTATAACATCGGCTGTTTTGAATTCGTTTGTAGTGAATCCTCTACATCCAATCACGAAGTTTCGCCTTGTAAATGTATTATCCACAAAATGCAAGGTTACTCTAAAACATAATAAATTAACGTCTATCTTACGATTGAAATGATCTGTCTCCTTGGCTCCAACCATCACTTGTGATACAGTAAAATGAGTCTCCAACTAAAGTCTTGACTGCTTTCCGAAAGTCGTCGATCATCCGTGGAAAGACAGACCCCATGAAGTGACTTATTCCGTAAGTTACAGTCCCAGGAAAGGTCGCTTCTACTGTTTGAGTGACGTACTTATTAACCAAAGACGATAACGACATGCGGTTAGATAGAATCATTTCGACTTGAAAAGTGCCTCGTTGATACTGATTCAAAGCCATATTTTGTTTTATTGTGTAACTTGTTATCTAAAATAAGTAAAAAATAAGTTTTAAACACAAAAAAACTGTCCTTAACATGAATTTTATTTTTTTCTACTCAAAAATAGGTAACAAAAATATTAAAATAAAAAACTTGTTATTAAAACAGATGAAAATGTCTAAAATTTTAAACATTATCATAATATACAGTTTACTTACTAGATTCCCGCGGGAATTCCCTTTTTTGTTAAAACTAGGGTTTTGAGGGTTTACTGTTGTGTTGTAAAGGGATTTATAATGTAAAATATTGTTGTTATAGCTATAAATATTGTTTTAGCAAGTATAATTTTGCTTTGTTTTAGTTTGGTGTTTACGATTGGCCATGTATGACATTGGAAGTGTTGGACAATGACAAAGTGTTAGTTTCAAGGTTTTTTAGTCGAAATAAAAAAATTTTTTTAAAATTTTTGGTTTTTTCAGCTAAAAATTTAAAATTTTCAGCAAAAGATGGGAAAACAATCAGCCATTGCTTCAGTTCGCGGAGAGTTTGTCACCTTCAGTTGCGGCCCAAGTTTTAAATGATTCTACATACTTTGCTGAAGTACATTGGCCAAACAAATGTAAAACAGTAAGTAAATTTATACCTCACCCCTACCCCCTTCCAGTAGCCTACCCTATCGTTAATATTACTTTCTACCCCACAATCATTTTCAGTTCGAATACGCGTGTCTGATCACTTTGTACGGTATCTTCTTAAACACTGCAGAAGACGACGCAGGATCCGTAGCATGTGCACCATGCAAAGATTATAACGATGTACTACAACGTATCTACGAACAAGGACCAAGTAGAAGATTTTACGAAGCAATTGGCTATGTTTACCTTAACTTTAAAGTGGTATACGATGGAAAACTGGCAAGGCTGATGCTGACAAGTGGTCAAGACAAACTAACAATGGATGTGACAGTCGAAACGACGCAGGGAGTCGATCAGAAGGTAAGATATTGGTTGAAAATGGTGCTTGAGCTCCGAGTTTTGAAAAAATTTTAAAAATTGACGGTTTAGGTAACAAATTTTGAAAAATTTTTGAAAAAGTTGATTTTGGGTAACAAATTCTTTAAAAAATTGATTTTTAGGTAAAAAATTTTAGAAAAAGTGACCTTTAGATAACAAATTTTAGAAGAAGTTACTTTTAGGTAACAAAATTTAGGTAACAAATCTGTAAAGATTGATATTTAGGTAACAAATTTAGAAAAAAAGTGGATTTTAAGTAACAAATTTTGAATAAAGGTTGATTTTGGGTAAAAATTTTTAAAAAAAGTTAATTTTAGGTATTAAATTATGAAAAAATTGGTTTTTAGGTAACAGATTTTAGAAGAAATGATTTTTAGGTAACAAATTTAAAAAAAATTGATTTTTAGGTAACAAATTTAGAAAAAGTTGAATTTAGGTAACAAATTTTATAAAAAACCGGTTTTAGGCAACAGATTTAGAAAAAATTGATTTTTAGGTATAAAATTTTGTTTTTCAGTATGTGGGCATTTTTATTGTCGTAAGACCGAATTCGCTTTATGCATCGGTCTTGAACTGCACCATTTCATATAGTTTCGTACGCGACGATCATCCGTCCAGCTTTTGCGAGGACGCGGACGCAAAATATACTTTGAGGAGAGATACAGCCGCGAAGTTCATTAATGTAAGTACTTTTTATCTTCTTATCACTCTTTTATGGTGGAATACGGTAGGTTACGGTAGAGGTAGGTACGGTAGAGGCAGGTACTGTAGGTTACGGTAGAGGTAGGTACGGTAGAGGTTGATACGGTAGATTATGGTAGAGGTAGATACTGTATGTTACGGTAGAGGTAGGTACGGTAGAGGCAGTTACTGTAGGTTACGGTAGAGTTAGATACTGTAGGTTACGGTAGAGTTAGGTACGGTAAATTACGGTAGCAGTTGATACGGTGATTACTGTAGAGGTAGATAGAGTAGGTTACGGTAGCAGTTGATACGGTGATTACGGTAGAGGTAGATAGAGTAGGTTACGGTAGATGTCGATACGGTAGGTCACGGTAAAGGTAGGTACGGTGGAGTTAGAGTTGCGTTACAAATGATAGAGTACTGTGATGCAGTAGGGTAGAATAGGATCCAATACGATACGGTAGGATAATGTAGAGTAGATTTGGGTAGGGCAGGGTAATTTTGCTTTATTTTAGCTCCGTTGCTACTTCCGCGACACAAGAGACTACCCGCTCTTCACAATCCCCCAAGCCCTGAATAGAGTCAATTTCCTGTATCAACCGTGTGAAGAGCCATACGCTAACAAAACCTGTATGTCACCGTTCATTGGCGGATTCTTGTCATCATGTAGTTTTACATTCATCGAGGCCGGCAATCAAGAATTCTATTGTGGTGGATTTTTTAACTTTTTGGAGGGCAATCGCAGTCTTGGTGAGGGTTAACTAAAGGATCTTTGAGAAAATGTAAAATTAGGTAACAAATTTTAGAAAATAAAGTTTAGGTACAAATGTTCGAAAAAGTCGACTTTATTTTAGAAAAAATCGATTTTAGGTAACAATTTATAGAAAAAATGAATTTTTAGGTAACAATTTTAGAAAAAAATGAAATTTTAGGTAATAAATTTTTGAAAGTTGATGTTTAGGTAACAAATTTTAGGAAAAGTCGATTCTAGGTAACAAATTTTTGAAAGTTGATGTTTAGGTAACAAATTTTAGGAAAAGTCGATTCTAGGTAACAAATTTTTGAAAGTTGATGTTTAGGTAAAAATTTTAAAAAAATCGATTTTAGGTAACAATTTTATAGAAGAAATGGATTTTAGGTAACAATTTTAGAAAAAAATGAAATTTTAGGTAATAAATTTTAAAAAGTTGATACTTTAGGTAACAGTGACATTGTGAGTAACAAATTATGGAAAAAAGGAGTTTTGTAATAAATTTTTGAAAAATAGAACTTCAGGAAACAATTTTTTGAAATCTGATTTTTAGGTAACAAATTTTATAAAACTGAAATTTTAGGTAACAATTTTTTTCAATTTTTACTTTTTCAGATTCCTCGATAGCAACAGCTATCATATTTTCGAAATCATACACTGAAAAGTACAACAAATTCACATGTGGCTTATTCATGTCTGACGTACGATTTTATGGAGACGACGCAATTTTCCACAAAATCAATATTGGATGTCTGTGCGCTATAACGGCCGAAAATCGATTTTGCGACATGGCGTTGTCCACGACCGCGCCTAGTCTCAGCATACCGGTAGGGGTTTGGATTTTAAATTTTTTTTATTTTGGTGGGTATGGTAAATTATTTTTATATTTTGGGGAGTGGTAAGGTTGCTTGGGGTACAGTAGCGAAATTCAAAGTAATTTTTTGGCTAAGGTACGGTAATGTTGGCTAGTATACATACGGTAGGGTTCTCTAGAGTAGGATAGGGTCTCTTACGGTAGGGTATGGTAGGATAAGACAAGATAAACTACGGTAGGGTAAGGTAGGATATGATAAGGCAGAGTATGATCGTTTGGGTACTGAACTTCACGGGGGGTTTCTCTAAGGTACGGTAAGTTTGCCTAGTAGACGGTAGAGTTTTTTAAATTACGATAGGATTGTATAGAGGTTATGGTGAGATATTTTGTAGGTACCGTATTCTACCTTAGATTACGGTAGGTAAGGGTAGTGAAGTAGGGAAGGATAGGACAATGTAGGGTAGGATAAGGTAGAGTAGGGTAGGATAGGGTAGGGTACGGTAGAGTGAGTTAAGGTAGGGTAGGGTACTGTAGGGCTCATACGGTAGTAAACTTTTTTGAAATTTCAGAACACCACTTGTACTCTAGATGCAAAAAGCCTCTACACAGGACCGCCGGCCTATTGCTATGTTAAGGATGAGGAGTATGGCGTGACGGATAACGTACAAACGGGAAGTGTCTGCTACATGTTGAATGACCGTAATCTAGCGTTTTGTGTTCCAACGTGAGTTATTTTGTGTATTTTTGATAATATTTACGCTATATTATGCTACTAAGCTTTTTTAAATTATTTTAGAGAATTGATACAGAATGCCAAAATAGGAAAATTTGGCGGGAATTTGAAAATTTAAATTTTTTAGGTTTAATATTTGTTTATAAGCATTTTTAATTGTCTTATTTGGGCTTGCTAGTGCTTTTTAGAACGGTTTAATGCATTAAAACTGAATGCCAAATTTGGCGGGAAATTTGAAATTTAAATTCTTGCAAATTTTTTTGTGAAAATGATATTTTTGATCGTTTACATTGAATTATTCTGGCCATGTGTGATTTTTTGGACATCTATAACATGCTGAAACAGAATGCTAAATTTGGCGGGATTTTTAGAATTTAAATTTCTGTGCCCTTAGGGTTAAAGTCGTGGAAGTTGGGGTTAAAATAAGTCATTTAGAATAATTTTTATTATTTTTCAGGAAGCAGAATTGTGAATGTTGTTGTTTCACCGCCAAACACGACAATTGTAACAGTTTGTTCGCGATTGGCAAGGCATTCGAAAGCCAATACCTGGTCTGTATGTGGGAACTACAATACGGACCATTTACAACATACATACCTAATTTCTTGGTAAGAATTTTTACTTTGATTTGTGGTTGATAAGTTAGGATTTTAACTTGGGCAGGGTAGGGTACTGTAGGATACGGTGTGATAGGTTAAGGTAAGGCAGGGTACGGTAAGGTAAGATATAGTAGGATACTTGGATACGGTGGGATAGGGTAGGGTAGAGTAGAATAGAGTAGGATACGGTATGCTGAGTAGGTGATCGTACCCTTACAGTAGCAAATACAATTGTATTTTAATATGATTCCAGGCCTTTAACTCCTTTTGGCTCTACGCTGATGAACTAGTCTTCTCCACCTCTGACATAATGGACTTTAATCGAGAATTTGAGAAACTCTACGGATTCTTCGTACTCGATATGAAGACTTTAAAAGTCATAAGGACTGGTAAATTGGTTTCAATTTTTTTTCTTATCTTTTTATTTTATTGTCTAAAAACGTGATTTTTTAAAAATTTTTTGCCTAATGTATGGTTTTTAGGGTTTTAATACCTAAAAATATGATTTTTTTGATTACTTGCTACATAAAATTAATTTGTTGTAACCAAAATTATGGTTTTTTTATTTTTGTTAACCAAAAATATAATTTTTTGATTATCAGTTACCTATTAAATATTTTTTTTAATAATGTTACGTAAAAAATATTTTTTTTATGATTTTGTTACCTAAAATGTGGGTCTTTGATTATTGTTACTTAAAAATCTGATTTTTCGTATTTTGTTACCTAAAATATTTTTTTACTATTTTTTAACTAAAATATTTTTTTTTGGTTATTTGTTATCTAAAATATGATCTTTTAGATGATTTGTTACCTAAAAATGATTTTTTTCTATTTTTTTTACCTAAACTATGATTTTTTAATTATTTGTTACCTAAAATATTATTTTTTCAATTTCAAAAATTTCAAAAACCGCAATTCCAGGTATCTACAACCCAGTCCAACACAGCTACGCAGCCGCTCCCGGTTTTACGGACCACGCTGCCATAAATCGCTATTACAACAGGAGATGCGGCAATGTGAGAGAGTGGACTTTGGGCGAGATCTCGGGACAACATAGATGCTTCTACAAGGACAAGTTCACCATGGAATGCTGTACCTCCAAAACTTTTGGGGGTAGGGTATGAGAAGATGGGTTGAGTAGGGTGGGAGGGTAGAACTTAACCTAGTCATGCTTTTGACTCTCCAGTTCTAACGTAGCCCCGACCTCAGCGTATCTTACCTATGACAACATATATTGATGATAATAGCCTTATTTATTATTTCCTTTATTAAGGACCTAGTAGATACCCTGGCCTTAAAGCAGCTCTACTATTAGGTTGTTCACTTTATTCTGCGCCCCCTCTCAAAACAAATTTGTGAGATAAGGGGGCGCATAATTATTTTAACAACCTAATATATACATTGATGCTGTTCGGATCATACTGTAGTCCTAACCTTACGCTAGTCCTGCCGTAGCTCTATGTAGGCTTCCCATAGCTTATGTTAACTCTATTGTATCTTTCCGTTGGACCTACTACAGTATTATCCTAGCCATAAGTTTACCATAGCTCTAGACTTATGGTACCGTATTGTAGTGTTCTGTCCTAGCCCCGTCTTCTATCGTCTCTCACTGGAGCATACCAATTATAACTTCCTGTAAAGCCTATCTTTAAAAAATCATCTTTTCTATACACTACAATAATATTGTACAATCCAAAGTGGGTAAATATAATTTTTCAAAGCAAAAACTTATGTCTGTGAAACTTTATTCCAATACCAGTCAGACCAATATGATATTATCTGACAATTCTCGATGTACCTTATCCAGACGGTCTAACGACTGCATTCTTCATGAACGGGGTTTTGGAGCAACAACAATGGATGACGGTCTTGGACGAGTAGAAGCACTTGCATTGCGCCGAGATCTCGGCCGCATCCCAAAATTCGATATTGCCACAGATTTTGGTGTAGAAGGTGTTCCTAGTCGAGTCCGCCGCTACGGTAGTGTCGTTGTTGTAGGCGTGCATTACTCGGTTGAAGATGCCTGGAAAGAGGAGAGTAGTTTTGACGTGGTGTAGATTACTTAACCTACTGTATCCTATCATACATTGCCTTATCTTACCCTACCCGACTATATTCATCCCAAGAGTACCGTAACCTACAGTACTCTGACCAGCTATACCTTTGCATACTATACCTTACACTACCTTATTATACCCACCCTATCCTATACCTTGCCATACCCTACCCTACTCCATCCAGTATCTTATTCTACTGCTCTCTATCCTACGGTATTTAATTCGACAGTACCTTAGCCTACAATACCCTACAGTGTGGTATCTTATCCTACAGCACCCTACTCTACAGTATCGTCCAAAGCCCATCTTTCAACTTTTAAAATCTTAAATTTGGCTTACCACTACCCTATCCTACCATACCTTACCTTGCAATACTCAGCCTTACATTATATTAGCCTACTGTACTCTATTCTACAATACCCTACCCTATTTTATGTTACCTTACCCCACCCTACATTCCTCCTACCTTCAAAAATCAAAAAAGCTTACCAGTATCCTTGACCTTCAGCACCGTCAAATCCAATTCGAAAAATCCCATAAGTTTTTCGAATTCTCGATTAACATCCATCACATCGATAGGTGGGAAGAAGAATATCGGGCTGTATATCCAGGAACCCCAGAAGGCCCAAAAATCGAAAAATTTTAAAAAATACACAAAATTTTCAAGATACACAAAAATCGACCACAAATTTGAAATTTTCAAAAAATTTCAAATTACCTTGATGTTAGTGTAGAAAGGCTCATGTTCTCCATGTCTCAGTGATTCCTGACAAGTTAGATACAGGCTGTAGTAGAGGTTATTTTCCGTAAACTCGGCATTACATTCCTTTTCATCATTCACACAACAACATTCACATTTACCTTTTTCAAAACTAAAAAAAATTAAATTTGCAAATTGAAAAATTTGAATTTTTAATTTCCCGCCGAAATTGGCATTTCTATTTTACGATGTTTTCAGCTAGAAAACAAATTTTAAAAACCATCAAAACTAATATGCACTAGTTTAGTAACTTATTCGTACCGAGAACTGATATTTTGCAACCAAAAAATTTAAATTTCAAATTTCCCGCCAAAATTGGCATTCCGTTTCAAGCCTTCAGAATACTGCCAAAACGATGTAAACCAATATAAAACTCATTTTAAAGTTAATTCTTCACTAAAACGCCATTTACAATATTAAAAATTTGAATTTCAAATTCCCCGCCAAAATTGGCATTCCGTTTCAACACTTCTTACGGCCAAAACGATGTAAACTGATATAAAACTCATTTTAAATTAATTTGTTTACTATAAAGTACGTTTATACCAATGAATATTTGAATTTTGAATTCCCGCCACAATTGGCATTCCGTTTCAAGCCTCAAAATCAAGGCAAAAACCATAAATCACTTACTTCGGTTTACAGTAAGCTTTCAAATTCTCGGTTATTTGAAAACAAGCTTCTCCAGGATATGAAGTGTCATTTATTGAAAAGTCGTCTCCGCCTTCGTACTTGCAATACCCAACCAAACCATCGGCAATAATCCTTTTGCCGTCTACAACCCCCTTTATGCAAGATCGCTTCTGAAGTAGACGTATGTATTAATGAATTCAAAGAAAAATTAAAACAAGGTAAGGGTAGTATGGTAAGGGTAGGGTAAGTTAGAGTAGAGTATGGTCGGCTTACCGGTATTTCTGGCACGTCCGTGTCCGGACGTGAATGAGGCAGCCCCGCATCGCAAATCGGACTTGTATTTGGAAAACATGGAAGCCCTATTACCATCTTATGTATCGTCTTATTCGTCGCACTGTCTATCGTTTCGATCATTTGTAAACGGGCCGAATAATAGTCACCCTCGAATTCTAATGCAGTCCAAAGGACATCAGCAAACACGAAATCAACTAAAACAAGATACGTTTTGGTTTCAGACAGGGTAGAATAAAGTAGGAGTACGAGTAAGAGTACCCATAGAAATAGGGATAAGGGTAGAAGAAGTAGAAGTGTTATGATAGGAGCAAGGGTAGAAGTAGTGATAAGGTAAGAGTAGAAGTAAGAGATAAGGGGTAGAGGGTAAGGTAGGGGGTAGGGGATAGGGGGTAGGGGGTTGGGGGGGGTACGGGGTAGGGGGTAGGCAAAAATGCTAGTCGCTACAAATAAAAAAACTCACTAATCCCTGAATCCTCATCGTAGATATTGTAAAAGGCACTGCAGAGGAACAAGCCATGATCCTGATACGTTCGCACAATATAGGTTCTGACGCATGCTGACAAGAAGCCACCGAACATGAATACCATACAAGTCGAAGACGGATCTGTATCATCCGAACAATTGACAAAGATATACTGCAGGTAATTCACAAATTGGGGTATTGTGAAGACAGGCATCAAGGTGACATCGTGAATGAAACATTTTATCTGAAAAATGTGATTTTACTTAATCCTACTGTACTTCACTCTACCAGACCCTCGCACCTTCCCCTCTTCAACAACCCTACCTTCACCCCTTCCCCCAACCAGAGTTTTGCCTTTTGGGTCCAAAGAACTCTGCCCCAACTCAATAATCCTATCTTGCCCTACCCTACTCTTCCCTACCACACCTTTACATCTCATTTCACAACACTTACATCAATCGATTTGAACCCGTTTGCTATAGAGAAAAAAATATCGGCCGATCCGTCGGCGCACAGCTTTCCTTCTTCGTTTGTCCGAACCAGTTCGTACGAGAAATTGATTTCCTGGATGACAGTGTCAAATCGAATTTGTGCCTCCATTTTTATTCGGACTCCCATGTTCTAAAAAATAAAAATTTTTTTTAATTTCAAAAACAATTAAATTTTAAAATTTAAAAAAAAATTTAATTTTTAAAAAAAAACTTTAATTTTAAAATTTAGAAAAAAAATTTTTTTAATTTTAAAATTTCAAAAAAAAATTTTTTTGAAAATTTAATTTTAAAATTTCAAAAAAAAAATTTTTTTTAAAAAATTAAATTTTAAAATTTCAAAAAAATCACAACCAAAAAATTAAAAAACCCATGCCCACCTTCCACTTGACACTGTCCATCGTTTCCTCCTTGCTTTCCATTGGCATTATGTCTTTTGTGGGTGATATCAGCTTCAAATAGCGAAATTCTTCCGTAACATTTAGCTTTACAGTGATTTTGCCTTTAGCCAAATAAAATTGTTTCGTCTTGTCGTCGTTATGGATGTAGTTAAGGGCGGGTGAACCGTTGCCGCATGGTGCACAAACAACCGTACTGCGGTCCTCTTTCGGCGAGTTTAGTACCATATTCTCCAGCGTTATGGAGCAGTAGAATTCTTAGGACTAAAGTAAGATTAAACTTGATATCTGTCGAGTAGAGTATGGTAAATTAGAGAAAGGTAAAGTAGAATACGGTAGGGTAGGGTAGAATACAATACAAAATAGAAATATAAGGTCGGTTAGAGTATGGTAGAGCACGGTAGGGTAGAATATGGTGAAGACGGTATGATAGGATATGGTGGAACACGGTAGAGTAGAGAAAAGTAGGGTAAAATACAGTAGAGTAGACTAGGTTAGAATAGAGTACGGTAAGGTAACATAAAGCACAGCAGGGTAGAGTAGGGTAAGGTAGATTATAGTAGGAAAAAGTACGGTAAAGTACAGAAAGATAAGGTAAAATACGGTAGTAGGATGAAGTAGGTTAAAGTACAGTAGGATAAGACAAGGTCAGGTAGAGTACAGTAAGATAATGTAGATTATATTAGGGTAAAGTACGGTAGAGTACAGTAATGTAGAGTACGCTATGGAAAGATGAGGTAACGTATAGTAAAAGAGTATTGTAGGATAAGATAGAGTACGATAGGGAAGAGTACGGTAGACTACAGTAAGGCAGAGTACGATAAAATAAGATAAAATAAAGTAGAAAGAGGCAGAGTAGATTAATTTACAATAAGTTAGAAAAAAACTTACCTTCTCACAATTTGAGTTGATATTCTTCAAGAAATCGTCCATTTGGTTTACCACATCGAATTGATAATCGTCCGGTAAACCGTGCGAAAACTCATGGAATGGAGTACCGTAGTCCATATTTTTGTAAATGTTTGTTCTGAAAAAAATTTTCAATTAAACTACTTACCATATTGTCAGGACCCAATTCCTACCTTACCTTACAGTGACCTAACATTTCTTATTTTACTCTACCATGCCATGACATATACTACCCTACCCTATTATAAGCCTTTCCTTCCCAACTATACGTACTCTCCCCACATTACCTTAACTTATCCTACTCTTAGTCAAACCAGGCCCGTTTGTACCTAATTCTTTAAAAATTTAACTTACGTGTCATTTTGGAACATTACTTGAAAAAAAAGACAAGGTACTGTAGAACCATACTGTAAAAAGCAAATTCAAACCTCAAATTTTTATTTTTTCATAAAAATCGTTTTAATATACCTTCAAAAATGCCTTACCTGCCGATTCAAGTTGTCATAGCACTGCCCAGTCTTGGTATACTCCAGTCGATTCACCGGATCAGCCAGCAATTCACTTAATTTATCGACCAGCCAAGCCTCTGCCCCATGAACTTGCTTCGAGACCAAGGAGAACAACAATAATTTCAAACACACGACCGAAATGTAAGGTAGAAAGTAGAAAGACTGACAAAAAACATTGAAAAATTTCAAATTTTCCAAGTTCATCTATTTGAAAGACCTTTACCGGTCGAAAAATAGTCTGCAAATCTAAGAAATATAGTTCGTGAGCTCGCTGAAGGCTTAATAAAGCTATTTTTAAACGCCTGTGCCAATCGAACTTCTAAAAATTACAAAGCACATTAAAACTTATCTTATCCATGGTTCACATTTTCGAGGTTCGGAAAACAGTAGAAAATCCGCCTAAAACCCAGAAAAACAAAACAAACATAACAAAAATAATACTTTTCTTCAATTCTAGCTTTGAATTTCAGTACTTGAAGTGATATTTATCCAACTGGCAGCTTTTCTTCAATTTTCAGGCATAGCACCAAGGTGAAGATCGCTACAGCCCATAACGGATTGTTCTGAACGTTATTTTGTAAAATTTTTGTTCTAAAAGTTAGAAAAGACTACTGAGTATGTTTTAAAAGTATTCGCATGATGTTTAGACCAATTTTCTATAAGTTACGACAATTTTTGATAGCACAACACTAAAAAGGCTCGATAAACTATATTTTTCAAAGTTCAGCCGAAATAAAATAGCTAAACCTTTATAAAACATATTAAAAATAACTTAAAAGCCTATCACACCAAAAACATTCATCTCCGCTCTCTTTCACGATCTTATACATGTTATTCCTCCAGTTCAAAGCCTAAAAACCAACAAAAAAACAATAAAACAACTTACATTTGACCAATACCATTCATTAAGCAGTTTTTCCACGTTATATTTAGCATGTTATCGTAGAGTTACGATGTTATTGCGTATTGGTATCTTCTCCTAATCGAGTTTCAATCGCTGTTTTAGCGAAAAGAATCTGCGAAACAAACCCTCTTCGTTTTGCGAGCTGCCGCTAGAGTTGTGCAGGCTGCAGAATCTATACGAAGTAAAGAGTAGCATAAATTTTAAAAAATTAGATTTTATGAGTTACGACAGCAAAAAATATATAGTTTTAGTGAATTTGAAAAAAAAATAGTTAACTATATTAATCTCAAAAACTTTTTTTTACAAAAGATATAGCTAATGGCCACAAAGTCAAAGAAAAAAATATTTTTATTCCAACATAAGTTTGATAACTATAAATTTATATGCCAAATAATGATAGGCTTGATCCAAACGATCCAAGCATTCCATTCTTCCTCATTTTCTTCCAAATTTCGATATATACTTCAGGAAGCTCTTGGTTAAGCTCATTTTTCTTTATATTATTCATCTTCAATGTATTGCCATGCCCATATTTATGTCCTTTGCCTTCCTTTTGCAACACATTGTCATTCGTAAACTTGGGCAGATAAGAAGAGGTGCATTCACGGTATCCTAATGCTCTGAAGCTGGTCCCCCTCTCACTGGCGACATGTACAGTTAGTTGGTCCAGGAAGCCTCTCAGTGGAGTTTTGGAGCAACAACAATGGATGATGGTCTTGGACGAGTAGAAGCACTTGCATTGAGCCGAGATCTCGGCCGCGCCCCAAAAGTTGATATTGCCACAGATTTTGGTGTAGAAGGTGTTCCTGGCCGAGTCCGCCACTACCGTAGTGTCATTGTTGTAGGCGTGCATTACACGGTTGAAGATGCCTGGAAAAAAAAGTGGTTTTAACGTGATGTAGATGCTTTACTCTACCCTACCCTACCCTACAACATACTATTTTGCAATACCTTAGCCTACAGTATTCTACACTACGGTTCCCTACCTGATACTATCAGTTTCTACAATATCCTCCATACCATACAGTATCCTACTTTGCAGTATTCTAGCCTAAAGTAACCCATACTTAGCGCCTTACAATAGCCAATTATACACTACCCTTTTCACCGTAAAGTATCTTATGCAACAATACCCTTCCTACGCTACAGTATCCAATTCTACAGCACCATACCCTACAGTACCTTATTCTGTTGTACCTTGCAATATCCCATTCTACAGTATCCTAACCTACCCTACAATTCTACCTTCAAAACCAAATTAAGCTTACCAGTATCCCTAAGCATAAGTGTTTTCAAGTCCAATTCGAAAAAGCCCAAAAGTTTTTCGAACTCTCGATTAACATCCATTATATCGATTGGTGGGAAGAACAATATCGGGCTGTATACCCATGGTCTCGCAAATGCCTATAACCCAAGACGTCATACTTTGAAAATCAAACCAAAATTACAAAAAAATTTTTTAATAAATAAAAAAAATTTTAAAAACTTCAAACTTACCAAAAGATTGGCAAAGAATGACTCATGTTCTCCATATTTGAGTGACCCCAGACAAGATAGATACAGGCCGTAGTAGGCTCGTCCTTCCATAAAATCTCCGTTACATGTGGTCCTTTCGCTCGCACAACAACATTCACAAATGCCTTCTTCAAAACTGAAAAAAAAAATTACATTAGAAATTTGAATTTTTGGTTTCGCGCCAAATTTAACATTCCGTTTTAAGCCTTTAAAACCGAGTCTAAACTATCAAAAAAGTAAAAGATATACATTCTAATTGATTCTTATCTTATGGTTAAAGTTTTCCAATCAAAAAAATTTAAATTTTTAAATTCGCGCCAAATTGGCATTCCGTTTCATGGCTTTAAAACACTGTCAAAATCAAATTTATAAAGCAACGTCAAAAGTAACTAACATAAAACAGTTTTTCAGTCATTTATTTACTATAAAATCACGTTTTAAAAGCTTTACTATTCTAAAACATTCAAATTTTTTATTTCCCGCCAAAATTGGCATTCCGTTTTAAGTCTAAAATTAGAAAAAACAACATCAGAAAAACTTACTGCGGTTTACAGTACGCTTCTAGATAATAATTCAAACCGTAACAAGAGTCGCCCGGATAGGAAACGTTGGTTATTGAAAAGTTTGACTGGTCGAATTTGCAAAATCCAACCAAACCCTCGGCAATGATAAAGTCATTGTTTACATAAGCCGAGATGCAAGTTCGTTGCTAAAATAATATTATTAAAAATTTTAAAAGTGAGAGTATAAAAGATTAGTATAAAAGATTTTTAGTATGAGAAAGATAAAGGCGAGTACTATACCTAAGTATGATAGGATAGTATAAGGTACTGTAAGATAGAGATAGTAGTAATCAAAAGGTAGGATACACTAGGAAGAGTACATCAGTAAGAATAAGAAAAATACTGCAAAAAATAGTAAAAATAATACAGTAGGAAGAATACAGTAAAGGGTACAGCGTGAAGTGACACACAGTAGGTAGAATACAGTATGAAAGATACAGTATTAAAAATACAGTAAGAAAAGCACAGTAGAAAAAATACAGTAGAAAGAGCAGAGTATAAATCTAAGCTACGGCTCTGAGCTAAAGCTCTGAGCTAGGGCTCTGGGCTAGGGCTCTGGACTAGGGCTCTGGACTAGAGCTCTGGGCTAGGGCTCTGGACTAGGACTCTGGACTAGGGCTCTGAGCTAGCGCTCTAGGCTAGGGCTCTGGGCTGAGGCTCTGGACTAAAGCTGAGGCTAGAGGCACGATAACCTACCGGTATAGATGGAATGTCAGTGTTAGGTCGTGTTTTAGGCAGGTTTCTATCGCACTGCGGATCGGCAGATGGAAAGCATGAGCAGCCAAACGACATTGTGTGTATCCATTGGTCCGTGGCATTGTCTACCATTTCCATCAGTTGTAAACTGCATATGAGACCATCTGTAGGTTTTGGAAAAGTCGACCAGTAAACGCGAACAAACGGTATGTCAACTGAAAATCGACCGGTTTTTAGGCATGACATTATCAGTAACGACTGAAAACTGTTTCTGGAGGGAGGAAAGAAGTAAAAAAAAATGAGGAGGGGGGAGGCGGGTAAAAAAGAAGGTAGGGTAAAAAGTAAAAAAAAAGGGGGGATGAGAAAAAAAGAGGAAAAGGCGGGGGTAAAAAAGAAGGTAGGGTAAAAAACGGGGGGGGGGAGTGAAACAAGGGGGGGGGGAGCTGAAAAAAAATGGACGGGCTAAAAAAAAGAAGGGGAGGTGAAAACAAGGGAGGGGGTACCAAAAAATTTTTTTTAAACCTTACTAATGCCAGACGAATTCTCGTAGATACTGTAATACACTGAACAGTAGTGCATGTTTTCATACGGATTAACGTGCTCAACAAAGGTCTCACTGCACGCTGACAAATAACCACCGAATCGTAGTACCATACACGTTGAAGATTCTGGATCAGTGGTACAGTCACGGAACAAAAACTGTAGCTTGTTTACGTATTGAGGTATTGTAAAGACCGGCATCGAGCTGACTTCGTGAAAATAGCATGTTACCTAAAACTGTAGATTTACTGTGCCGATTTTTATGACCCCCGCTCCCAGACTAAAAGTCCCTGCCCAGCATTGAAGTCATCTTACCCTACCCGTACTTCAAGTAAAACTATATGTAGTTACTAGTTCGTATAATATAACTTACATTCAAAGCCTTTACTTTCTGATCCCTTTCGAAAGCGACATCGGTCGATCCATCAGCACACAAGACACCTTCTTCATCAGTTCGAACGAGCTCATAAGTGAAATTGATAATCTGTTTGTTACCGTCCGTTCGTACTGCTGATGTCATTGATACTCGGACTCCCATGTTCTGAAAATTTTTTTAATTCAAAAATTTTTAATTTTTAAAAATAATTAAAGATTTTAAAAAAATTCAAGATCTAAAAAATTCAAAAAATTTCAAAAAAATTTAAAAAAATTAAAAATTTTAAAAAATTTCAAAAGAATTATCAAAAATCAAAAAAAAATTGCAAAAACTTTAAAAAACACAAAAAATTTCAAAAAAAATTTTAAAAAAACAAAAAAAACTTGCATAAATTTTAAAAAAATTGAAACTTTTAAAAAAATCAAAAAAAATGCTAAAATTAAAAAAAAATCATTAAAATTTTTAAAAAAATTTCAAAAATTTCAAATTTTCAAAAAATTAAGTTTTTTAAAAATTCAAAAAATTTCAAAAAATTTCAAAAAAATTGTTAAAAAATTTTTAGAATTAAAAAAAAATCAAAAAAAAATGCTAAAATTAAAAAAAATCATTAAAATTTTTAAAAAAATTTCAAAAATTTCAAAATTTAGAAAAATTTCAAATTTTCAAAAATTAAGTTTTTTAAAAAAATTCAAAAAATTTCAAAAAATTTCAAAAAAATTGTTAAAAAATTTTTAGAATTAAAAAAAAATCAAAAAAAAATGCAAAAATGAAAAAAAATCATTAAAATTTTTAAAAAAATTTCAAAAATTTCAAAATTTAAAAAAATTTCAAATAAATTGTTAAAAAATTTTTAGAATTAGAAAAAAAACAAATAAATTTTCAAAATTTTAAAAAAGTAAATAAAATATTTTAAAAAATCAAAAAAAATTCAAACCCATGCCCACCTTCAAAACAACAGTTTCGGTCGTTTCCTCCGTGCTTGTCATTGAAATCGAGTCCTCTTTGGGCTCTATCAATGTCAACTTTCGAAAGTTCTGATCCACCTCCAATGTCAACATAATTCTGCCTTTGGCAGCGTAAAATTGTTGCATCTCGTCGCCATTATGAATTCCATTTAAAGCTGTTGAGTTTTGATTACATGGTGCACAAACAACTGTACCACGGTCTTCTTTTGGGGAGTTTAGTACCATATTGTTCAGTTTTATGGAGCAGTAGAAGGATTGGTTAGACTAAAATAAGAGTAAACCTGAAAGACAGAGTAGGGGAGGGTAAGATAGGGTAGGGTAGTGTAGCCTTACATTTGCACAACTTGAAGCAATATTCTTTATGAAATCGTCCATTTGGTTTATGACTTCCAATTGATAATCGCCCGGTAAACTGCTTGCAAAATCATTGAAAGGAGTACCGTAGTCCATATTTTTGTACAAATTTTTTCTAAAAAATTTTTTTTTAATATTTAAAATTTTTTAGATTCCCCTACCCTCCTAACCCCAGCTTATCCTACCCTACCCTACCTTACTTTACCCATCTTTACCTTAGGATATGTTAATATACCCTACTCCGTCATGACCTGTGGTGATAAACCCTTACCTTGATCTATCATCACCCTAGCCCAGCGTGACTCTAGCCTTGCTCTGGCCTTACCTAGTCCATTCAATACCTTCGCTTTACCATAGCATTACGTAACCATAAGCTAGCACCAAATGATGAAATACCTTCCTATAGCAACACATTCTTTACCGTACTACAACTCATCTTCAAGTCCCAATCCCTACCCTCTCCCTACTTTACGGTAACTTACAATGCCTTACCTTATCCTATCCTACCAAACCTTATTCTATTATACTCTATCTGATTATGCTTTATCCTACACTACCAAGCCTTACTACAATATCTTATTAAGCCTTATCCTCCCACCCCCCCCGTAAATTTTATGAACTCACGTGCCATTTTGGACCATTACTTGAACAAAAAGACAAGGTACCGTAGAACCATACTGTAAAAAGGTAATTCAAACTTCAAATTTTCATTTTTTCATAAAAATCTTCAAAAAACCCTTCAAAAATGCCTTACCTGCCGATTCAAGTTGTCATAGCACTGCCCAGTCTTGGTATACTCCAGTCGATTCACCGGATCAGCCAGCAATTCACTTAACGTATCGACCAGCCACGCCTCTGCTCCATGGACTTGCTTCGAGACGAAGGACAACAAGAATAATTTCAAAAACACGACCAACATGTAGGGTAAAAAGTATAAAGACTGACGAAAAACTTTGAAAAAGTTAAAAACTGGCAAAAAATTACGAAAACTCAAATATTTCTAAGTTTTAAAAAATTAAATAAAAAATTAAATTTTCAAAATTTCATTTTGTGAAGTTAAATCAATTTCTCATGACTTCATCACTATCTAGAGCGAGTTTTGGTCGATTATTTCCATAAAAAAACATTTGCAAAAGAAACTCTTTGATTCGCACGTTGCGGCCGGAATAGCGCAGGCTGCGAGATCTTTTTATACGAAAAATAAAGAAAAACATTCATTGTAAAAAAAGTATATTACGATAGTAATTAATTAAAAATGTTATAATTATATTAACTTAAAAAAACATTATGTTATGCTATTCTAGTTGAATATGCTAAAAAAATCTTCTTAATCTAACACATATAAGACTTATCACAGTCAATTTCAAATACTGAATCAAAAATTAAAAATTTTGAATTTTTAAAATTTTTTTAAAATTAAAATTTTCGAAAATTTTAAATATTAAAAAAATTGCAAATTTTCAAAAAAATTTTGAAGAATTTTTAAATTCCATCAAAGTCAAATGACATTTTTTTAGTTAAACATAGATAACATATACCTAAAAATCAAGTTATTTCAACAATTATCATATCAGATGCCTTCCATTTCAAAGTTCAAAATATTCAAAAATGCCATTTATTCCAAAATAAACTAATTCATTAATCTGTGCTACCCCCGTTCGTCTCGTTCTGTATTATATATCAACCAAACCATCCAGATAGTTTAAAATCTGCTCTCGATACCCAAAGCCTTTGATGTGCCATTCCTTTTCCATTGCCAAATTCAGTGTTAATCGATTTAAAAACAGAGTGATTGGAGATTTGGAGCAACAGCAATGAATCTTGTAGCGGGTTGAGTAGAAACATTTACATTGAGACGTTACTTCGGACGTTTTCCAGTCCCCAATATTGGCACAGATCTTACTGTAAAACCTGTTCGTTATTGAGTCTTGTAGTGCTGTACCGACGCTGTATGTGTGAGGGTTCTTGTTGTATGACCCTGAAAAGAAAGTGCATTAAAACTACCCTATTCTACTCTACGGTACTGTACTGTACTCTACTCTACGGTACTCCACTGTACTGTAGTGTACTGTACCCTACCCTACCTTACCGTACCCTACCCTACCCTACCGTAATCTCTTATACCGTACTCTATCTTACCCTACCTTGTCTTATCCTACCACCCCCTTATGATTACCCTAACTTAGCCCTGCCTAAGCTAGGTTTTCTTCTACTCGAGCCTACCCTTTAAGATACCAACTTTATTTCTTCTCCGCCTTACTCTGTACTCGTATCAGATATGCTATTCTTTTCATACTCTACCAGACCCTCTACTTTACCTGGCCATCCAGTAGCCCTTACCCTACCCTCCCCTCAACCTTACTGTCAAAAGTACTAGACTCTGAGCATTTTACGTATCACTTTATCATTATCCTATCCTACCCTTCATTCTACCCTACCCTAACCTACCTCTCGTTCTACGCTACCCTACTCTTCAAAGAATACAAACCAAGCAATTTCCTTACCCATTTGTTCAACTTTGAAAGTGACAACATCCAACTCAAAAAAAGCCATGATTTTCTCAAATTCTCGATTAATGTCCATCACATCTGGAGGTGGGAAGAAGACGTTTGAACTGTATGGTAAGGCCCCATGGAACGCCTAAAAATAGTAGCTTAATATAAAATATCAAAATTCTTGTGTTTCAAGTGCTTGAAGCATAATGCCAAATTTGCCAAAATGGCGGGAAATTCAAATATTTAAAACTTCAAACTCATAAATGTGAACTAAAATTTTTGGTGGGTACTATTGATGGTACTAAGAATTCATATAAAAATTTGCGGACAGAATTTGAGCAGAACAGGTTAGGTACTTTCACAGGTAATACACCAAAAATTTTAAATTAAAAAAACCCACCATTTTGTTAATGAAAAAAACGTCATACTCGCCATGTTTGGCCTCTTCTTCGCAAGTTCGGTATGTATCGTAGAGCTGTTTCCCTGGGACGAATAAGCTGTTACATAGAGGTACTTCATTAATACAGCAGCATTGGCAACGTCCCTTCCTAGAAGTGATAAAAATCAAATATTTTAGAATAGAAGGCGAGCTAGGGCCCTGAGCTAGGGCTCTGGGCTAGTGCTCTGGGCTAGGGCTCGGGGCTAGGGCTCTGGGCTAGGGCTCTGGGCTAGGGCTAGGGCTCTGGTCTAGGGCTCTGGGCTAGGGCTCTGGGCTAGGGCTCTGGGATAGGGCCCTGGGATAGGGCTCCGGGCTAAGACTACGGGCTAGGATTCTGGGCTACAGACTTACCTTGGCTTACAATTTTAACAGCTTTGAATTGAGTTCGAAACAAATGTCGTTGTCAACTGCCCTGTCAGTTATATTGTATTCTCCTTCTTCGTATGTACAGAAGCCTACAAAACCCGAGACTATTGTAGCATTATCTGTGTCGCCAGTGTAGCATGTGCGGTTCTAAAAATAATGTTTCTTACAGTGCACTTTAGCCTTCACAGTAGCCCTATTCCAGCCATACCTTACTAACTCCAACATAAGGAAAGTCACTTCCCTAGTTAGCCTTAACTGAAGCCTGTCTTAGCTCTACAGTAATCTTACCGGTCGCATAAACCCCTCATCTTTCGGCCGTGGGTCTGGTAACCCTGTGTCACAATTCATATCACCGCTTGGATCACAGAAACATCCGAATAGCATGACGTGCTTCTCTATATTATTCTCGTGCTCGTCTTCCTCCGATACTACTTGTAAACCACAAGTATAAGGGCCAACTGTATTATTTGGTGCTGCCCACAAAACTTCCGCAAATGGTATATCTGAAACGAATTCAATATACGGCTAAGTTTAAGTTTTTGCTGGACTAGGTCAAACACTGAGACATTCGTAGGTTAAGACTAGAATAGTGATAAGGTAAGTACTAAAGAGTAAGATGAAACTAGATAGGTAAGACTTGGGATATAGCAATAGATTAGAGTACGGTAAGAAAGATTACAGTAGGATAAGGCAAGGTATGGTAGGATAGGGTACGGTGGAAAAGAGTACAACAGAATGAAGTACGGTAAAAAAGATTCCGGTAGGATAAGGTAGGGCAGGGTAGGATAGGGTACAGTAGAAGAAATTACGGTAGGATAAGTCAAGGTAGGGTAGGGTAGGGTAGGGTAGGGAAGGATAAAAGTTGACTTACCAAGAACCCTAGAATCACTGTCATAGATGTTATAGTAGGAAGCGCAGTAATAGTAAAACTCTTTAGTATTGTCTACTACAGCTGTTCTCGAACATGCTGCCAAATATCCTCCATATCGTTTTACTAGGCACGTCGGACCATTAGGGTTTTTGGTGTAATCTGAAATACAAAATTTTTAAAAAAACCTAAAAAAAATTTAATTTTAGTCTTTTTTGAGTTTTTTTTATGGTATAACGTTACTTACGTAAAATTGTTATCATACATGACTTGAACAAACAGACATGGTTGTGCTGAGCCGTACTGAAATTAAAAAATTAAATATAAGAACAGCCCTAGCTCTAGCCTTAGCTCTAGCCTTAACTCTAGTCCTAGCCTCGCTCTAGCTTTGCTCTAGCCCTAGTCCAGAGCCCTAGTCCAGAGCCCTAGTCCAGAGCCCTAGCCCAGAGCCCTATCCCAGAAGCCTAGCCCAGAGCCCTAGCCCAGAACCCTATCGTAGCCTTGCCCCACCCTCGTCCTAACCTTTCTCTAGGCTTGTTATAGCCAGTATTTCGCCCGAACCGGCCTGGAACGTTTTTCGTCGATCCGGCCCGGCGATTTTCGGGTCCAGTCCGGTCCAAACCGAAAATTTTTGGGTTCAGTCCGGCCCAAACCAAAAATTTTTTGGTCCGGTTCGGTCCGGCCCGCAAAAATTTTTGTCCGGTTCAGACCGGTCCGGACCGGACCAGTACGCGGACCGGTACGGCAAAACACTGGTTATAGCTTTTCCCTAGCCTTGCTCTAGCCTTGCCTTAGCTTTGATATGTTCCTACTCTTACCTTTAGCTCTAAATAGTCATAGCTTACGCTTTACCTTTATTATGCAATGCCTTTGCTTTACTGTACTATTTCAGCTCTACCTGACCTGGTTCCTACTCTAAGCCTACCTCAATCTCTTTTTTTAGTCATTCCCCTAGCGGCTTTATTCATTTCTCTATGAATAGCTTGAAAAATTGAAACGACTTTTACAATGTCTATAAGATAACATTGATATGCTTACGTTGTTCTTACCTATATACAGGGGTGGGTGGGGACTTTCGGTCAGGGGGCGGGGGACGAAAAATTTTTTTTCCATAAATCCACAGGGGGGGGGGACCACGTTCAACTTTTTTCGAATTTTTTTTTCATTTTTCCTCCGCCAAAGCAAAATGTAAGTCCTTTGCAGAGCTACCTCAAGTTTTTAAGCCCTTACCCTTCAAAAAGTACCCAAAAATTAAAAAAAAATATTAAAATTTAAACAAAATTCAAAAAATTTTAAAACCCTTACCTCACGGCCAAGACTGTCATAGCACTGTTGTTCCGTGTACTCGAATCGATTCAATGGATCATCCATTAGCAACTCCAAATTCTCTGAAAGCGACCTATTCGCGAACCTTAATCCTTGAACAACACATGTGGGTAACAAGAATAATTTCAAAAACACAGCCGTCATTTACGAAAAAAGGTATCAAAATTGAACAAAAATGCCATTTTTAGTAATTTAGTGCAGAATAGCATTTCGGAGCGAAAATTGGCCTTGGAATGGCTTTTTCGGGTAGAAAATTTTTAAAAATATTTTAAAAACTTTTTTTACTTTAAAATTGATCTATTTGATGGCTAAAACAAGGTCTTCAAGCGAAATCTTTACGTATTTTTAATAATGTTTTAGGTTTTTCTACCTTACCTTGTCAAATTGAGGTTGTGTTTCAAGCTTATAATTCGTTGACATTGCCCTGTTTCAGCTTCAAATGCTAATTTTTCCAATTTTTTAGGTAGAGCTTGGATAAAACAAGGTGTAACTCTACAAAACGTTTCAAAAAGTTTTTCTATTGTTTCATATTGTGATAGACCATAAAATAAGGGTCGACATGACACTAAAATTGACCAAAATCAATGGGTAACTTTGAAGATAACACCTTTAGAGTTTCGATGTTGTTGTAGGTGATGAAGGTGGTTTTCTAAAGTAGATTAGAATAATAAACGTATTTCTTTGTTTTTATCTAGTTTAAGCATAGAACAAGGGACAATTTGATAGTAAAACCATGAAAAAATATTGAGTAGTTTTTGAGATATGAACTTTAGCTTTCCGATATTATTGTAGGTAATCAAAGTGTTTTTCAATGTTTAGCTGGTGTTTTCTCAGATATTTTACCCTCCGTCTTCGTTCTAGAACACGGTTACAAGATTTTTACAGTTTTCTGTTAAAGCTTTCATGATTTATGTGGTTTTTGTTGGTTTATATTGTTTTAGGGCTCTTACTCGATCTGGTCGTCAGGTTTACCTGTTTTTAGAACGAATCCAGCGTCCAGTGAACTTGGATTGTTCCATTGGGACAAAAAATGCATTTTGTTTGTTGTTTCTTGAATTTGGACCACTTCATTTGATTTTTCGTTGTTTGAGAAACGAAAAAGTCTATTTGATGGCTAAAAAAAAGGTCTTGAAGGGAAATCTTTATAAATGTAAAAATCTTTCTAGATTTTTCTGCTAATTTCGAAAAAAAGGAAAAAATTTTTTAATTTTGAACGATTTTTGTCTTTTTCCCATTCCAAATTTGCATATTTTGATTTCAGTCTTCGTAAGCCGAAAACAGCCAAAAGTGGTCATTCGATCTCCGTCTTGCTTGGAAAATGGTTGCGACAAACTTGGCGGCTCTGCTCCCCAAGATCGTCGCGCTGACGCTTCTGTCGCTACCGTCCGACCACGAGCTGTGTGTGACCTACACCATCTTCAAGGATTCTAGCACTGAGTTGAAGGCGACCAAGTTCACGCAATGCCAAAGCACGGAAATAACGTCTGGCACGCCGGCAGGGTAAGTTTTTCGTTTTTTGAAGGTTCATTTTTTTGATTTTAGTGGTTTCTTTGGTGTTTACATACATATTTTGGTATATTATTTGACATTTTACATTTTAGAGTCTTCAAAAAGGGGTCTGCTCATTACAAGTTGCTGCAGCTGTACCCGGTGAACACAGCTCTCGACTCCATCCTCTTTAGTCGTTTGGTCACTGCTGATGAGTAAGTTATATTTTGTCCGCTAGAAATTTCAAACTTTTTTGCCATGAGTAAAGGGCATTGAATTAAGGTTACATTTTTGTTTGTTTTTAGTGGATCGCAGCTCTCTGGGTTGTCGCTGTTAAACGTGTCACCAGGTGAACCCAAGCTCTTGATAAGCGATATGCGTGCAAAGGAGGCTCGAGTTGGTGTCGCAAATGGTCACGCTTTTTACCAAGATTGCGGAACCGAGGATACAATGCACATCGACATGGTCAATGTAGGCAAAGAAGTGAATCGAATGTCCCATGAAGGTTTGATTATATGTGGCAAGCCCGAATTTGGACAAACGAAGGATGGTAGTGTTTGGACGAAATTTGAAGGATGTTGGACATTGGATGGTGACAACCTGAAGCCTTCGGATCGTTCAGATGTTACTGAGCTGGTTTTCACAATTGTAAGTGTTTACTTTAAACTTTTATGCTTTTTTTGTATTCTTTAGCAGGTTTGGTGGCTTTTAGTTGTTTTGTAAGTTAAAAGTTTAGTTTTTATTTAAATTTAGTTGAAATTTATTGAAATATAATTGAATTTTGGATATTAATGTTTCAGGAAGCCTTGGTGAACATGGATCCAACGATCGCCCAAGATGTGGATCAGGCCGACTTGAAGACGATGCTGGTCTTGGTTCACAGCCAGTAAGTTGATTAAAAGTTTGGTTTTGGAATATTTTTAGCATTTCTAGCCATTTTGACTTTTTTCGTTTTTAATTTTTTAAATTTTAAACTTATTTTTCAGACTCGCTCCGCAGACCACCTGCACCACCACAACTCCAGCGGATGACACCACTAGTTTGGATGTCGCTGAAGATATCTTCGTCAATCGTACGACCTTCCTCGAAAGACACAAGTAAGTTGATTTTGAATTTTTGTATTTTTTGGAAGATTGTTTGAAAATGTTGGATTTTTTAAATTTTTTTGAAATTTTTGAATTTTTTTTAAAGATTTAAAAAATTGAAACGTTGAGAATTTTTATCGGCTTTTTAGGCGTCAGATATGGTTTTTAATTTTTTTTTTGATTTCAGCAGAGTCGTGTTCTGGGGTTATTTTGGCATCATCGCCAGCTTCCTTTCCCTCGTCATTGTCGTGGTCTGTATTGCTATCTGGTGTTACCGTAATTGGAAAGGCCTGGCGGAGCTATGGCGTCAAAGGCATACCACCGGTAGCGATGTGTCCAGCACTAGCGGTGGGTCTAGCGCTAGCGATATCTCCACCGCTAGCAATGTCTCCACCCCTAGCAATGCCTCCACCGCCAGAAAGATCTCCACCGCTAGAAACATCTCCACCGGTTCTAATTCGACGCCACGGAACAGCGCCTCAAAGACCAGCAAGTCTGGCACGGGAAAGAGTGCAAAGTCGCCCCAAGGCCGCTAAGACGTCCGCATCATCCGGAACATCGACCAATACTGGCAGCGCGAACAAGAAGCGCGGAAAATCCAAGAAGGAGGCCACACCAAAAGTGGATGAATCAAAAAAATTGCCGGGGCAATATGTCTCAATTGAGTCGGTCCTAGTTCCAACCAAGTCCGGAAAACACACCACAACAGAGATTCGTGAGCAAGAAATCTCCCGTGGCTAACTGAATCTATTTATAAGGGTCTGAAATAAACAATTTCGATTGTAGCCTCCTTTTTCGTTTTGTATATTAATAAATAGTTTGGTCAATTTTGGTTGTTGTAAAGGTTTGTAGAAGTTTCCGTCAAACTCGAGAACATCGACATCGAAAAATAGTTTTGAATGTCTCGCCAAATTGAGATTGTGTTCCAAGTTTATAATTCATCGACATTACTCTGTTTCAGCTTCAGAGGCTGGTTTTTCGAATTTTTTAGGTAGAGCTTGGCTAAAACAACGTGTAACTCTAACGAAAACGTTCTGAAAAACTTTTTCTATTGTTTCATATTGTGATAGAACATAAAATAAGGATTGTTATGACACTATAATTGACAATAATCAATGAGTAGCTTCGAAGATAACAGCTTTAGAGTTTTGATATTGTTGTAGGTAATGAAGATGGTTTTCGAAAGTACTTTGAAATAATTAACGCATTTCTTTGTTTTTACCTAGTTTAAGCATAGAACAAGGATCAATCTGATAGTAAAAGCAGGAAAAAATATCAAATAGTTTTTGAGATACAAACTTTAGCTTTCCGATATTATTGTAGGTAATCAAAGTGTTTTTCAATGTTTAAACTGGTATTTTCTAAGATATTTTATGTTTCTAAAGACACGATTAACTATAATTTTACTTTTTTACTGTTAAGGTTTTTATGATTTACGTGGTTTTTGTTAGTTTATATTGTTTTAGGACTGTTTCTCTAGCTGGTTGTCTTTGGGCAAAATTTATTTTACGACAAATAGCAATCGAATATTGCATTGTCCCGTGTAGTCTTTCTGTCGATGAGCGAGGAGTTGGCTTTCATTAACTTTTCTTTAAAATGCACCTTTTTGGGTTGTAGTCAGAGGCAGTTCCCGTGCACTTAGCACTAAAGTTTTTTTTAAACAGTCAGAGGCAGTAACACACCCTAAGGGCAAAAGTGGGCCTTAGGCTTGTGATCGTCAGCAAATGGGCTATTATACTCTCAATACGTCATTATAATGCACGGAACAAAGGTTGAACTTTTTATGAGTGTTGTTACGACATGTTTCTTCGTTTATTCGTCATTATTATGTTGAAACCGGCTGATAGCATCGGGTACGCGTTTGTACAAAATATATGTTGTGTTATGTAAAGCAGTTATGAACTACGTTTTCATTGTCATTGCAGTCAGTGTTAGTCCAACTCCACTTTCGGTCTCGGGCTGTGTTACCGCTCTTGTTTACTGGCATATTTTTGGCCTTGGGGTCTGTAGTCGCTTATAATTACGACCAAAATGTTTATTACGACTCCATGGGCCACTTTTGGTCTTGGGGTCTGTAGCCGTTTAGAATTACGACGACTCCTATGCAGCACTGTGGCTCGTGATCAACGGTTGTTGAATTATCGTAAGGAGTGTGTGTTTGGCTGTTGGAATCGGCAAAGATTATGCTACTAGTTCCGCACAAGAGCTTATTCTTTGGGTAATTTTGGTATAAAAGCTTTATTCTTCAGGCAAGTTTACTAGACAAGCTTTATTCTTCCGGCAATTTTAATAGTAAAGCAAATTATAATATAACTTTTGATGTATATACTTTTCATTCTTAATTCAGACGAAAACTTTGGATACTTGTCCACGAGAAATCTCTCATAATTTTGTGCCTTCTCTAGTTTTTCTCCAATGCCGACGGCAACCACTCAAAAAGAGGGACGACACAACTATGAGAGCTTTTTTCGTGGACAAGAATTCAAGGTTTTTGTCTGAAGTAAGAAGGAAAAGTACATACATCAACAGTTATATCCCAAACTGCCCTGCGCGTTTTACACGTATGATCAACAACATAGGCTTCAAAACACTCGTGAGTGCACTCGGAAAGTTTTTCTGTATGATTGGTGTTGAATAGCTTCCGCTTCATTGTCGCTTTGTGCTACTGAAGTTCTATCTATCTTGAATCCATTTTTCCATATCTTGAATTCATTTTCTCCCCGTCTTTCAATTCTACAGACCATTCAGCTACTTATGACCATCGGTCTTGCACTTTTGTACTTTACGCATCTTTTTGGATAATATGGCCATTACGAAAGTTTTGACTTGCTAACTCTTGGGTACGGTCGGTTACGATGTGGATTATATAAAGTAAACTCCTTTACGCTTGGGTTCATAAATCTGTTAAATAAATTACGGATGTATAACATGGGTTCGACTTTGAGGCTTACGATTACGCCTGTAAATAATCCTGGGTTTAAGCCCAAGGCCAAGGAAGGGTCTTAGGCTCGTAGTTGGAAGCGGTAACACAGCCCAATGCCGCAAAAGGTCTTGGGCGTGCAGTCAGTAGCGGTGACACACAAATTACATAATAGAAGCAGTATTATATTTCATAATTTTAATGTAGTATATAGTAATATATCTTGACAAAAATAGCATACATTGACATTTCTAGTCAGTATATGTGTAATATATGGTAATATATGATATATAGTGTCATAAATTCAAAGCAATTCAAAATTATAATATATTTGTCATTGAAGTATATGAGTACAGTTATATGAATTCTGATATGTCATTAATATAAATATCAGCGATACTTATTCCTATTTATAAACTAAAATTAATAAAAAATTTAATAAATTAGGGCTGGGTAGGGTGGGTTAGGGTAGGTATTTCAAACTCTTAAAAATTTCGAAATTTTTTTTCGGCCTCCTTATAAAAATATTTTTTTAACCTACCCTACCAAAAACTACCGAAAAATAACTCCTCCCGTCTAGAAAAATAGATTTACATCCTTTTTCTAGCCTTGCCATATCTTCAACTTAGCTTTATTCTTATTTTATAATAGCCGAAACTCATAGTGGGCCCACTATGCATAGTTCATAAGACCAAGCCAGGCGGAAGCAAATTTTAAAAAGGCTAAGCCAGGCCGATACTTGTGGGCTCACGATCCCAGGCTTAATCGAAGGTCCAGCTTACAATTAGCTACTTTACAAGTCTACTTTTATCCGCACCTTTTTCCTGGCTAACCAGGGATAGGGTCTCAAGTATAAGATAGGACAAGGTAGGGTAAGGCTCTCGTTTTCACATTGTTCTGTCTTACCCTATCTGTAACCTAGCCTTAGTCCTAGCTTATTAAAATTTTAAAAAATTTAGCCTAAAAAAGTCGCAGAATCTCAAAATTAAGTCAAAAACCATTTTCTTGGCCAGAAAATGCGATTCATTTAGGTGTGCCCACGCCATGATTCGGCCTATATTACTTATGAGGAAAAGGCTAGAAGATGCCTTTCTATTGCCATTGTTTTCCTTGTACTACCTCGAAAGTGACTTTTTATTGTCGTTATCGACAGTTTTCAAGTTTTTCAAAGTTATCGACCAAAAATTTCAAAAAAATTTTTTTTTTATTTCCCAATACAGTAACCCCTCTATAACAAATCCCTCGAGGCTTTTAAACTAATATGTTTAATATAAGCCTATTCCCTTTAAAATTTTATATAATTACCGGGTACATATATTTAAGTATCAACAACATTACATTTTACACCATCATATGTCAAACTTTATATTATAGTAGCCAATAAACAAAAAATTTTCAAAAAAAACCAAAATTTAATAAAATAATATTCAAATACTGCTTAAAACAATATAAGTATGTCATTTACAACCGTATACAACAACACAAATTAAGTATGTAGACCTTTTTACAATTCCAACCGAGTTATGTACAAAAAACGTGAAACGTGCATAAAATTTCACGTTTCGCGAGAAAAGTGAAAAACCGTATTTTTGATTGAAAATACGTCGTATTTGCAATTTAAAATACTCGTATAATAATAAAATCACATTGTATATACATTACAATACTATATATTATCACATATATCTGAATTCCATCAAACATCATCCAAAAATCTCATTTTTGAGCCATAATTCCAAGATATTCTCCTTGACGTCTGATGTTGTTCATGTTCAACCTGATGTATCTTTTGTAATTTTAGACTAAACTGGCTAAAATTTTAGGCAATCCTAGCCAAGATATTGTCCTTTCTAAACGTTTGATAGCTTCGAATCAAGTTGGGCCGCTAGAGCTTTGACATTGATTTTTCTCGGCTGATATTCGTCATTCGTGGCTGATGGTGTTGATGATACTGGAGGCTTCACTGGAGGCGGGGGCTTAAATTTCTTGGGTTCTTGAGCTGGTGGAAGCTGTAATATAGTCTTTGGTGATATTCTATCAAATTTGGCGTTTATATTTAGGCTAATGGCTATGTTATGGTAGGTTAAAAATTGAAAAAAAAATTCCCAAAAGACTACAATTCATTTTTTTCTAGATTTCAATGATTTTAGGTAACAAACTTCCCATTTCTATTACTTTAGGTAACATTCTATCCATTTCTACTATTTTAGGTAACAATCCTTACATTTTTCGGTTTATGAGGCGGTGGAGGCGGAGCTACAGCCGGTCGATTCAATGTGCTTTCTTTTCTCATTACACCAACCCCTGTACCAATAGTACCACTTCTGCTCGAAACAACAGTCCCATTTTGTCCCAATTTGTTCTTGAATGAAGGGGTAGGGCTTGTCGTATCCGAGGATTCTGACGATGAATCGTTCTGGAGCTTCCTTGCCTCCGGCAGCTTCGGTGGTGGTACTGGTGGTCGTTTAGTCGTGTTTAGTGACTTGTCCTGACGTATAATGTGACGTGGTGCTGATAAGACTTCGTCAAAGTCATCTCCGTACATGATACTGTTATGTTGGTCCGGGTCGGGCGGGGGTTGTTCGTAGGAAGCGGGTGTGGGGACTTCGTAGGGTTGATTGTAGGGGTGTTGCGCTTGGTTTGGCTGAAAAACAACAAATAAAATTTTTTAAATTGGATTTTCATTTTTTTGTTCTGTAAAGAAAGTTCTTGCCATTTTATGTTTTGTAAAGAAAGTTTTTGCCATTTTATGTTTTGTAAAGAAAGTTCTTGCCATTTTATGTTTTGTAAAGAAAGTTTTTGCCATTTTATGTTTTGTAAAGAAATTTTTTGCCATTTCAATTACCACCTCTCAAAAAAAATTTTTTAACGTTAAAAACCACCCCCAAAATTTAATTTTTAAAGTAAAACACCCCTCCAAACCTAAAAAAATTTAAAAAATTTACCACGCCCAACGTAGCAGTTTCATGTCCTCTCGAATAGTACGCATTATTGCCGTAGTTTCCTTGATAATCCTTGGTGGGCATGTAACTTTGTGCCATTATTGGTCCACCCACGTTTAGTACTTCTCGTGTTTGTGGTGTTGTTACTTCGGGGCGTGGTGATTGGTGGGAGTGTCGGTTCCACATGGCATTGATTTGCTCCCATGGTGATAGGGATCGGCGGTTCTGTTGTCCTGGAGGTGGTGGGGCTTTGCGGACCGGTACTCGCACGGCCTCGATGCCAAAGGCTTTTTTAGTCAGTTTCCACATTCTATAAGTTGTAGTAGTTACTATAGTATATAGAAAGGTATGGTTACTATAGTATAGAAAGGTATGGTTACTGTAGTATAGAAAGGTATGGTTACCATAATATAGAAATGTATAGTTACTATAGTATAGAAAGGTATGGTTACATTAATATACAAAGATAAGGCTAGTCCATAAAACCTCAATACCTACTTCTTATGCAGCCAAATGCCCTTCTTTCTCCGACACCAAATCGTGGCTCCAATGAACGCGATCAATCCCAATATGAATACATATAAGAACACCATGCCTGGACTGAAAACCTTATCCGAAGCTGGCCCAGAGTTCACTGATCCACCATAGCCGGGAATGTCACATGCCGTTCCACCGTATCCAGGTAGACAATGACAGTTGCCAACGTTGTTACAGATGCCTTTACCGTGACAGTCGGTGGGGTCACATTTGGAGACCATCTCGGTTACTTGGGTCAGGTTCGAGCATTTTTGTTTTACACATATCTGCAAATTTTTGAAATTTGGAAAAAAATTTTTAAATTTCGAAAACATTTTAAAATTTCGTAAAATTCAAAAATTTCAAAAAAACTTTGAATTGCAAAAAAAAATTTAAAAATTCAAAACCCACCTCATTTCTCCCACACCTAGCCCCATCCGGCACCATTCCAGGGTCATCCTGCCTCTTCCCACCAGAATACGTCGTTCTCACGCTTCGGCACGCTACATCTTTACCGTCACCTCTTCGTACTGATGTGTACCCCACGTACACCGTACTCGGATCCCCAAATACTGGCCTTTCACTGAGCTGAGTACAATGTAATCGACCACATTCTTTATTCACGGGCTCGCACGGTGCGTAACGTTCCGTTCGCGGGTCGTAACCGCAATTACCATTCGCGTTACCGTACACATTCATACGGTAACAGTCTTTTTCCGAGTTTTTGCCCGTTTCGCCCCATATATATTGACATTGTTGGTCTCGCGAGCCGCATTGTCCTTCGTAGCAGTAGTCCTGAAAATGAAAATTTTAATACCTAAAATTACAAAAAATGTCTTTTTGATACCTAAAATATTAAAAAACAATCCATTTTATACCTAAACCATTAATAAATGCCAATTTTGTTACCTAAAAACCTTCAAAACCCCTTACCTCAGGCGCATCCGGACAGTGCAATCCATTTTGAACGAAAAAGTCCGGAGGGCATTTCGGATTTTCGCCATCACAATACTCTGGTAAGTCGCATGAATTGTACGATGCTCTACATTGCGTAGCCATTGACTTTGGTTTACATGTGTCCACATCACAACAATCTCCAGACGCGCATTCAGCGTTCTCGGCCAGCTTACAAGTCGAAGGTATGCAACATTTGTTTGGGCATTCGGTCAGTGATCCACAATCACAATCTTCGCCATCTTCTACGATGCCATTGCCACATTTGGCACCGCCAAACGCTTTAGAGGGCACGTTTTGAAGGCAGTAGTCGACACCTCTTCGGAGCGCCGATTGGAGGTTTTCTAGCGAGCAGTCCGACCAGTATGTTGCGGCAGCTGATCTGAAATAATGTTTAAATTGTTAAATATACTCTAATCAATCTTGTACATGTCAAAAATTTTAATTTAAAGCCACCAGAAGCTTTTTATAGCAAAAAATCCAAAAAGTTTGACCTAAGTGCCTACTATAACATACCTTTTTAGTCGTAACTCAAAAACCAAGCGTCACAACATCCCAAAATTGAAAACACATGTAACACATGTTTACTATACTCTTATCAACCTTATACAGTAACAACATTTAATATAAAATGACATAAGAAAGAGTTCTAACAAAAATATCAAAACCAGCGCCTAATACCTACTATAACATACTTTTTAAACAGTAACTAAAAAACTAGCTATCTTAACGATACAAGCTTTTAAACATAAGTTTTATATGCTCCTTTCAATGTTACGTACCACTACGTCTTAATAAAGCTTGTTAAAACAAGTTATGACCAAAATGTCAAAATCACCCCCTAAACCAACCATAATATAAACTTTAGGCAAAACTTTTAGGCATAACTCCAAAAATAACTTTTCAAATATTGTAAGGCCTTACCCCCCGCTACTCGGTGACATAATACACATATCTGATTCGCATTTACACGGATCCGGATACCCTAGATCATGTTCCATTCCGAAATTGTGACCCATCTCGTGAGCCACCGTCGATGCCACGAATGTCACTCTGTCGTCGTTCTGAAAGTAAATTAATGTTAGTTTCTTCAGATTATTGTATTATAAATGGCATTTTACTATACAAAAATCAAAAGAAGTTTGCGTATTTTACTATACAACTTACAAAAATAACTCCGCCACTAAAGTCATAAGAACACATTGTGCCTCTGTAGGCTTTGCCAATCACATTGTTGTTGAATCTCATTTGACTAAAGCAAATGTTAACTTTTAAAAAAAATTATCATATAAAGCATAATGCAAAATCGTATTTTACCCTAAAAACCAAAAAAGTTATCAAAATTCCTTACGTTAACAAATGAGCATTATCATGAGGATGGTCGAAGATCAATCCCTTTCTGAATACCAAAAACTTGTTCAACGCATCATCTGAATTCTCTGTAATTGGAAACACATCAGCATCCTTCCATATATCAGCATATACCAGTGTGATTCGGATATTAATCGGAGCGTACATCTAAAATTTGATGTCTATAACATCATAAAAATTTATTTTTGAACGATTTAAAACAATATCTACCCTTTCTGATTTATATAATCGAATTTCCAAGCTTTTGTGGATCTTAAACAACCTTCAAAATCAAGATATTTTTTTATTTATTTATTTTACTTTCAAAAATTCACTCGTACAGTCATAATATAACATAAATCAATATAATATAAAATATAAATTTTTAAAGATAAATGACAGTACAGTGATGAGATATTGATTACCTAAACTTCAAAAAATCAAAATCAAAGTTAACATACCGAGTTGACCACATTAGCTATAGATTCCATCCGATGATGAACTTTCTCCTCGTCATTGCCATACTTATCGTATACCGACTTGTCCGCAATGAATACTAGCTCAACATAACGTCGTATACCATCCAAATAATCAGCATAATACCGTGGTATGCTTGGCGCTTTCTTGGCTGCTCGTTTTTGACGAGTTTGGAAGATTTTATCTGAAATTTATGGGTTTTAAAGATAAAATTAGTTTTTTATTTAAAAAGAGCCACGCCTGACGTCGTATTTTACAAAAAAAAACTCTTCACAAAACTCTAAATTTTCATAAAAATTTAATTTAAACTCACCACAACTCGAAAAACTTTGTGGTTGAACAAAAAACCCATGTTCATCATAACCAAAGAAGTAGACGTTCCCATGATCGTCGCGCAGAATCCCTGACACGTCTTTATCACATAAATTCACAGCGGAATGATGTAGATCACTATTTACTGACTCAAAATGACATGACTTTGTAGATTTCGACAGTTTTTGAGATTTCGGAGAGATGAGATCACTAAAATTGGGTATGTTATCCTTGCACAACAGAAAAATCGAGCAGATATTAATGCAGACGCTTAGAAATTACTTCTAAAAATTAAAAAACCATGTAAAGTAACTTACTTATTTTGTAAAAAGTGAAAAGAAAGCGCATTTTCATCTGATAATTGAGGTTGATTAGAATATTGAGGTAGAAGGTGTAGTGCGAATTCTTGAGACGATTTCGCCTAAAATATAATACTTAACCTTCTCAAACACAAATTATTAGTTACTCAAAAATATAAAAATTCTTTTTTTATCTCATTTTAACCGAACAGAACCCATCAACCGTTTTAACTATTCAAAAGTATATTATTTTAGATACCTATTCCATAGTTCTTCCTTTCTCAGCCCTAAACCAAGAAAAAACAACATAAAAAATGACTTACAAGTTCAATAAGTTCACTGGCATCCAGATCTTGCTCTTTGTTATCAAATCGGACTCGTACCAAACATTTGCCATCCAAAAATGGCAGCTCATTGGCCGAAACGCTGATTGTTTCGGCCAGAGTTCGATTCATAGCCTCTAAAATAACAAAAGAATCACTTTTAAATTTTGTAAATCAATTTTACCGCGCAGCAACACGATCTAAACAACAATTTGAACAAAACCAAGGGTTCCCCAGACAGCTTTTTGTATTATTTTGTAGCTAAAACAATAAAACTCGCGAGTAAAACAATATATATTGCAGAAAAGTAAAAGTCAGTGAATAAAAACCAATATAAAACACAGGTTTATGTCAATTAAATATCCGCGCAATCGGTTTTCAAGTCGTGAACATGTGAGGAATATTATTCACAACAATATTTCGTTTTTCCTCGATTTTTGAGAAATTTCGACATAGATCACGTGCTTGCGAGAGAGCGGCCAGAGAAAGTTAGAGAAAAACGCGCGCGAATCCTGAAGACGAGAGAGCGTAAACAGCATCAAAAGTACAGAGAGGACGGTTAGACAAAATAAAAAAGTTAGAGAAAAGCTCACACGAAGCCGAAGAGAGAGATAAAGAACGCACGTTTTTATGAGAGCGGCCAGAGATAAATCAAAATCCCTCTCGCACAATATAAAAAACCAAGAGAGTGCGCAAATGAAGAGTGCGCAGAGAAAAATAATTTAATTTTCAGCCGTTTTTTAGCGAAAAAAAGAGGAAATTGGGTAATCTCGAGACGGGGAAATGGTCACCAGTTCAAGAACAACGTGGTCAACACATAAAAACTTGTGACAGGCCGTGTGAGTCATTAGCCATTTACGAAAAACATCGTGTTTTTGGAGGAAATATTACTTTACAGATCATTTAAATGGTTAATAGAGAAGGTGATTTACTGTCTGACAAATTTATAGTAATGTTTGTCTAAAATTGTTTGGCGAACATCGTGAAATGAGTCATATTTTCATTAAAGTCTATAAAAAAGGGAAAAAGATCCGTTTAAAATCCACTAAAAAGTATCAAAAAACAGTACCAACGGTACCAAACTTAAAAACTAGTTTTAGAATGGCATTTTGAAGAAAAATCAATAACAATGCCAAGAAACGCCAAGTTCGGGCCAATAAAAAACGCCCATTTTCGAGTTTTTTGTTGATTTCTTCCGACTTTTGGCCGCCATTTGGCCGAAAAGATAAAAAAATGGATTAGCCTAGGACAGGGTGACTAAGCTTTGTGTAAAGACTGAACTTTCAACCTTGTTTTAAAGAAAAAAGTGCAAATTTAGTTTAGTTTAAAAATTTTATAAAACAAAAAAGGTTGATCATCAAGATTAATATTTAGATAGGGTAGGATCAAATAGCTATATCTTTTGTAATTTATATCCTATGGCATTGAGTTTAAGCTTGTTGAAAGCGCAATAGAAGCAGTTTTGAAAGTTTCCTAAATCCTATCAAAGTTTGGTGATCTAAAACAATATAATTAACGTAACTAGCCTGAAAATTGAGTATCTGCGTTAAAATTCCGCATAATATATAAAAGACATTACTTTTCAAATGTCATATTACAATTTAGCATTAAAACAACTTTCAGTCCAGGGGCGGCTCTTTTCCCTAATCCTATCAAAATTTGATGACCTAAAACAATATAATTAAGATAAAACGCCTAAAAATTAATGTATTGTTTCTAAAATCACGCATAATATATAAAAGACATTACTTTCCAAATATCATAATACAATTTAGCATTAAAACAATTTTCAGTCCCGGCGCGGTTCTTTTCCAAAGGCCTATTCAAATTTAAGGATCTAAAACAATATAATAAACGTAGCTTGCTTAAAAATAGATCTTCTTCTCCTAAAATCACGCAAAATATACAAAAGACATTAAATTTCAAATGTCATATTACAATATAGCATTAAAATAATTTTCAGTCCAGGCGCGGCTCTTTTTATAAAACCATACCCACAATTCGTAATCTAAAACAAGATAATTATTATATGACAATTAAAACGTACTAGTTTACTCCGAAAATCACACAAAACGTTGCCAAACTCTTGTCCTTCAAATTCCCCAAAACATTTTAATATTAAAACGCGTTTTACTGTGGCAATCGAGGCGCCAAGTACCACTATGCGCAAAAACTTGATGAGACATTTTGCTGGAAATGTCGGCTTCAATTCTTTTTTTATGAATATTTAATGCTATCCAAAGAGCGAGCCATTACTCATCGTTTATTTGCATATTGAGTTTGATTAAAATGGAAACAAGGTTTTTAGTGATAAGGCATGTTTGAGATTGAAAAGGTTAATTACACCGGAAACATGGCTAATTTTAATTAAAAAAAAAGATAACAAAGGTCATATGAAATTAGTTATCAAATATAGGGCAGGGTACGGCAAGGCATAACAGGCAGGGATTAAAAAGGCACGTCAGGACATAAAAGGGCAGGACAGAACAAGGTAGGGCAGGACATAACAGAGCAAGGCAGGATATACCAAGAAGCACAATAGGCTAGGGCAGGGCATAACAGGGCGCTGAAGAGCATAAAAGGCCAAGACAGGGCATAACAGGGTAGGGCAGGGCAGAATAGGGTAGGGCAGGACATAACAGGCCAAGGCAAATCACGAAAAGGCAGGGTAAGACATAAAAGAATAGGACAGTGCATAAAAACGCAGAGTAGAACAGAAAGGGTAGGGCTGGGCATAACAGGGCAGGGAATAACAAGGCAGAGCATATCAGGACAGGGCAGTGCATAATAGGGCAGGAAAGGGCATAACAGGGTAAGGCAGAACAAACTAAGGCAGGGTAGGGTAGGGCAAGGCAAGACAGCGCAGGACAGGGTAGGGTAGGGTAGGATAGGGTAGGGTAGGGTAGGGTAGGGTAGGGTAGGGTAGGGCAGGGCAGGAGAGGGTGACAGGGTAGGGCAGGGCAGGGCAGGGCAGGGCAGGGCAAGGCAAGGCAGGGCAGGGCAGGGCAGGGCAGGACAGGGTAGGGCAGGGCAAGGCAGGGCAGCGCAGGACAGGGTAGGGTAGAGTAGGGTAGGGTAGGGTAGGGTAGGGTAGGGTAGGGTAGGGTAGGGTAGGGTAGGGTAGGGTAGGGTAGGGTACAGCGCGGTAGATTAGAGTGATGAGAGAAAGAGTAACAGAACTGACCGTCAGTCTAAACTAGCCATTAGTCTAACGTTTTCTCGCAATTCAATCCCCCATTTCTCTCTTTGTCACACGTTTGTGACAAAGGGCATTTTGAGGACAAATAAATGTTTAACAAAGTCAGTGATCAGGTTTTAACGTCTATCAGTCATTTTTTGGGCAGGAATAGTTTTTTAAAGTCTAGAAAAAAATTTAAAAATAAAATTAGGTTTTCAGGGCAGGGTAAATTTTTTAATTAGGGGAAGGGGGTGGATTTTTAGAATAGGCTAATGTAGGCTACGACACAGTCTAGGGCTAAGGCTAAAGCTATAGCTAGAGTTAGCATTCTGGTCTAGGGCTCTGGGCTAGGGCTCTGGGCTAGGGCTCTGGGCTAGGGCTCTAGGCTAAAACTCTAGACTAGGACTAGAAATAGAGAACGAAGCGGGCCTGAAAATCAACCCCCGGTCCGGCTCGAAAACCCCGTCCCGTTACTAAATAAAAAAGTTCAAGCCGGGCCTGCCCTGAACAAAATTTAGATCAGGCCCGGCCCGGTTTGGTCCGTTCCCCATGTCAAGCAACAAACGTTTTACAGTAAGAAAATTACTGTACTGTTAGGGCTCTAAGCTAATACTCTGGGCTAGAGCTCCGGGCTAGGGCTCTGGGCTAGGGCTATGGTTAGGTATAAAACAGCTGAACTTCAATCAAAAAATAGCTTTTCGTATAAATAAGTCGCTGTGTAAAACCAATAAAATTCGTAAGATGTGATGGAAAAGAAGTTATGACAAACATAATGTCATTCAAGCAGCGAATGAATAGATAGGAAATTTGCAAAAACGAGGAGGAGATCTATTGGTAAGCCCCGTCTTTGCTGGAAAAGAACTCGTTTTAATACGAAATTCATAATCGCTGTATTAAAATAGCTTTGGAATGATCATTGACATGGTAGGGCAGTGAGTATGAAAAGATCAACCACCAAAAAAAAATTTTTTTTAAATCTACCCCAGCTTAAAAAATTAATCTTTAATACCCTACTCTATCCTACTCTCAATTACTCTCTACCCTACCCTACCCTACCTTACCCAACCATATTCTTCCCTACCCTAAGCTATTCTACTCTACCCTACCTACACACGACTTATCATTACGATATGTTAGCTCTGTTCAAGCCAGGTTATCTCCTATTCTAGCTTACTTTGCCTTACTCTAACTGCAAAATAATAGACTACTAAAAATAGCTACCCCACCCTAAAAAATATGCCCATAAAATTTTGAAATTCCGTATTACTGACCATTTTAAATCGCTTAATCCAAACACTTTTTAAAAGTGTCAAAAGTTGAGTTAATTTAATTCGAACAAAAACGGATTCAGTTTAAAATTGAAGCAATTGAACGCCAAGATCTGCTTTAATGTGACCGTGAACGGTGGCGGGTCATCACCGTTCGAGCTATTAATTTCTGGTTCAAGGAAAGAGTAAGTAATGAGTGGCACTTTCTTTGTTACACTTTTTTTTTAATTTAGCAGGTGGGGAGATGCATAGGGAAGAGGGGGGGGAGAGAAAAAAAGTGAAATAGAGTATAGTTACTTAGGCTTAGCTCAAGCATATTTTCGGTCCTACCCTAGCCTACCCTAACCTAGAACACCCTAACTTACTCTACCCAACCCTAAGATGCCCTACCCTACCCTTTAGAACTGATTTCTCGTGGTAACGCAACAAAGCATAATTTACGTTGTTATGTAACTAAGATCACAATAAGTAGAAGGTGCTGTAAGACAAACCGGGCTAGAATAAGGTAGGGCATGGTAGAGCCAGAGTAAATTAAGGAAGCGTAAAACAAGGGTAGAGTGGGATGAGTCAGATATATGTAAAGTCCACTAAAGTAAAAAAGACCAAAGTGACTAGGAAAATTTTGAAGCAATTTCGTTGTTTCGAAATTCCAAAAAAATAAGGCAAAAGTTTGAAATAAACAACAAAAACTGCGCAGTAAGAAAAGAGTCACACATTCATAGGTTCATATTATACATACATCATGATATATAAAATGAGTCACTAGAAATTTCGTAAAATCTATAACATACCCTACCCTATACTACCCTCACGTACCCGACGTTGCTCTACCTTATCATACATTACCTTGCCCTACCGTACCCTATCTTAATCTACCCTACCCTGCCCTATCGTAATCTACTCTACCAACCCATACGTACACTGTCATACTTTACTCAACCTTCACATGCTCCCAAGCCCTGCTTTACACAGTTCTGCACAGCATACTTTAGCCAGTTTCAACCCCTACTCCTCCTACCCTAACAGTAAAAAAATGAAAATCAACAGCACAGTATAAACATTGTATTTTACATCAAGCATAACGTCAATCCTCCAAAAATATAATAATTTATTTATCTGTAAAGGCACTTTATGGAAAACGTATAAACAAAAAAAGCAAAACAATTGTGGGTATAATATTCTTGTTCTGAAGCTGTATTCGAAGACAGTTTGAGCATTCCATCAGATGGGAAAACACAACAAAGAAAAAATAGTATTATTAATAATGTCATACAAAATGGGGGGGGGGTGTTTGGGCATGGGGATCCGTTAATTTTTTCGTTTTTTCAAAAAAAACTTTTCTAATTTGATACCATTTTTCCCAAAAAACCACAAAATTCCTGCATCCCTCCGCCCAAAAATGTCATAAAAGACACAAAAATCAAAAAAGTCAAATAAAAAGTGTCATTTCTCAAAGAAATATAATCAAAAATGACACAAAAAGCCATTGAAAACTTAATAAAAAACATTCGCTCAACAATTTTTTGTAACTTTTCGGTATAACAACAACAATTGCCGGTCGGTTCGAGGCGGTATAGTGAATGAATGGGCTTGTTTGAGGAATGAAAGTAGGTATGGTTGGTATAGATAAGACAAAATTTTGGAAAAAATTAAAATTTCAACCAAAATTAGGTTAAAATAATGAAAATAAGACCAAATTTAAGCGGAATTTAGGCCAAAATATTGAAAATTAGACCAAATTAAGCCGAATTTAGGCTAATATAATGAAAATTAAGCAAAAATTCAGCCAAATTAAGGCCAAAATAATAAAAATTAGACCAAATCCAAGCTAAAAATGATCAAAAATAGCAATTTTTAGATAGAAAATACATTCAAGTAGCTATAAAAATAAAACAAAAATTCAAAATTTTCAAAGTTTAGCTTATAAAATGAATTTAAATTCAAAATTTTGGCTAAAAAATGAATTTTCAAACCCAAAAAAGGCCATTTTTAAGCCTGAAAAAGTCATTTTTAAGTCTATGACTCAAAACTTACCTAAAAATCCAAAAAAAATCCAAATTTAGCCATATTCATATAAACAAAAATCCAAATTTAGCCCTATCATATCAGCAAAAATCCAAATTTAACCATTCCTAACCCACAAAACCCAAAAAAAACTTAGAAATATAACCATGAAGACTACCGTTTACCCCAACCGACCCGGTTTTTTTAATTACCCATAAGACTGTAATGTAACATCGATAACAAGTCAACCAGCATAAAGTAAACTTAATCGATAACAACTTTTGAAAGGCTCAATATCGGTGGAATGGGTCTTTGTTGTTGGAGATGTCCATCGGCTCCGAGCTGAACATTTGGCCTTGGAGGTTTTGGCTTGAAGCCGATTGGAAGAGGGTGCCCGTCGATGGGCCCGCGCGCTGTTGATTGTTCGCGAAACTGCTTTGACTGAAATGGCAGATGATAAAAATTGTCAAAGTTAACCAAATTTGAAAAAAAAATTTAAAATTTCGAATTTTAAAAAATTTTCAAAAGATTTTTCAAAAAACTGCCATAACTTTTTGTACCCTCATCAAAAATCAATTAAATTTTTACGCAACATGCACATACTATCCCTCTTACTATCCCCCAAAAATCATATCATTCCATCAAGAAATCTCAGAGATATTGATCAAAGTTTAAACCCTATACCTACATCATCTACGACAACATCATGAATGCCATGGGAACCCATTTATCCTATTTTTAACCAATCCATTCTACTTTCCCTCTCCTACAATATAAATCTAAACCTCCTTATCAACATTCTATCCAACTTACGCTGTAGACACGTGCATATGACGTCGTGGAGAGCGTGGTCGAACCGTGGGCACTTCTGGCTCCTGTTGCATGAATTCTTTAAGAATCGACGGAGCAACATAAGTGAAGCCTTCGAAGGGATTGATGCTCATGGAAATGGAGGACGCGTCACATGGCGAGTCAACTGGAGTCATTTTAGTGAACTTCGTATCGAATAGAGAAGCATCGTCGTCTGACTTGATCTCTGGATTAAAAGGTGGTACCAACTCTCTTCGGTACACCTGTTCCCAGTCCAACTGTCTGAAGAATGGGTGGGCTTTGATCTCCTTGGCATCATCAGCACTTGCTCCCAGTCGAGCTTCGGCGTTTCTTTTCAGTAGCCTTTTGACTAGGTCACGAGCTTCTGGAGTGAGGTACGGTGGCAATGTGAGGCGTCCTTTCAAAATTTTGTCAATCGTCTTTTTGCGGTTGTCTGCTGTGAAGGGTGGGCCACCTGTGAGCATGTCAAAGGTGAGGGCTCCGAGAGACCACCAGTCGACGGCGCGACCATGGCCACATCGCATTAAGACTTCTGGAGCCATGTATTCGATCGTGCCGCAGAAAGTGTGGGTTTTCTGATCTCCTTCGATGGCTTCTTTGCATAGGCCAAAGTCGGTGAGTTTGACGTGTCCTAAAGGTCGAATAGGTTAAAAATTTTTATTACTCAATTTTTTTAATTTTAAAAACCCATTTTCATTTAAAAATAAATCTTTATGTTCTAAAAACCTTAAAAATGACTTTTCAACCCATAAAAACCATTTTGATACCCATATCAACCCCTGAAACCAAACTTTTCTCCCATTCCCCTATACCTACCAGTAGCATCAAGTAGAATATTCTCTGGTTTCAAATCTCTGTAGATGATCCCCTGTTCATGTAAATGTTCCAATGCCACAACAATCTCAGCCAAGTAGAATGAAGCAGTTTCCTCCAAGAAGATTCCCTCTCGTTCCAGGTGCATAAATAGTTCACCGCCACTTAGATACTCCAAGATCAAGTATAATTTGCCTTTGGTTTGGAAAGCGTACATCAAGTCGCAGATAAATGGGTTCTTCACGGCTTCCAAAATGTTTCTTTCGGCTTTTGTGTGAGCTGTGTCTTTTTGGTTTCGAACAACATGAGCTTTCTTCAGGACTTTCATCGCAAACACCTTGCCGCTGTCATGTCCGGTGATTTTTCGAACTTGAAAGACCTAAATCAATCAATATTAGACATTAAAATCATATAAAAGATCCTTCCCAATCTTCTGCATACAAAATCAAAAGCCTTACCTTTCCATATCCGCCTTTTCCCAACACCTTCAAGCACTGAAAGTCTTCGGGCTGTACTCTGTAGTTTGGATTCACGGCGGCTGGATCAAGTTCAATAGCTTCGACTGATGGGTCCTCAATATAAGATGAGCTCGGTGGAGGTTCTGTGATGGCCCCCTTAAATAAAATATCGTTTATGAAGCAAAATAAAATAAAATATAAACTAATTAGTCTAAAATTATATTAAAGCAACAAAAAACCTTTTTTAAATAAAAAAATATAAATCATCAAGTTTGATACCTGTACCTACTAGAATATCCATAAATTCTTAAAAAGTAATATTTTTCCTTACTTTTTATGTTTTTCCAAAAATACAAAACACTATTGATCTATGAAATGCAAAAGCACTCCATTATCTACTAAAAATCATCAAATTTCTGATGATCGATCTCTCTATCTACTACAACATCCCAAAAACCAGTATAAGCCAGGGATTCCCCTGAATTTTAAAAGAAATCGCATCCACATTGTCTTTCCTAAATTCACAACAAAAAAATTAAAAAACATACGTCAGCAACGTTGCTATATTCGTCATCCTCCTCCATCTCCTCATCGGATGGCTCTTCTTGTCGGTTGGGTTGAACGCCATCATTCAATTCGATTTCAAACACGGTTCCCATTATTAATTCCACGAAAGAATTATTCTCAGACCTGAAGCAATAAAAAACGTTTAATTTTGCTTTTTCCCATAGAAATTGATCAAAAAATCATGGATAATATCATTTTTTGAAGGTAAAACAACTTTGAAGTCCGAATTCTCAGAAACCCAGCCATTTTTTGGATATTACACTAACAAATCAAAAAGTTTGACTTTTTTTCTATAAAACAAGCAGAAGCTTCGATATCAAGGGGTTGAAATCAAAGGAAGTGGAGAGAAAAATGTCTGGCCGGCCCCCCGAACTGATCGCACACAAAGAGCGAAAGAAAGAGGACGAATAAAGAGCCACACTTGACCCCGTGGTCGAAAATCGGGTCACGTGTTTCGTTAGACAAATTTTACGAAATTTTAAAGTTCAATTTCTCAATTTTGAGTGATCGGATTTGGATGAAATTTAGGTTTGAGCATGTTTAGACATAGTTTACTAATCATGCAAAGTTTGGGGTTGAAATTCGCACTTTTAAAAAATGGGTTGTCTCGAAAATTTTGAAATTTCAAAATTGAATATTTCGGTTTGTAATGCTCAGATTTGAATGAAATTTTGTTTGTAAGCTAGTATTACTTTACGTGTTTGATACTATAAGTTTTTGATCAAAACAATCACATTTTCCAAAAGATTTTTAAAAATTTTCAAAAATTTTAAAATTCAAAAAACCACCCCCAAACCGAAAGTAAAAAAATTTTTTGCACATACTGATAAATCAGTTTAAAATCTACTAATAACCCCACAAAAAACCCGCATAAACCTTTAAGAAAAGTCAGTTTGAGTACTTTTGCTGTCAGTTGATAAGCCCCAAAAACGATGATAATATGGAAAGATGTTGACAAATTATAGAAAAATGGGAAGATGTTTACAAATTGACTGTTTGTCTAAATCGGATTATTCAAAAAAGTTTCGGCCAAATTCAATAAGATAAAGGGGAAAAATCGGCCGAAAACCTATGATAACATAGGGAAATTGGTGTGTCATGGATAAAATGTGATGTAGAATTTGAACTATACATGATAAATGGGTGAAAATTTGTGTGAAACATCTTGAAATACCTGGTAGGCTAACGAGCTTCTTGTCATATGTTATGTCAGATTTTGTTTTATTTCGATTTGAAATTTTGAAAAAATTCGAAATTTCCTGAAAAAGGTAGGCTTTAGAAAAAAGGCAAAAACTTTACCAAAATTGATCATAAACTATAAGTTTAAGCAATATAATCATGTAAAATTAGTTACTCTACCATGGGCAAGTCAAAAATCTTCAAAATTTTCAAACCCACCAAGATATACATCATCAAAGTGCTACCATATTAACCCCAAAACCCTATCAAATTTTGACTTTACGCACTTTTAAACCAGTTACAAAGATAATCCTATATTATAATTCAATAAAAGTGATTCTGTCGATAAAACAGACGGTCTGAAACCGCTTAGAGACATTATAAAAGGTTTGAGTGAGAACGTATATTACACTTGAAACAAACATATTACAACACCTTAAAGGGTCGATGACGAGAAAAAGGTCACCCGTATGGTTTTATAAAGAATATATACGTTAACTATAAGGGCTGATATGTCATTTACTTAGTATTTTATAGGCTTTTGAAGGCTTTAAGAGCAGCTGGAAGGTATGGTAAAGGCCAATGAGCTCATCTATACCTACTACAAGATAAATTGATCTTTCTCCAAAACTAATAACAAAAGTTAACGAAAAACTGTATAGAAAGGTTCTCCAGATCCATATCTATCAAAACCTCAAAAAAATCCCAAAAAACCCTCGTGACTAAAGTCAAATTGAACAAGCGACAACCGTCTTCAAGTTTTGCTCTTTGTTTGCGCCGAGTTTTGGCGCCAAAATACCCACGTTTTTATGAATTTCAAAAGACGTGAAAAAAAAGATGAATCGGAAAAAGGGTGATGATCAAGTGTTGAGTTAGGTTGTTACAAAAAGTGACATTCTGTCGCAATTTTTTGAAAAAAAAAATTTTTGAGAAAATTAAACTTGGTCCCACCTGTTGATTTTTCGAGCTAAAAATTTTTTTAGCCGAAAATGAAAATCTGGGTCGAAATTTTGTGAAATATTTTTAGGGTCCATGTTTGTAGGATTTGAAAAATAACAGCATGCCATAAAAATTTTTTTTTGAAAAAAAATTGAACTTGGTCCCCCCTGTTGAGTTTTTTAAGCCAAAAAAAATTTTGATGACATGTAGTAAAATAAGTTGTAGAACAGCTCAAATATAAATAATATAAAACTTAAAATCAATTTTTAATTGCCTAAAAATCAGGTTTACAAATATTTTGCTTTCAGAATAATTTAACTTGGTTCTCCCTGTTGATTTTTTTAGCTATATTAACAATTTTTTGACCGAAAATGAAAATCTAGGTCTACATATTGTAAAATACGTTTACAATAACTTTTGTTTTTTAAAATTTGAAATTGGCATCAAAAAATAATTTTTTTTAAATTGAACTTGGTCCCCCTGTTGATTTTTTTGAACAAAAAATTTTTTGATGACATATAGTAAAATAAGCTATAGCATAGGTCAAATATACCTAATATGGTATCTAAAATCAATTTTTAAGTACCTAAAGATAGTATTTAAAATTTTGAAAAAAAAAATTTTTACAAAAATATTGAGCTTGGTCCCCTGTTGATTTACCCGCCCCAAAAAATGTCTTCAAAAATAAAAAAAATAGTGCCCTAAAGGCATAAAATAACAAAAAATGTTATTAAAACTCAATTTTCATCCATTCGAAAGTCACATTTCAAACAATGACCATCTCATGTGAGTAAACATTAAGGTTTCAGAGATGAAGGTCTCGATTTGTAAGAACACAAAAACAAAACCCCACGCCGTACCCGAAGTGTGGAAATTACCGTGACAAACTTTTTTTGGTTATAAAGTTCGAGATTTGGCATGGGTAACAGTAAGAGGCTTGTGAAATTGTTTTTAGAGCAGTTGGGGTGCTACAATTGATAATATTATAGTTGTATACTGTAGTGGCTGGCTGGGAATAGGCGTACAATACAAGGTAAAGAGCAGTAAAAGGCAGAGCAAAGCTAAATCTAGCGCTAGGGCTTAGGCTAGGGCTCCGGGCTACAGCTAGGGCAAGAGCTTGGGCTACAGCTAGGCTAAGGCTATACCTTAGGCTAGGGTTTAGGCCTGGGCTTAGGCTAGGACTTAGGCTAGGGCACTAGGGATAGGACTTAGGCTAGGGCTTAGACTAGAAGGGCTTAGGCTATGGCACTGGGGATAAGGCTCTGGACTACAGCTAGGACTAGAGCTTGGACTACAGCTAGGCTAAAGCTAGAGCTAGATATAGAAAACGGGCCTGTCTGAAAGTTGGGCCCGGCCCCCGAAACCCGGCCCATCTTCATTTTAAAAAAAAATTCGGTCTCGGTCGAGCCAGAGCAAAATTTATATCCTGAGAAACGGGTCCGGCCTGTTCTCCATGTCTAGCAAGGGCTACGGCTAAAGCAAGGACTAGGGCTAAGACGAAAGCAAGGGTTAGAACTAGTGCTATGTTTAGGACTGGCTAGGACGAGACCTAGAACAAAAGCTAACACTAGGTCTAGGACTAAGGCTTGGGCTAAAACTAGAGCATAGACTATATAGGAATAGTACGAGGTTTAGAACAAGATCTAGGACTGAGGCTACACCTAGATTAAAGGCTAGGGCCCTGGGCTAGGGCTCTGGGCTAGGGCTCTGGGCTAGGGCTCTGGGCTAGGGCTAGGGCTCTGGGCTAGGGCTCTGGGCTAGGGCTCTGGGCTAGGGCTCTGGGCTAGGGCTCTGGGCTAGGGCTCTGGGCTAGGGCTCTGGGCTAGGGCTCTGGGCTAGGGCTCTGGGCTAGGGCTCTGGGCTAGGGCTCTGGGCTAGGGCTCTGGGCTAGGGCTCTGGGCTAGGGCTCTGGGCTAGGGCTCTGGGCTAGGGCTCTGGGCTAGGGCTCTGGGCTAGGGCTCTGGGCTAGGGCTCTGGGCTAGGGCTCTGGGCTAGGGCTCTGGGCTAGGGCTCTGGGCTAGGGCTCTGGGCTAGGGCTCTGGGCTAGGGCGCTGGGCTAGGGCACAAAAGCAAAAGCTAAGACTAGAACTGGAGCAAAAGCTAGGTCTAGAGCTAAGGCTAGGACTAGGGCTAGGCTTCCAAACAATAACAATGAAAATAATTCCCCCCGCCAAAATTAAAATACAAAAAAATGAAATTAATAACTCAATATAAAGCTCACATAGCTTGTAAATAAATTAAAAAGACGAAACAGCCTATCTTTTCGGAAAAACCAGACCAAAACGTCAAAAAACCCCCCGGCTGGCTTCAAAGAACTCCACGAATTCCGCTCTCATTATTAAAAGTTCAACAAATCGCCCAAGGTTGGGTTGAAAGAGTATGTGTTTTGGGTTGAAGATTAAAAAAAAATTTTTTTTTAATTTCTAATTTCGATTAAAAATTTAAAATTTCAAAAAAAATTTTGAAAACTGAAAAGTTAGCCCTTTACGAATTTCAAAAAAAGTTTGAAAAGCCAATAAAACTAAACAGAACTGATTAATCAGTAATTGCCACTCCAAAACGATTTTCCCCCACCTTACTAACACGCCATATCAGCTGTTTTTCGAGACATTTAAATTTGTAGACTTTGAAGAGCTTTTTAAATGTTTGTAGGTAGTGAGTATAGTATAGAGGTACAATATAATTTGAAAAAAGTACCAAAAAAATGTAAAAAAAAGCTAAGGTAAGGTTAAGACAAGTAAAGCTAGCTTACGGCTAAGCCAGTACAGTTATGGTAACACTAGCGCATGAATGAGATAGAGCTTAGAAAAGGCTATAGCGGGCCTAAGAAAAAGCTAGGATAGAACTAAGAAAATGCTATAGCAAGGCTAAGCAAAGGCTAGAGTAGAGCAAAGGAAAGCCTGGGGTAGGAGATTGCTATTGTAAGGCTAAAGGAAGGCTAATACAGGGCTGGAGTAGAACTAAAGAATGGCTT